TAAAAGAGAATGGTTGTATAATTACACATGATGCCAATTATTTTAATAATATCACACGTGTACACATACACTGTGCGTTTTCTACGGGCCCTCGCACAGCACCTACATGAATACGTTTATGTACGGATGGACAACCTAAAAATAAATATTTACATGTGCACAACACTTTTAGTTAATTTACCATTCGGCAAAACCCCTGAACCTCGCAATTAAAAAAGTCTTCAGAAAATATATATTAAACTTGAATTATGCAGAACTCGGCACTGAAAAACAAAAAATGGATGTTTTGTTTGCGATAGTGGAATTTTTAAAAAGTACATTGTACTCCAAAAATTGTTATTTGCGCTATAGACACTTTCCACCTAACAAATGATATTGGCAGAGGCAGATTTAAAAAAGCATTTTCATAAACACTATTTGCACTGCAAAGTCCACGCTTCGAGGGCACTTCTTGCTGTTTGGAGTGCTTTTGAATTGATTTTTTTTTTTTTATTCTTAATAGATCAAAATCAAGCCTTTTTCATATTATCAATATTTATCAATTTTAGAAATAGTGCAGATCTCATGCAAAAATGGTACAGAAATGGTGCAGAACCGGTTTGGCTGATCTGCATCAGTTCTACACCAGTTCTGCACTTTTTCTGAATCAGTTCTGAACCAGGGGTAAAGAGTAAAATCTTAAATTTATGGCAAAATTAGATTTGCAAAGAGCAAATAAATGAAACGATGCGGGGTTGTTTTTAACGATCTTGGTGTGAGAGGGCAAGGGGCAGCAGCAGATAAATTAAAGAATGCGCGCGGCCAGCAGCAAATAAAAGCTCGTTTTAATCAGCGTGATGTATGGAAGACGAAGCGCATTTGCTGCGCGCCCTCTCCAACTTCCATACGTTCGGGCAGTAATACAAACTCGCTTCTTTCGGGGCCATCCATCTCGCGGTAATCACGCAATCGATCAATCCCGCGACCAGAGTGCTTTATTTTCGCACTCATTCGCCCGATGGATTTATATAAAAAGGAAAAGTCTATAACTCCCACGAGGATAATCAACCTGAAATATTGCTTCGATAAAATGGAAATAATTCGGTCTCTGCGCTGCTTCAAAGTGGGAAACATTTGGGAGGAAGAGGAAGCGACCTACAGTTTTTTTTTTCAATTTCCTATATTGCAGGTCACGTATTTAATGCAATCAAAATTTAACACAAATAACAAAACAAAAACCTAGTGGAATTATTTTAAAATTAAATATTTACCTTTCATTTTTGTAAACATTCAACTAATAATTGAATTTAAAAATTAAAAAATGCATGTTGTAATTTGTAAATAAGTTGAAGGTGATAAAAATTTTAAATTATGTTATAAAAATTCAAGAAACTCATAAATTTTTCAAAGTTTTTAAATTGCATTTACTTTTTATTTTAACAATAAACTGAATAAACCAATAATTAAATTTTAACTACCACTAGCAAGAATTTCTCTAAAACTTCCGAGATAAAAAAGACCCCATTCGCCATAGTGAGTCTTCGATGACTAAGTTTTTGTTATTAATAAATCACAAATTTTGCCACATGTAGGCCTTGCACTTGCAGAGGGTGGGAAACTGTTCGACTGGGCAAGTTTTCAGCGCGTCCGCAAGATTATTCCATGGCCCAATAATCATGTTGTATGAAGCAAAAATAATCCTTGGCAAACTCGCTCTGGCTGCAGTTTTTGGGCCCTGGAGGTCTCTTTAAATCAGTAAAAAAGGGTTAAAAATACTTATAATTTAAATTTAAAAAAAAATTATACACGAGCATTATTCCAAGCGCTCAAACCAAACGCGGCAATAACTCGGCTGAATAGCCGACCACTTGTGTCTGCAAATAATTGCGACCTGCAGTTGTAGATGAGGATATTGCACCCCTCGGACCGACTAGGGGTGTATCGAGGGTTGCATATGTATGCAGGTCGGTCGGTTGGCAGGGTGTGTGTGTTTGTGCGGCTGCTTTACGGCGCGGCGAGGGTTTCATGCATCAGTAGTCAATCTGCGGCTCCGTAATTAGTTTGCCATGTAATACTGTGGCTGCAGGCCTGGCGCGCTGCATTTAATGAACACATACACACAAACGCTTGTGTGCTGTACTTACTTAGTCACTGCAGTTGGGCTGCGGCGCAAACACGGCGTGATTGCAAATCGTGCGTATTGCAGTCCGAACATGCTCCGTGTTTGCCGATTAATTGGCAATGTGCAGCTATTTATTGCACGCGCACCCAATATTGGAATTCGGCTGCCTCGAATTATTATGGCAAATATTTGCAAACGCTCGGAGCACAAGTGCAAATTAGAGAGAGTGAACCTGACGAATCGTCCAATTAGGAATAATTTAATCAAAAACGGAATATAAAAGAAATCTGTTTATTGAAAATAGCAACCACAAATCATTATTCTTCTTAACAATTTGTTACACATTATCTAATTGCATGAATCGACATAAATTGATTATATATATTTAAATAAAAGGACAAAATAAATGCCAGATTGAAGATGAATCAATCAAATATGAGTTGCGCAAAAAAAATTAATCAGATCATCATATATTTAGAAAGAGTTTTGCGCAAAAAAATATAATAATATTAATAAACCGTAATATCTCAAACAATTTTATTTTTAACCAACATTATTTGTTTAGACCTCCATGATAAAGCCTAGATTAGATAGCAATAAAAATAATTGCTGGATAATATCCTGATAATAATTGAGAATGGTATCTGGGCTTGGAGAACTTTTTAAAATTACAAAAAAGATTGCCTGTTTGAGCACTGTTTTGAGACATCAAAACTTCCAACTTATTCCACTTCTAATATTTAACACTCTTCAAAAGAAGAGTTCTGGGAAAAGCTGCTGAAGTCTCCTCTTCTCATTCTCATCCTGCCAAAAAATTACTTGATGCAAAAGGCTGTCGATTTCTTTCTCGAAGTCAAGGACCCGACAGGCGTTGTTTGGTGGTGGAACTGGGCCCTTTTGGGCCTTCTTCCTCTTCTTCACTGGGGTCTTAGGTGCAGCCTCAGGTTGTTTCCTCTTCTTGGGGGTAGCTGAGCTTGAGCCCTTTTTGGCCTTCTGTGTCACTGGGGTAGCAGGAGCTTTCTCGGAAGTTGCCTCAACCAAGTAATCTGGTGTTTCCACTTTGCAGATTTTGCCATCATTTGGAGAAAATTTGTTCGATGCTCTAAAATAGAGAAAAATTAGAATCAAAAGTTGATATCGATGGAGAAATTTCTCTCACCTCCTCAGCATTTGATTGTCGTTGTCGGAGGGCTGTGTTGTTGTTGGCTGTGTTGGCCGAGTCCGCCTTCTTTTGCTGCTATATCGCAAGCTGCTGCAGAGAGTCTTGACGGGCTTGAGGACATCTAGCGCGTCAACTGATTTGTTGGTTCTAACCAGAATGATCTCTGTAAAAATTCCAAATTTTAATAAAACTCGAATATTTTTATAATTGAAATAACTCACTTTTAATGGCAGCTACCACTGCTTTGAAACTTGGGGTGGACAGCAGAGCCTTCCAGCTTGTTTGTCGGATGAAGTCTTTGCCGAAGACGTCGATGAACATCATGTTGATTGCTCGGCTAGACAATGCGCCTCTTTGACGAAGACACTGCTCCACTTTCAATTCGGTTTCGAGGCTGACTTGAAAGCCCAGCGACATCACTATATCGCTGACCTGCGAAATTGATAAATCATAATTAATTAGATACTTTAAAAATTCAACTTATTAAGAAAATTTAAAAAAGATAATTGACGTACCCCCATATAATTGTTTCTCGCGGGCTCAGCAGTCTCTGGCTCGCTCCCCATGAACATGTCTTGCGGTACAGTTTTTGGTTCTGAAAACATCACAAATATTGAAGAAAAAAAATGGAATAAAAAAATCATTCTCCTAAAAATATCAATTACTATCATGTTTTCTGATAAATTTCAAATTTAATACAAATTTAATGGCAAAAATTACAAAAGCAGCTGAATCTTTTTAGAAAATTAAGCGCTTATAGTAAGTGACTAAATGCACTAGTCGGCGCGATTAAAATACTGGTGTAAAAAAACTTCAATGTTTTTTATTGTTATTTTCTCTACATTTTTTTTAATCAAGCACTTAATTATTTTGACGGTAAAAATTACTGAACATAAAATCATGATATAAATTCAAATATTCAAAATTTCTTTCTCAAGAATAAAATATTCCAGAAGCTTGATTTTGCGCATGTTATATTAATAAATTTTATGTTCTGTTGGTATAATTTTCGTTTTTATGAAAATAATCAGATCGTCATAAAGTAAAACAAACTAATATAAAAATATTCAAAATTCATTTTGATATCCTGCGAATAGCGCAGGTTTAAAATTACAAATCTTACAAAAATTGCAGAAGAATTATTTTTTATTCTGCTAAGAAATTAAAAATAACCTTTGATGTGCTTACCTGAAAAGAAATTATATCCAGACGTCATTCTCGCGTCCAACAAACACAACTTGAGACGCTCTTGTACACCAGACCTGTGTCCTGCAGTTGACAGACCAAAAGCTGAATTGCTCAGAATTCAGAATGAGGAGCTGTTGAAGAATAAGGCACCACCTAAATAAAGTCTTCACCTCCCTCTCCTGGACCTAGGCCAACATTGAACTGAAAAATATCGATTTCCCCTCCCTACTTCCTTCTCCGCCCTGGAGTCAATGGGAAACAAACAAATTTACCTCCCCCTGTGTGTGACCAATTTTGGAGCATTTGAGGCGCCCTGCTGTTTTACTGCTCTGCTTTATTACTTTTTAAATCAAAACAAATCAAGAAGTCAAGCTTTAATCAGTTTGGAATTTTAAAGACTTTTAAGCTAACTATTATCAGAAAAAAGTATTTTTGACAAAATTAATGTTCTTACAATGTGTAATTTAATTTTTAAAAGAAGATTGCAATAGAGGTGGAATTCAAGTTGATTGAATTTTTATTGTTATCAACAAAATAAAACACTTGATTTTATATTATATTCTATTAATATGAGCTGACTGAGTGAGTTTTATTATTCATACTAACAATAAACAGCTTAAGTCCATCAATTCTATTTACATTTTTTTCTTTGCATAAGTTATTTCTATCAAGTCAGTGCTTTTTGGTACTGTTGATGAAACGAGAGTGTTGAATTTGATGAAAAATAAAGCGCATTCATATGAGCTGTGACAAATGCACCTGTGTAAAGTGTAATACAAAATCAACGTCGCACTAACTGCGACTGTGTTTCTAAATTCTAAAGTAAAAATCAATTGGTCATCTCAAGATTCGTAGTATTGCTGGGACTGGTAGTCCCAGAACTCCTGCGAGAACTGCTGGTTGGAACCCTGAGAACCTGCTGCAGAGGCCATGACCTCCTCAGGTTGTACCTCCGTGGCCTCCAGGTCGTCGCAGATCTCAAGTCTGACCGAGTCGGGAGAACCAAGCTTTGAGGGCGAAGAGATCTCGGAGCTTCCGGAAGACATGGAGGGTGTCTCGAGACTGTGTGGGGACGTGGGCGGTGGCATGTTGCTGGCAGGGCAGTAAGTAGCGGCCTGCTGAGGGTGCCAGTAGTACTGCTCCCAGTGCGGCTGACTGACGATGCTCATCCCTTGGGCGTAGGGGCTGTACATCTGTTGCTGCTGCACAACTGGTGGGGGCACGAAGGCCCTCTTGGCTGCAGGTGGTTGACCCCAAGAGCTTTCAAAGGTCTGAGGAGCTGGAATGGACCTGGAATTATAGAAAATAATTAGAGACGGATTGACTTTGATATTTTATTAAAAATTTACTCACTCTAAGACTCTCTTCAGATAGCTGGAATTTTCCAGAGGGCTGGTCTGGGGTGGTTTAGGTGCCTTGGGGGCTGAAGTTTTGCTGAGAACTTTCTTCTTCCGTTTTTCCCTCAGGTAGTTGCTGAGGTTGGTGTACAGTTTGAAGATGTTGACGTGCTTCTCTCTTTCCCGAATACGAGAATTCACCAAAGCTGGAACAGATTAAAGTTTTGTTTTAAAAATAATTATACTAAAAGAGCAGGTTACGCATCTATTTAAAATCAAATCCTGGTTGGAAAAGTAGGAAAAAAATGGGAATTTACCTTCAACACAGTAAAGGATGTTGTGGTCGGCTGACTTGTAAAGTCGTCCACCAGAAGCAGTTTGAGTCAGGATGACATCTTCTCCGATGATCTGCAAAAGCAAGTACCTGGCCACTTTCTTGGAGTTGCACAAATGCTTGTTCGAGAGCTGCGACTCGGCCTCGGCAAGCACTGCCTCTGACACGTAAACGTCGAAATGCTTCGCAATCTCTCGCAACTAAAAAAACAAAACAAATTTTTTTTAATTAACATAATTTTCTATAATTATCAACTTGTTCAATTTGGAATAGAAGATTTTAAAATAATCTAAGGCTTAAATTAAATTGCCCTCTCAATAATTAACAAGATTTTATTCTTACCCCCATATCGGAAAAGGGCGACGAGTTGTTGGGCGCTTCCGTTTCCTTGACAGGAGCAGGACAAAAGATGGCAGGTTTGGCCACTGGATGATGCACAGGTGCAGGTGGCTGTGGGACTGCCGGAGTTGGTTGGCCTTGCAGAGCGACTGTCCGGAAGTATTCGTACATCTTCACTTGCTGCGATTCGTAGGGCATCCCATTGATAGTGGCCACTAAATTGCGAAGAAAAAGTTTAATATTAATAAATTTCAATTAATACAGTTTTAATTTGTTTAAATACATGACAAAAAAAATATTTGATCTCCATGTGGTAAATATTTGAAAAATTTTAAAATTAATTTAATAAATTTGGAGAAACGATTAATATATAATTTTTTTCCCACTGTCTTATTAATTTTAAAAGAAGGAGGTCAAAATGATGCATGATGCAATAATAAAAATTTAGTCCTTATTTTTACACATTTGACCATTTTTCATAGAGGAATTCGACCTGATAAAAACGTAAAGACTTTAAAGTTTTTTTTTTTTTTTTAAATCTTAAAATTGATCAACGGGCCGGAATTTGTTCAATTCTCAAAATTATCTCGTGGCACGGAAAACGAACCTGTGCAAGGTTGCTGGTAAAAGGGTTGTCGCAGTCCTGCGGCGGCGGCCGCGTGTTGTCTGGCCGTCGAGATTGCGGAAAAATCGATGGCATGCTGCGGAGGGAAGCCCTGGCCAGGATATCTGCCCAATTCGAACCTATGATTCGGCTCCATGACGAAATTGTGTTTTTCACTCTGCGAAAATTATACGCAGACCACGTGTTGGCAAGTCGAGGAAAGGAACGCGCAATCCGCAAAACTGGATTTGGATTTTCGACAAACGAAACGACCTTCGCCTAGTTCTTGCTGCGCCGGCACTGCATGGATTTGTTGATTTTCCTTCTTTCCTTGGCTGCTTTCGAAAGAAGAAGAGGGGAGGAGAGGAAGGAGCGACTGCGGTCAGGGGGTGCACGGCACGGGTGCATTCTCGGGCGCAAAGTTCATTTTCGCGTCCACACGTTTTTATGTACATGTTTGTGTAGTTTCGCCAGGAAAAGGAAAAGGTTCCTTTGTCATCGTGGATCATTGGTGCCTCGGGCAGGTAATTTGGATTCTTCGTGCTTCTCTCGACTGAATGAACAGGCAAACAAACAACTCGAGTGAAAATTCCACCAGACCGGCAGGAGGTAAAGTACCTGTGAAGTTAATGAAATGCTTCCTTTTTAATTAGGCTTGACGATTGGGAACATTGAATTTCCCTCTTCGTTTTTAAATTTTATGGTTTTCTTTTTTGCGCTCCAACAATTTCGGAATGATGAATTGACTGACAAAAGAGGCTGAGATTGTCAGGGTATCTTCAAAATTGGCACTTTTCTTCGGGATTCCCCCTAGGTCGATGTCGTCAATATTTACCGTGGAAAAGCTCTCTAAACAAAATTAATTTTTCTTCTGAGATATCAGTGAAAAAATCTTTCACTCTGAAATTCTATTTTGCATTTCCCTCTGCTAAAGATTGGATTTTTTAGATTATGTCGGCCTTAAATTTATTTAAATGTGCATATTAATTAATTATTATTGTTGTTTATTTATCCACATTGTTTCAAATACAATGTTTACATTCAATTAAATTGTTGTTCTAAAGAAAATTTATTTGTTGGCTTCCGCTGACCACAGCCAAATATTTTAACAAAAAGAAGTGCGCAGCTCTAATTCTTTATTATTTTGCTTCGCAGGGGGAAAATCTAGCAGAATAATTATAATTTCCTCCCTTCAAACCATTTTTAATTTGTATCGCTCAATTCTCTTTAAAATTATTTTTTCTATTTATAAATTGTTTTTATATCATTTACATTATAAATGAATTTGATGAGTATTTTTTTTAGTTTCTTCTCTTCTTAATTTTATTAAATACTCCTTGTGAAGTTACGAAATTTTGCAAAAACGTTAAAACGTTGGGTAATGTTATAGTACGCGCGACGTATTTCCCAAAATCCCTGATTTCAGTTGGCATCACTTGCCTTACGTCGCGCGTTCGATAGTGGTTTTACGTCGCGCATACAATAATGGTTTTACGTCGCGCGCTCAATACTGGAGGCGGTGAAATTGTTAAGGAAACCGATTATTCCATCGATATAGCACGCGCGACGCAATTCTTTTCCTACAATCTCAATTTAGGGGACTGCTAGGAAGAATAGGGGCCCTTGGGATGGGTTCAGAATGGGGCAAGACGACCTCCGGAGGGCCGTGCGCACCCTTATAGCAGGCGCGACGTATGTTTATAGCACGCGCGACGGGCCGTAAATCCAGTGAGGGGCAAAGCGAACTCCGGAGGGTGCTTTTCACCATCGTAAGAGGCGCGACGCATGGTTATAGTACGCGCGACGCATGCTTATAGTACGCGCGACGCATGCTTATAGTACGCGCGACGCATGCTTATAGTACGCGCGACGCATGCTTATAGTACGCGCGACGCACGGCAAATTAATTAAAAGGTGTTGCACGCGGCCGGAGTTGTGGGCGCCCCACTAACCGGCAACTCGGAGGTGGGCAACCCCCAAGATTAATTTTTGCAGAAGCCGCGAGCGAGGGGTGGAGGCGCAGCGAGGTCGAGGACGTGGGGAAGGCCGTGCGGAGGGCGAGGACAAAAGGGCGGCTGTGTTCGTGGGGGGGCTCCGCAGGAGCCCCCTCACGATCCCCGCCCTTTTGTCCCGCCCGGAGCCGGCCTTCACCACGTTCTCGGGCGAGCGCGCCTCCAGCCCGAAGCTCGCAAACCCACAACGGAGTTGCTTACAAAAGGAATTGTCTGCAAAAAGGGCTTAGAAAGCAAAAAGTGTGGTGCCCACAACTCCCTTTGCAGACAACACCTTTTGTGGGCAACTCCGTTGTGGGTTTGCGAGCTTCGGGCTGGAGGCGCGCTCGCCCGAGAACGTGGTGAAGGCCGGCTCCGGGCGGGACAAAAGGGCGGGGTTCGTGAGGGGGCTCCTGCGGAGCCCCCTCATGAACACGGCCGCCCTTTTGTCCTCGCCCTCCGCACGGCCTTCCCCACGTCCTCGACCTCGCGGCGCCTCCACCCCTCGCTCGCGGCTTCTGCAAAAATTAATCTTGGGGGTTGCCCACCTCCGAGTTGCCGGTTAGTGGGGCGCCCACAACTCCGGCCGCGTGCAACACCTTTTAATTAATTTGCCGTGCGTCGCGCGTACTATAAGCATGCGTCGCGCGTACTATAAGCATGCGTCGCGCGTACTATAAGCATGCGTCGCGCGTACTATAAGCATGCGTCGCGCGTACTATAACCATGCGTCGCGCCTCTTACGATGGTGAAAAGCACCCTCCGGAGTTCGCTTTGCCCCTCACTGGATTTACGGCCCGTCGCGCGTGCTATAAACATACGTCGCGCCTGCTATAAGGGTGCGCATGGCCCTCCGGAGGTCGTCTTGCCCCATTCTGAACCCATCCCAAGGGCCCCTATTCTTCCTAGCAGTCCCCTAAATTGAGATTGTAGGAAAAGAATTGCGTCGCGCGTGCTATACATGTTGCCGAGGTATCGATGGAATAATCGGTTTTCTTAACTATTATACCGCCACCAGTATTGTACGCGCGACGTAAAACCATTATTGTATGCGCGACGTAAAACCACTATCGAACGCGCGACGTGATACTTTTACATGGGAGCATAAGTGCTGCCAACTTATGAAAAAACACGTCGCGCGTACTATAACATTACCAAACGTTGAACAATATTTAGTATGATACAATAAAGCAAACACTTTTTTTACATACAAACGCAAAATTTTGTGAGGTCGGTTCCCGAGAAGCAAAAGCCCCGAGGTCAATAAAGTGAGAAATGGTGTTGTATGCGGCGAGATGATGTAGAACGAGCAACGCACACACGCCGTGTTTGGCGTTTTATCTCCGCAAAGAAGTCCCCAAAAGCATAAATACATTGCTGCATTCGTTCGTTTGCCTCTCGCACTTCCCAACGGGGTCCGAAAAACAAACCAAGCGGAGCCGAAGCCACTGACGCCGGCGTCTCTCGGTGATGAAATTTAAATTTCCTCTCCGCATTATTTATCGCGCACACCGAGCGCCGGAAAACACAGCAACAACCGCGAATTTAAAGTAATTCAGAATTTTCTATGATGTCCTGGAAAGTCAAAGGGAACGAATCTTTTTTTTCTAAAAATATTATTTTATAACGATATTTTGCCATTTTTTTTTTTTCATTTTAAGCTTGGATTTATTGTGAGAGTATATACGCATACAAAAATTTAAAAATACATTTTATTCTTTATTTGCCCACTCAAAGAGTAATAAAATTATCCATTTTAAGGCTCAAGTAAATGGAAAATAAAATAACTAAATAGCTAAAAAAATATAAACTGCTTTTGATATTGATCATGATTATTATCGTGCGATCGAAAACCTGGTCGTGATTATACGCTTGAGATAGGTGAAATCTGGGTGAAATATATATCGAAATTATTAATATGCTATAATAATAAAACTGTTTTTTTTTTTTTTTTTAATTTTAAATTTGTCATTTTTCTGAATAATGTGAATTTTGGGGATATTAATAAAATGTAAAATGTGATATATGGTAAAAATAACTTTTTATTTTGCTGATAAATAGTTTAAATGATTTATTTTTTAATAATTAAATGTCAATTTTAACTTAAAATTTAATTTAATGGCATAAGTTGACTTTTCTTCTTTTTAAAGTACATTTTACTTAATTTATAACTCACTTATTTTCTCCATCTGTAACAAAAGGAAAAGGCCAATCAATTCATTACAATTAGTCAAATTATAAGTTGAACCGAGCTGAAAATTGTTTACAATAATTGCAACACAAAACACAATAATTACTTTAAAACGCCTTTAACTTATATTTATGTCTACATTATACGTCAAACGCATTTCTAAACAAAGTTTTTTTCCATTCGAATTTGAGGAAAACTTTTAATTGCTCCCATTATTGTATACTTCCTACATAGCTCTTGGAATTATTATTATCAGAATTAAAATAAAAAATAGCCAATATGGAATTGAAAAAGTCCAAATAAAAAATAAAGGCAGGCAAAGTGTGAAACTTTTCGTCTCCACTTTGGAAATCTTCTTTGGGAAATACTTCTCGCGTTCCTATATAATAATATTTCTACTCTAGAAAGCTTCTTCTCTCATCGTCGCTCTTGAATCTCCAGAGAGGAGCGGCAAACTTTCGCAGCGAGCATGGCAAGGGCTCGGCGTGATGAGGTAGCAAGACGAAAATTTAACGCGCCGCTAACTTATTTAGCATTCTTGCCTGCCGGAATTAGCATTTTTCCTCTTTTTTTCACCACCGCGGCTTTTGCACGCACAATTTGGAAAGGCTTGCGTGAGTGTGTGTTATTTTCATCGCGCGCAAGCAAACAAGTTTCAAAATTACAACACGCCGAATTACGAGACGGCTGCCGTGGAAGTCGCGGGGGAGTGATAAAAATTAAAACTCGCTCCCCGCCGCAAAAAGGCAAAGGGTTGTGTGCGGAAAAAAATCTTGGGTCGCGCGCTCGCGTGTGTTTTCATTACATATTTTCGCAACTCGAGATATGCAAATAAGGAGAAGCGCGTGTATGAATATGAGGACATGACAATCGCAGAGAAAAGTTTTACGGGCGTCGAGGGATGTTTGTTGCTTTTTCAACACAGCTGCTGCTTTCTCTGCATATCAACCCGGGTATTTCCTCCTCCATTACTCGTCGCGCGCGCGCTCACTAATGTCCGCACATTGTTTTGTCTCCGGAGATTTCCTTCCGTATCTGTCGCCGGAATGAGCTCCGCGTGCATGACGTCATTTGCCATGACCGCTGTTGCTGGCGAACTTTTAATTTACTGCAGTTTCATCATCGCCTCTCCGGCTTGAATATGCAAAAACCACCGACGCGACCTCCTGATGAACGCGGGCCACATTAAGTCGATCAGAAAAAAAATGAAAAAGAACGAACATGATTCGTGCTAAGATCAAGAGTGAAATTAAATCTAAAAATTGTATCAGATTTTTTTCTGCATTAACGCAGTTTTAATTGCAAATTTTCTTAAAAATATTTATTTAATATTTATCGAAATCGAGAATTAAATTAATTTAACTCTGATTTCTATTTATAATAAATTATTGATTTAATTTCATATATTATCTTCAATTTTATATTTTAAAGAGCTGAGGAAACGCATAAATAAAGTTATGCTCACTTCAATTTAATGTTACTAAAAATGCATTAAGCAGAATAAAGCAAAATTTTATTATATTTTTTAATTATAATTTTATTAGACATTATTTCGTTTCACTTCTCTAAGGATAAAATCCAAACATCTGAGAACGTTTTTAGAGAACGTAGCGCATGCATCTATTTTTAAAATTAAGTCCATGACTGGCCAACATTTCAGGTGGTTCTGATTATGGCATAATTCTCTCCCATTGTTTTACGCTCCAAATTTAATTTTGTTAAAATCTGCTTCTTTTGCATTTGTAATTCAACTAAAAGGGCAGGTATGAAATGGAAAATCGCCTGTTTGGATATTTCTCTGAGGAGCCTGAATTTCATTTCACATTATTTCAGCTGAAGTGTTTTTTACCCCCCTCAAAGCTTTACAGATGCTCTTCAGGTTTGAAAAATTTATGGCCCGCAGCCTACAATTCAGAAAGCAGGATTTTCCAAGAAACGCACCTGGATGAAGGGTCAGGATAAAAGCGCCGCCACCCATTTGCAATTTACCTAAATCGTCCTCTCGCCTGTCATTCATTCCTGAATTTCTTTCCTTGGATGATGTTTTACGATTCTTTTGTCCCGAATTCTGTGGCGCCGATTTTCAGTTTCTCTCCAAAACCTCAGACACATTGTATGCTTTTCTTTTACTCTCGCCGCTCATTCCAAATCTCTTCTCTCCTCTCTCCAGAGTGGAAAACACAATTTTCGCAGGCTTGCAGGAAAATTATGAAAAAGACGAAAGTTAAAAAGAAGCCGGCAGTCGTAAAAGGAGTTTTATTGTCGGCGAGATTGTTTGCTGCTAATACGCAGCAGGACAAGTCGAGAGGCTCAAGAATGAATTCTCGCATTTGACCCGAGATAAAATATAATTTTGCGCTGTTTTTTTTCTCGGCGCCGGAAGATGCAACGTACAGAGGACGACTCGCATTTCATGCGTCCCAAAAGAGTCGTATCAGTTTTTATTATCACCTCCTTTCTCGACTCGCTCTCGCCTTAAAAAAGAAAAGTCGAAGCGTATATCTGCACTGCTGTTTACTTCTGCCGGCGTTTCTTGTATTTTTATTTTTTGCCTCTTCGCCCCGCCCGCGGGTCGCAATTTCAAATAGCTCTCGCATACATACAAGGGTGGAAAGAATTATGAATTCGAAATGAGGTAATGGCATTTAAATAGCTGCTACACAACTCCGCCGGTCGAGATAAACACACGCTGGCGGAGGAGAAAAGTTGAATTTTCTGATATAAAGGGCGGCATTTTCTTTCTTTCTGTTTCGCCCGCAGCGCTCTTTTCTATCTTTTTTAAATTCTCCTTTTCCGCCTGCTGCATTAACTGCGCTCGTGTATTACACGCGAAGAAGCAGCAGGAAGAACAAGAAAGGGAGATAGAGAGACGAAGCGGCGGAAAATCCACAGGGGGTTCGCAGTCCTGTAAATATATTTCGCTGCCTCTAGTTTTTCACACTCTGCATTATGCACACATACATGAATAAATAAAAGTTAAATGCTGCACCTATATCCGGATAAAGTGAATAGACTCACATGGAGGTGCGAAAACACTATATCGATTACTTGTATTTTTGAAGCTCTTTGCGCACAAATTTGAGTAAAATTCGTAAATTTTTAAATTTTTTAATTAATAAATCAAGGTCAGCGCATCACAACAATAAGAGCAAATTTTGATTTCAGTGTTTTCAGCCAATCACAAGGCTGAAACTACAATCTTCAAGTTTCATTGTTGTATATGATAAACATGTGTGATGAATAAATTTGATTGCTCCAGCTTTTTTCTTCTAATATTCAATTTTGTTTTTTAATTGATGAAAATTTATTGAATATTTTATTTGCAAATGCAAATTTTGTGCCCTTCAAGTTAATTTGCGGACAGGTTTTCATTATAAATCTATCAAAATAAGTGAATTCAAATTAATTCAATATGCATATAATTTTCTCCAAATATCAATGAGATGATCAAATTATGCTTTACGTATGATTATCTCTGTGACGTTAATTATGATTCACTTAATATAATGTATGAAAACAAAGAAAAGTTAAATATTCTGTCCCTTTATCTTAATATTCTGCCGGTAAATATGCCTCAAAAATTCTGTAATTTCTGCTTTTCCTGGTGTTAGAATTTTTAATTTTCAACAAATTATTGCTATTATAATTCTCTTTCTAAATATTTTTGCCTGTAAGTACGTGAATAAAACCGGTCTTTTGCAATAGCAGATAGAGTAAGATTTGTTTTAATTTAAAGAAATTTAAAATGGCAATTCAAATAAAGTTACCACAATCATAAAACAGTTAGCACAATGTAACTGAAAGAGAGAAAAACAGAACTGTAGCCCTGATTTCTTTTGCTGGGGCTATTTAATTAGCAACATATTTCCTGTTGTTGTCAAATCTCTCACGGGATGGGGAATTCTGTTTAGATGCGCGGTTGCTTTGTCTTGTCCGCCTTTTGCCCTTGCGATGCAAAAGCCGACAACCGCTTCCTTTGTTCTTGAAACAACTCACAAGGACATAAATATTAATTTATTTAAATTCATTTAATTTCAAGAAAATTTTTAGGCCAAATATTTTTATAATTGTTTCACTTTATACCTAATTGAAGAGGTTAACACTGGTGTCTCGCATTTTACCTGCAGAATTCACTCTTCTCATGGTTTTTAATTATCCCGCACACCCGTCGATTGAGCTCCGAATCTCCCTCTTTCCAACGGAGTCAGTCCTGCTGCACGTCAAACTTTTCGCTGCTCTCTTTCGCCGTAAAAATAAATTAAAACTCAAACTTCTCCTCCTCTTCACTCCATTTTTAATAACCCTTTTCTCCGCTCCCTCTGCATATTAAGGCTGACAAAAGACTTGATGAGATTTTTTACTGGCGGAATAATTAATTTCGGAATAATTTTTAAGTGCGCCGAGCGAGCACAAAAGACGCCGAGAATCGCGCGCGCACCTCCCGAGGTTTCTAATTAATTAACACGGCCGAGCTTCTTTATCTTCTCCCTTACTTTCTTCCGTCTCACAATCAGCAAAGAATAAAATATTTGCTGATTGAGCTGCGGACGAGAGAGAAAAGCTCCCAAAACTTTGCAGCTCCCTTATATTTGATTTGTTTTGTTTGCCCCGAGTTTTAAATATTTGGATCACGTTCTGCGCCGCGCTGCTGGGTTACATCTTGCCAGCAGACCATCCCCTCGGGGACCTGAAAAACAAATAAAATAAAATGTACCAATCTTGGTTGGGTACAAGTTGTGAAAGAGTCGTCACTCTCCAAAAACCAGTTTTTATCTGGCAAAATAATTATAAATTATTATTAATATTTTTTACCTTTTAAATTTTTCCTTTTTTTTTTGTTATATTTTGCGATGCATTGACATATTTAATTGCTAGTTAAAATTGTATATAAAACTTCTTTATCATTTATCCTGATCTAATTTTGATGCGCCTTTGTGATAATACAAAGTTTTTAGGCTATAAGTTTTATTTAAATCAAACGATGGAAATTGGAAAACTAAAATTTACTTTGTTTTATTTTTCAGGTCCGAATTTTCCAGCAGAGACCACCCTATTGTAAGTACCAGATTTTATTGTGTCTTTTGTTCCGCGGTTGTCTTTCCTGTTTTTTGAAAATTGAAAATACCATGCCCAGTGCCAGAAAATTTTTGTTTGAGTAAAGCAAACTCAATTTTGAGTCTCTTTGCGCTGAAATTCTCGTAAAATCCTCCTATATAGTTGCGGAATGTATATGCGCGCCGTGTTGAATAAGAATACACTCTCTCTAGCAAACACGTAGAATGCCTTACCTGCTTGCGCTATTCCCGAAGGCATTTCGTCGTACATACATTTTCGTCCTCCGCGCTCTTCTCTCGCCGGGTGTAGAGTTTTCACACAAGAAACCGCCGCCACCCAGCAGCAGCAGAATTTCGTACGTCAGGAAAAAGCTCCAGCTAATATCCATATATCCAAAAACGCCATGCAAGCTTTTATCTCTTAATGGCCTTTCGCGTGAATTTTTATCCCTCCCTTATCGATCAGCCTTCATTTCGCAGATTCTCTCTTTTTCTATTAAAGAAGAAGAATAAGTTTTTGGGTCCATTTTGCAGCGTAATGAGCACATTTGGCGGTCGTAAAGCAAGGAGCGAAAAGTGCCTGTTAAACGGCGAGGTTTGGCCACAAAGCGGCGCCGCAACAACCTGCATCATTGCGGGCGGGGGCTGCTCTTTATTGTGCGAAAAACCATCTGGAGAAGTAGGTTGGTTGCGGCCTTCGGGTGTATGAGCAACTACGGGGGTTGCAGCTCGTAAAACCCTGATGATCCACGACCGTTCTCGCTCGTTCCGAAATCGTGCAACTTGCGACCTTAGCTATTGAAAAACTCAATACACCTTCTCCCGCATCATTAGTTACGAATAATATTTCTAATTGATATCACAGAGGCAAGCTATGCCCATAACCAGAAACATCGATCATAATTTCATAGTTTGTGTTAAAAAAATTTAAAGGTTTTTTGGCTTAATGTCTTTACATTTTAGATTGCTTGATATATATTTTCATTTTTCTCTGGCTCAAAACAAGCAAATTTATATGAAATTCACGCAATTAGTTAAACTTTTATCTTATGTATTAAAACGGTTTGTGCATTATTGAGTTATAACACTTTTATAGCGTCTGACTGAGAGTAAAGAGTTTGAGCTTAATTTTGAAATTTATTTCACATTGGGAGGCTTCATGGGACTTTAATTTAGATATTTACTTTTAAACCCTACATGAGCTTCCAACTTATTGAATTTTTTTTATTCAGTATGAAGTTCAATCTAACTCATTGCTGCTCTTCTAATATTAACTATACCTTTATATTATAGACTCACGCAGTTTATCTTTCCGAACAAATTGAAATAAGGAGGAGAGAAAAACTTTGGAGTGAATTAATCAAGAGAGATTCAACTGCGTTTGATTTTAAAATGAAATATTATATGGTCGCATTATTAATTTTCCATTCTTGAAAGCTCAATTTTTCATTCTTTAATTAAATATCATATTTCTTGGACGGTTTGTGACACATTTTATCGAGACAAAAAAATCAAATGGAATAAAAAAGACATTAAAAAAATTGGTTATAGAATTAGCAAAACGGATTTATTTCTTTCAAATAATGAATAAAAAATCATGTTTTCAAAAATTTAATTACTGTATTAGCACAAGAGGGAATAATGCATCTTGGAATTATTAACATACACCAGTCTTCACGTACACAAAATCTGAAAGAAAAAAAAACATCAAGAATTTTTCTTAGTAATCATATTTAGAAATAACATAATAAATAAGGAAAATCTTACTATTTATGCCGTTGCAGTTCCGAGCCCTCATGCTGCAATGGTTGGAGAAGGTTTTGAGTTCGCCCTTGCTGTTCTTGCCGCAAATTGGTGCGTAGTTGAAAGGGCAGATGATTAGGTGTTTGCAGCCAGCACGACCCCGGGCAGAAACCTCCAGCATAACCAAGCTTGCTGAAAGTTCAAATCCATTAGTTCTATATTTTGTAATCAAGCATGACAGAGCGGTAATATAATTCCAAAATATAAAATTTTCGCCAAGCTTGTGTAGAACAGACACCTTGAAAAACCACATTGGCGTAAAAACAGGAACTTGTTATCTCTCTACTTCTAATTTATATCTCATATTTTTTCTGCTTCCACGTAAAATCAAATTTTATAAATTCAAATAAGAAATGGTTTTATTGTATTTATGTTTTAAAGAAGACAGTGTCTATGATAAAGCAGTATTTGCCAATTAAGGGGGCATAATTTGCCTGATCAAGATGAAATTCCTGCCATGGCAAGAAGTTTCCAAAAATTTATAATTTGCACTCAAAATTTATGGGTTTTACAGGATGTTCAAATTTGGGCTGTCTACATTCAAAAAATCGAGATGGTTTTGGAATTGTCTCGTTGCCCCTAACAACTTATTTGCTGGTGAGACGCAGTTTTATTTAAAATTCAAATGATGAAAAAAATTAACATTATATAATCTATCAGTAATTCTGTCTCAAAATAATGAAAACAAAATCTAGATGTCTTCTAGAAATTTAAAAATAATTGATCAATATTCCAAAATCCAAAGCATTAGTTTTTACTCTAAAAATTTATCCTTGATTGAATAATTTTTTAAACTTCATTTATACATTTTCAACTATTCTAAATATAAAATAATTTGGAAAAAATAATTATTTGATACTAATTTAAATGATGATTAAACTCAGTCTGAATGTATGTGGCTCGATTTTCAAATTGATTATGATTGACAGATTCTCACCCATGATGCAAAACACGGCGAATTTCATGTTGGCGTGTTGTTGTGGTATTTGGATATTCTCCTTTGTGTTTTGAGACAGCCCGCGTCCTCTTTATATGGCGATTGAGACCACTTGTCACGTGCTTCCCGCGTAAACCAATAAAAAGCCAAATCCTCGTTAATTCCGTTTGTTCTGTTTATTGTTTACATCTTGGGTAAAACCTCTCTACCGCACCACTTATTATTCTGTCTTCTTGGTGAGTTCGTCTCTTGCATATCTCTCTTTACTAAACTAATATTCACATTTAAATTTATATTAACTGATTCATATCTTTTGGTTTTTGCTCTTCAAAAAAAAATAATATGTGGGAAAGCTTTCAAATTTCACAAATTAAGAGCAGCTTTTGCAAGTTTATGTTTGAGCAAAATGTAAAACCAGACCTGTGGCCTAACCTGGATATGTCAGCAGAGCTGAAAATGCAATTTGAAAATGTAATTTGGCGCGGGAGAAGGGGCGAATTGCGGGCAGAGGAGATGACACAAGTGTTGTGAATATGCACAAATTTTACGAGAGATGACGGCGCAGGGAACGAATTGCAAAGCTTCAAGTTGTTAAAGGGTTGCGCGTTGGCCTAGCGAGCTTATCTCATTACGAGTCGGCGCGTGAATACTTAATTACTCATTAAATGACACGGCTCGTTAATAATTCATAATTTTTACAAAAACTCGCAGGGGAGCAGAGAGAAAAGCTAAAACTACATTTTCCTGCAGCCGCGATAGCAAGAAAAGTTTTAATGGGAATCTGTTCATCTGGCTGAGTCGGAGAAAAAACTTATCTGCACAAATCATAATTAGGATTTATTTTTCCAGGAGCAAACTTTGCGAATAAATTATTCAGCCGGCCCCGAGATAAACTTCTTATTCCTGCAATGATTACACTTTTCTCGCGCGCCGAACTCTTTCCTTCTTCTTTTCCCTCTGCAGATTTTTAATTGCTTAATTATAATCTTCCATTCTTTTTTATTGTTTGCTCGAGAAAGTCTCTCTCTCTCTGCTCGCTTTTCCAATTCCGCCTTTTCCTGCTGGGCGAGAATGAGCTTGTGAGAGAAATAATGCAATTTCCTCTGCGTTTCGCCGACGGTATCATGGGCGCTTGCTGAGATGATTTTTTTCTTCTCTCACTCTCCGTCGGAAGTTGGAATTAAAATCTCTGGAGACCTGCAGGCCGGGCCCGTGCTGCAGAAAACTCGCCGCCGACCATTTCTTATTATTTTGCAGCCGCGTCTAATATCCTGGCGCACTACGGCAATCACGAGAGAGAAAGAAAGAAAAACCGGAAAATACAAACCGTTCCAATACGATGCAAAGCTCTCATATTTATTTTCATCATGATGTGAACATTGTCACATTTGTCTCCGTTTTACTCAACTCTTCTGGTAATTTAACTTGTTATTTTTAAAATTACACTTTTTCAAAAGAGTAATTTAAGCGAAATCATAAAGTTATGTCAACTTTTGACTAAATTTATTTTATTATCTCACTGAACTCAGTTTTTTTTTAATTGAATTATTTAAAATGAGAAGTTATTCGGGGCATAATTTTTTTTTTAAATCAGATGTAACTTTATAGTTAAAAAAATTATGTATTATACATGGAAGAAAATATTGGAAATGTTGATTTATACCTACGAAAATGTTTAAAATTTCTTGCATTTTAGAAATTAAGCCAGACATTAAAATAATTAAAATTAAAATTTTTCTTCTGATAATTGTAACTGCCTTCGCAAAGCATATATGTACTTCAATATTAAATTTGATAAACAAAAATAAAAAACACTTTCATTTTTGGCATTTTTTTCCATCATAATTATTAATTAAATTTACCATACCGGTTGCAAATTTTGCATCCATTGCGTTGTCTTTTGCTGCTTGCAACGCGAAATCGAATAGCCCGTTCAGCTCCCCGACTTATTCTTTTGGGGTCGACTTGGTGGCAGGGGATGATTCTGCCGATGCCGCAGCAGCACCACCTCTGCATGGGTGATCTAGTGGCCCTCTTCTCTCATAACTCGCCGCTCCGAGTCTCGATCATTGCACGCCGGGGAATTCGATGACAAATGCAAGCCTTCAGCAAACTTCAAATTAGTTCCAGCCTTTCCTCCCTCGCGCAAATCAACTCTCCACGACCGTTTTCGCGCTCACTCCTGCGTGGTCCTCCATCGTGCGACACAATTTATTACAAAATCTTCTCGTCTCTTACTCGCGCTCCTGCATCATTATTTTTTCTCTGCCTCGAAACGAGCAAAGTGGCATGAAAGTCACGCTTGTTATTTAAAAAGATTATTTTGTGGTAAATAAATTTCTATGACTTTTAAACCTTAAGATAAGCATACAAATTTTAAGCTAACTATGGACATTTCACACATCGGGAAGCTTATTTGGCTTAATTTTATCTAAATTTCATTTGAGTCAAATAGAATTAAATATTGCTGCTTTTAAATGAAGTTTAATCTAAATCAATGCTGCAGCTTTTATTGCCATATCTTGACGTGCTCCACTTTTTTCAAGCTCAGATCACGCTCTATTTGTCTCTAGAGTGTGCTGCTAAAGAAAAATATTTAACAGGCTGCATTTCATCACGTCTGATCAAAGAACAAACTGAAAGAGCTGAGAGAAAACTTTGGAGAAGTGAATCAATCAAGGGGCGATTTGACTGCGTTTCAATTTAAAAATGAAGTATGCGATCGCATTATTAGTTATGGTGTATATTTTCGGTGAGTGTGATTTGCAATGAACAGATTTTGTTTGTCCTTTTTTTAAATGAACTATCAAATAGGGACTTTGATATATTTTCAATTTTAATTCATTCAAACTTTCTCAGCGTCTTTGCACACCGATTTTGTATTGTCACAAACAACGGTCAACCGCATGAAAACAACCACAAAGACTACGACCAAACGATTACCTACCACGATCAGGAAGATTCCTTTGCCTGTTCGAACTGACAATCAAGGGAAAAAATATTCAAGAATTGAAGACAAAAGTGAAGGCAAGGTTTCAGTTATGAGAATTATAACCTGTATTAATGTATGTGTATAGGGAACCGGCCTCACCGTGATGCGATGCAGGTTGCATAACCACCTGCCTACAGAAAGCAAAGTTGGAGTTTTGAATTGGACACGAAAAATTCATGGGTGCACTTTCATCAATTTTAAAAATGGATTCAATTATATAGATTTTTAAAAATTTTATCGCGAAAATCAGTTTCAAAAGTTATGGAATGAATAAATTTTTTCTATGGTGATCATATTTTATTTTAATTTTGTAAGCTGCAAAAAAATAATTTGTTTCGTTTTGAACGGGTACATTTTGGCTATTTACTGCATTTTTTACTTTTAAACAATATGCTCCGTCATATTGAATACCCTCAAGGATATGTAAGTGGCAAAAAAAGTATAAATTAAAAGGTAGTTTGTGGGCCTTTTTTAGGACCCACTTTTTAGTTACTTATTCACCAGAGTTGCTGACGTTGCTTAATTTTATCTTTTCCCTCTCTCGTTTGTGACTTGATTTTAGAGGAATAAATAGTAATAATTATCAGCAAATTAATGAATGAATTTATTTTAATTTTTCTTTTCAACCGATACCATGCAGCTGGTTGTTATTTTATACAATTCGAAAAATTGGTAGTTTGAAGTAGACTGATAATTTAAAATACTTCATATTTTATATAGTGAGGCGGTATTTAAAATTTTTGGTATTTTGATCAATCTTATAATTTCTTTTTCCTTTTGTAAGTGAAAAATAGATTTTTTAGATCCATTGATTTTTATTCTTAATTTGCTGATTTTTAACAAACGAAAAGGATACGCAGATCGGCACATGTGTTAATTTTCGAAAGCGCTTTTGGTTGCATCGCAGCTTAAACTAATATTTGCTGAGGCGAAAATTTGAAGAGGACGCTCGTTCTTTCCTGAAATATCGCACGCCGCGGAGGGGACCCTGAGCGGGCTGTAATTAGTAGGTTGACAGACAGTGGTCGACAAAAGGTAGTACTGACGAATTGGCTTTTTATTGGCCTGCGCGGGGAGCACGTGACAAGCGGCCACAATCGCCATATAAAAGAGGACGCGGGCTGACGCAGAACACAAGGAGAATATCCGAATCACACAACAACACACCAACATGAAATTCGCCGTGTTTTGCATCATTGGTGAGAATATTTATATTTTAGCTTACTTGACAATCAGGCCAGATATTAAAAATTAATAATTTAAATTATTTGGTTAAAAATACTTATTTGAAATTTTGTGATATATTGAATAATTGAAATTCTATGTTTGTATTTATCTATTTATTGATTGAAAACATGTATTTTTGTTTTTAAACTGATGCTTTGGCAAATTTATAAATTATATTAAAGTAGAATGGCATCAAAAAATTTTTATTGTTCTTTTGGGCAAGATTTTTTATTTGAAAAATACTGCAATAGCACAGATTTTAACAAAATTTCTTTGTTTACAATAGCAAATACTTAAATTTACATAGCTGCAGCACTTGCAGCAGAAAAATGATAAAAACCAGACGGAATAGATAGCGAGGCCCAGTTTTTACGCCATGGTTTTTCAGTGTGGCCTTTGTCACGCACTGCCTCGGCGTGAATTTTTTATATTTTGAATAAATATTAAAACTTTGTCGTCGTGATTTTTATTGTATGAATATTGAATTAGTTAATTCATATTGTATTTGAACTTACAGCCAGCCTGGTTTTGCTGGAGGTTTCGGCCCAGGGTGCTGGCGGCGACTGCCCCACCATCTGCCCTCTGAACTACGCACCAATTTGCGGCAAGAACAGCAAGGGCGAACTCAAAACCTTCTCCAACGAGTGTGGCATGAGGGCTCAGAACTGCAACGGCAAAAATGGTAAAATAAATTCTCATTAATTATTTTTGTCTATACGAAGTTACTTAAAAAAATAATGCTCTTTTTTTCAGACTTTGCGCAGGAGAAGACTGGTGCCTGTGACTAATTTCTGGCCCCGAGGCATTTGCTGATATGATTAATCAAGATGCTTGCATTTATTTTTTAAAAACCGTGTGATTTTATTATTTGGAGGAAATAAATCCGTTTGCTTATTCTGTCAACTAATTGCTTTTTGTTTTTGTAGTTTTTATTCCTTTTGAAATTTGAAGTATACATTTTTTAAGGCAAAAATGTGATATTTTAAAGAGGATATTTTTGAAAGCATGAAAAACTGGGTTTTTGTGAATGTAAACTTGAGTGGCTTAGTACAAAATTACCGCGAGCTACAGATGTGGTGCCCCTAAGGCCGCGGTCGATCGCTCTCAAGTGTTGGTCAATAAAAGTCAATCTAGGCGAAACTGACGCGGATGCTCCATCTCATATCACCATTGGTTGAGCCACTGATTGGCACTAAAAGAAGAGAAAGATGCTCCCCTCACGGCATTGTTTATTTCTTGGGCAGAACCTCTCCACTGCACCATGAGTCCGTACATATTATTCTGCCTTCTCGGTGAGTTCGTCTCTCGTATCTCTCGCATCTCTCTTTCCCAAATCCCAAACTATTCCAAAAAGCAATGTAGATTTTCTCAATTTCACTTTTTTATACAATTTGGGCCCCAAAAATTTCGGTCCGATTTGAGCGGCCAACTTTTGCTCCTAAATTGCGATTCGATTTCAGAATCGGGACGTGACCTCATTCACGTATTGTGTCATCTTCATTAGAACAGACTGAGCGACGCAGTTTATTATTGCATTTGGAGCAAAAGGACGGCTTTGAAAAATGTGACTCACCGCCGTCACCGCTTTTGATTGATAAGAGCAATGCCAGGGAAAAAAGCATGCAGGTGAATCAACTTCCGGCCCTGCTCGAAATCAGCTCGTTCTAAATTTTTATCGTACTTTTCTAGTAGCTTCCAAATTTAAAAAAAAAAAATCAAAACCTTTTTACCACAGATTAAAACTTAAAATGGATTTCAAATAAATTGAGAAACTTTTAAGAATTTGAATACATTTTTGAGGGCCGGTAACTTTTGGGGCCCACATGCGTTTGTACCCTCGGACCTCTCGTTGCCTCCGTCGTGAGGGCCACGTGACCTGTGGCCCGACCGACCCTTGCCACGTGATAAACAAGTTGTGTTGCCAGCAGGCCTGCTGTTGGTGATGGCGTGCTCTGCGCGGGCAAAGGATCGCTACAGGCTCAAATCAGACATGGTCGATTGTCCGTCGATGACCTCCTGCAACCCCGGCCACAAACCCCTGTGCGCCAGGAATGCGCAGGGCCACGTCCGTTCGTTCAACAACCCTTGCGTCATGAGAGTGATTAATTGCAAGGAAAGGACAGGTTGTTATTATTTGCAAATTTTAAGTCGGACCGCGTGTGTTCTAAAAATGATGATATTGATTTCTAGATTACGCACGGATACGAAAAGGAGCGTGTTGACGATATTATATGATTCATCGCCTATTCCACACATGACAAAAATCGAGATTAAAGATAAAATCAATGCGTAGCCTTACCTCTCAGCGCTGTAGTTTCGGTCTTGAATTATTAAGTTATTGTATAGCTGGTAACATTTTTAGTCTTTAGAGTTTTCATGCATCTCCATCAAACAAAAACTTTTTTATTATTTTTAAGGAGTTCGCAGTATCATTATCCTTTCATCAAATAAAAAAAAAAGAAATAACGAAAATAGCCTCTTTTAATAAAATTCTTTGTTATATATTTTAGATTTTTTTTAAAGATAATTGATTAGAGTAATCACTCTGGAAATTACAATTGCAAAAAAAAAATTAATTGTTTGCACAGGCAAAGTGTGACATTAGACATTTTCAAAATAACTAAAATTACCAGATTCAAACAAAGAAAAAAACGGGGAGATTTTTTTTAAATCATTATGACGTTTATCCTTGATCTCTTTCGACTAAATCAATTTTTATATCATATTTCTGCATATAATATATTTTTTTAATCCAAGGCACAAAAATATTTTTCAAAATTCTTGTAAACATGATAAGAGAAAAATGGGTTAAAACCAACCAGAAATTTATACTATATACAGAAGCTGCAGATGAAGCTGTTTTGAGCGGAGCAAGGTCCAGAAGCGTCTTGAACTTTCCTCATTGTTTTTTACAGCAGCGTATTTTTTCATATGCGCATCACAGACGGTTTTTAATTGCCGACGATATGATGTGATTTAAGCGCAAACACATTTTGAGGAAAATTTTTAAAGCTTTTATACCAAGGCCATAGTTTTTTTTTTATATTCAAAATGTCAGCTCGCAATTTAAGATGTTTGGTCAGTAAATGTGCCGGTCATCCTGCGCTGGAAGAGGAATTAACTCTCCTCGCGGCGAAGGTGAAGGACTTCCCAAATATTGACAACTTGCGCGTGAGTGAGTCTGTCAGAGATAAGACGACCAGAGATAAACTCGAGTCGCAATATAAAGAGGAAAAACGCTGATTAACCCGCAATACAGACTTAGCAACCGAAAATGAAGCTCACCGCCTGCCTCTTGTTCTGTAAGGATATATTTTATTTTTCATCATTCATTAAAGATTTTGAAAAAGAATATAATTTATTAAAACGTTAAAATAATTTCAGTTTTTGCGCTGATCGTGGCCGCCTTTGCCTCTGACTGCCCCACAGTTTGCACTTCAGAGTACAGACCAGTCTGCGCCAGAAATACCCTTGGCGAAGTAAAAACGTTTGCAACCCTTTGCACTCTGAAAGCACAGAACTGTCTCCAGAAAACTGGTGAGTTGATTTTGGCCTAGTTTTAATGAATTTATCTAATATTTGAATTTTTAACAGATTTTGCGTTCGAAAAAGATGGAGCGTGCTAGCCGTTTGATTTAGATGGATTGGTGGGAAAAATTGGCTTTACGATAATTTTCGTCAGTTTAGTGAAATATTTATTATAAAATGTGTACAATTTTTAAAAAATTTGAATAAATTTTATTTGCATTTGATCATCGCTATTTTATGAAATCTGATTAAAATCTTTTTATCCTAAATTTTAACATCTTTCTGGTTTTAAAAGTTTTAATTTTAAGTTGAAAATTAAATTAATTGGCAATATGCAAGCCAACGCCCATATTGCGTTAATCTTATACAAGAAATAGTTTCTTTCAATCAAATTTTAGTTCAGAAAAGCAGAAAATTTATTTGTATAAAAAGTAGTATGTGAAATTTGAGAAAAAAATTAAAATTTTTATGTAATTTTTTAATTTATCTAGAAAAATTCTGACCATATTTTTTTCAAAAATAATTAAAGAAAAGTTGAAGCAGAAATTTAAAATTAAGTGTGTGTTAATTTGCTAGAAAATCACCTGATAAATTGCCCTTGAAAGTTATTCTTTGCATTAGCGCTCATTCAAAATTTTCTAGAATAAAAAATAATTTGCAGGTTGTGGCAAAAATTTTCAAAATGCATTTGTTATATTGAAAAGGTTGAAATATGAGGTGCCGGACGTGAAGCATGGTCGTCATCGCACGCGCCGGCCAAGGTTGCGGCCACAGTGTGTTGCGAGTGAGCGAACGGACTCGATCGGGGTTCATTTGCATAAGTGCGCGAGTAACTTACTTAGTTAATAAATATATGCGGCGTCACTTTTGTTTAGCCAGTCCTCTCTTGAAGCCACTCGCAGCAACAAAATGAGGCTTTGCGCGCTGCTTTTATCGCTTGTTGTCCTGCTGGTATTTGCCTTTGGTGGGTCCTCCTAAAATCATTTTAGGCGAAATTATTCACTGTCTGCTCAAGGCGCCGAGGCGATTCCTGCCAACATACTAAAGCCGCCTAGCAACGCCAATAAGAGCAACGCGATGAGTCCTTCGGGAGGATGCAACTGCAGGTGCAACCTCAGCCATAACGACGTGTTCTGCGGTGTCGACCCAAAAAACGAGAAACAGACTTTCCAAAACGACTGTCAGCTTGATTGTTACAACTGCACACACGATGCTGGTAAAAAGGATAAAAAGAAATTAAAAATCTCCTCCAGTCAGAGATAATTTTTGTCACATTCTAGCATTTAGGAGGCGATACAGCGGCGAATGCAAAAAATAAACCTGTGACCTTTAACCATCTATAATCGCCATGAACTGCAGCACACAGTTAATTTGTCTACAATTCTTTGCTGAAACTTATTCACGTTGCTGAAATATTGTATTTTGTTTTTAATATCAAATAAACTTTATTAAAGAATAAAACAAAATTAAAACTTTTTACGTTACTTAGTTTTCTATTACATGATTATGAAGTAAAAAAAATGCTGAATCATTAGAGTATTTTGACGAGTTTCATTCTTGAATTATAAAGGTTTAATTATTAAAATGCAAATACGATGTACTTGTAACTTCATTATAAATAATTTACAATTTTTTTATGATTTCAAAAAATTTAATTTTTTCCTCAATTTTTTCCATTTACACACATAATTTCAAACTTTTTTATTATTCAGCGCAGGAGCATGGGTTAGTATTATGATTTGATATTATTGAATTTTTCGTGTAATAACGATTATGAATAATTAATGAAAAATATTTATAGATTAACATTTCATAATTATATGTTTAAGAATGATGTAATTCAGCAATCAACAGTATTTGGAGGTCACATTAAGATTAAGGGAAAAGTCAAAACATTTGACTTTATACTAATAGAACTGTACACTGAATTAAAACTTGACCAAGCCGCCACTATTCGCCAAGCAGTACAAACAAAAATTGACAATTATCATGCTTCTCGTTCATTCTCTGATCTTTATAAAATAAATACCTGTTTCTTACAATCTTGTGATGTAAATTAATCGCATTTGATTTGAGAAGCAATTATAAAAAGGGGAAAATTATACCAACAATTGCATGTTGATTTAATATAATTAGCAAATAATTAGAAATTGAAATAATAATTTTTTTAACAGCATAAATTTAATAAAATAAATGAAAAAGAGAGTTAAAAATTTAATAGTCAAGCTTTAATTCATTAGAATAATATAAAGAACTAGAAATACTAAAACTTATATAAGTTTCTAATTATTATAATAATGTTCATTTGCGCCATTTGCCAAATATTAAACAAAATTTAGCTGAAAAAAAAACAGTAATTTTTGGGAGAAAATTATTGAATTTTAGACTAGATGACAAAAGTTTTTGCCTAGATGTAAAGTGTATATTAAAAAAAATCCTTTCAATTTTTAAAAAAGCTTTTTCTATGTTGCAAAATCTATCGTCAACAAGGAAAAACGTTATTTATTTTTCGTACTGCTGAAGCGATCGTTGACTCAAGTTGACCTATTGGATGAAGAGAGAAGGGCATGCGCTAATGCTAATAAGAATTCACGAGAAGCTCGACGTTGGTGCGACTTCTTTTCTCAGAATAAAGAGCCAGTTTTTGATGCGCAAAATTTTCGTCTGTCGTTTGCCTAGTGACAGCGCGAATTTATCTTCTTCCCATTCGCCCGTAATTGCGCAACAAACTAAAGTCGCGGCGACGAAAAAAAAAATAAATTCACAAAAGAGGCCTTTGTGTGTTTGGCCTTGTTTGTCGTTCGCTGGTATAAAACTCCGTGGCGCTCGCGACATTCTGTTCAGTGCACATCTTCTATCTTATCATAGTCAATACACATCATTCGCTCTCGACCGACTAACCCGTTAGCAGCTGCGAAATGGCAAAATACACAGGTATTAATCTTATTTCTTAACAATGATCCGATTTAAAATTTATTATTTCTGTGAACTTCTTAGTAACTGAGACGTTTCTGCAAAATATTCTAATCCATGCTAAACAGTTACATTGTGTAAACAATTTAATCCAAACAAACAAATAATGTATCAAAGTATAAATATAGGAAAAAAAAAAGCTTCTCTTATTTGTTTACAATTAATAATTTTAATTGTCTCTTGTAAGTTGTAATAGATAATTTTATTTTAATCCAAATTTCTCCCCAGTTTTTATTGCTCTGATTGCCTGTGCACTCATCGTCGCCGTCCAATTTGCCGAGGGTCAAGTAGGACCTGAGTGCGGTTGCACTTGCAAGAGAAACCTGGAGCGCGTCTGTGGCAAGAACTCGAATGGTGAATTCAAAATCTTTGGCAATAAATGCCTTTTGGATTGTGAAAACCGATGCCTCAGCAAAGGTAAAAATTATTAATTATGATAAATTATAATATTTTCTTCATTCAAATTATGGTAAAATTGCAGATTTCAGCCAGGTTGAATATACAGATTGCAGCCAGTGAGCGAGCGATGCACCTGACCATTTTGATGTCTGAAGAGCTTTTTAATCTTAAAATTGAAAATATTTTTTATATTTTTTTAATTTTAGTTATTTTTGTGATACAATAAAATAATAATTAATGTGAATTGAAATGACTGTAAATTGTTTTGTTTCTAATATTTGCCATTTTCAAAAGTTAAAATTAATCTACTATTTTAAACTCACTTGAAAGAAATAAAAACACTGAACTTAAAATATGAGCAAAATTCAACAATTATTTATTCAACAAACATGACGATGCAATAAGATGAGACGAATTGTGAGAAAAATTAAATAACTGTGCAAAATGAGCACCCAGGACTTGGTGAAAGGATGGGGTGATCAGTGGCCTGAGTCAGACCTGGGCAAATAAGTGATAATTGCTTTGCTTGAAAAATTAGCAAACGTGGTGGCGATTAATAGACGCAAGGGGCGGTGACAAAGTCGTTGGACTGAGGATGGTAATTGGGGTCGCAGGGGGTTCCAGCCACAGCGGTGGACTCATGGGCGGCGAAAATGCGAATGTTGACGTCATTCAGATCCAGAGAGGAGAACAGGTATCTGAAAAAAAATAATTTTAATTATAATTCATAAATCTTTTACGTTTAAAATTTGGATTCATCAAGAGTATAATGGACAAATTTCGAAATAATAATTTTTTAATGTAGTTTTACGAATTTGCTAACTTATATTTAATCATTAAATCCAATGAAGCTGACTGAATTAAGAAGAATTTAAGTACAAAAATTAACAAACATTTAAACTAGACCGGTGACAAAAAAGTCTTTATTAAGGTGATTTTTTGAGTCGCAACTTTTAGTTAAAAAGTACCAGGTAAAGTCGTTAAACTGGAAAATAAACAATAAAGTCTAATAAATGACCATAATTAATTCAAAATAATTCAGGATTTTAAAGAAACGTTAAAAAGAGTTAAAAAATGAAATACCGTTAATTTTTCTCACATAATTATTTTTCGTACAACACAGAATTCATTTTGGAGTGACTAAAAAAAAGCGAAAATACTTTTTAACACAATTTAAATAATACAATGGGTTTTAAATTTAACTTGATAAATTATCTGATTCTTTTATCACTGATTATATAGCCACAAATTTGGCTTTGTGTCAGTATGCTCTGCATTTTTATTGCAATTTTAAATTTAATTAAAAAATTTTAAATCAGATAGTATGAAAGCGAACCAATTAAATATAAATGCAGCAACTGGCAAACGTCTTGTGTTTTGCAAGTTGCCTACGCTCCAAGTGACCTCCTTTCTCTTTGAAAGCGCTAACAACTTATAATATCAAGAGGAAGCAATAGTGACTCTATATGGCCCTAATTTATCTATCAAGAGTGAAAGTGAAACTTGAACTTGGCTCTCGTCAGGATTAAGCAATACAAATAAATATATAAATTACCTGGGCAGGCGGTTGCTGAGGACCCAGACGTTGTTGAACTCGTCGACCTTGACGTCGTTGGGGAAGTTGAGGGTGACGGGGTCTCTGGCGACCTCGCCCTGCAGGTTGGGCAGGTAGGGCAGACGCGAGTTCCAGCAGGCGACGGCGTCCCTGGTGACCAGGTTGTAGAACATGAGGCCGGAGCTGGACATGGCCGTGGCGCCGGCGTGCCATTGGGCGTCGACGCCGCCGCCGCGGGCCGGCAGGACGGTGAACGAGCTGTCGTCGACGGTGGTTTCGTTGCGAAGGGCGGAGGTGGGCACGGCGAACGCCCTGGTGCCAGACATGGGGGTGAAGTACAGGGTGCGGTCGTTGTTGACCACGGGGGCAAGACCGAAGCCGAACACGCCGTCGTGCCACCTGAAGTCCACTCCGGAAGTGTTGTACCTGAAATTTCAATGAGAATTTAGAAAGATTCCTTGAATTTAATATTTTAAAAACTGATAATGTGTGAAAAGGGTTAAGCAATACGCTATATATTCAAATTTAAGAAGAAAAAAAGGTTAAAAATGATCGAAAAAGATTTTCTAAATTTTGTTTCCATTTGAATTTGTTCCCAGAAATTAAAAATTATCTAAATAATATTTAGGCAAAACAGAAATTTAACAAGCACGTTATATTTTGCCATCAGGTTTGCCCACACGCTAAATTAAGTCATTTTGCAGTATCAAATCCATAAATAAAATTGTTAACGATTTTGAGCTGCTGGGTAGTTTCTAAAATAATTCAATCTGACAGACTCATTGCCAAAACGATATTATCATGTTACATACGGCGTTCAATTATATAAGCTGGCGGAAAACGTTAAATTGAATGTGGTGCCCGTTAGCGTGTAATTTGCTAGCATTTTTTACGCCCAAGCATGTTTTTTATGCCCGAAGTTTAAGTTCATTGCAAAAAACTTGCTCCACGGCACGAGCCGTTCAAGGTGATGTAGCCTGATCTTGACATTAAAGTGCTACTACCTTATAAATAAAAACGCCTGTAGATCTCTTGCAAGACGTGTTGGAAAAGAGATAAAACAGATAAATTGACCGCGTGAGAGAGAGTTAAAAAAATCACATTCATGCTTATTTAATGAAAGAGTAGATAACGCGTATGTAATCTTTTTATGTAATGTTTTTTTTTACCCTGGATAATGGATAAACCAAAAGAAAAAAACTATAACTCTTTTTTTACTTTAATGATATAAAATTGGGCTTTTGAATCCTGGACGTTGGAAATTTAAATAAATAAAAAGAAGAGTAACTTGCGCACAACAGCCAAATTTTTCCACCAAAGTGAAAAAACTCCACCCAAATTATCCAAGCCCACCATAAGTTTTTGTTAATTGCCCTTCTCAATGTGTGTTTTCAGGTGTCTGACCTGCAGGCGAGAGGGTCGGACTGCATGTAGTTGTGCTCGACGCGCCAAGAAGAGTTGGAGCTGGCGCTGTAGACGACGATGCCGAAGCGCCAGGCGTCGGCCATGTAAACGTGCGTGTCCTCGCAACGGCCGTTCCTGGTGTCCACAGCCAGGTTGGAGAACAGACTGCCCTGACGCACGTTCTCCTCGGGCAACACGTGTCTCACGACCACCTGGTCGGTGTTGAGGTCAAAGGCCAGCAGCTTGGGGGGACACTGTTGGACGCCACCTTCGGCAACGTCCACCTCACCAGCGTCCAACACCCACAGCCTGCCGCAAGCGTGGTCAATCTGCAAAGACATAAAAGGTCAGTGAACTCATTTAAATGTACAGATTATCCTTTTTGGCTGGGACACTCGATATGTATAATATGTATTTGAAAGTTTCCACTTATCAAATTTTGTAAATGTAAAAAAGTAAATGATAAAATATTAAACTTAGATTATTTGTATTATCGGCAGGAATTTTGCTTCGTTATTGACTATTTTATTTAAAAATTGGAATTGCAGTTTTTTTTATCTCGTTGGTTATTTTTCTAAACAATACATTGACACAACCGCAAAATTGTAATGAAAATTAATGGGAAAAAGTAATTTTACGTATATTGATTGTTCAAGTTTTAAAGGCTGGAAAGCTTCCTTATTGAACAATTTACTTTTTACTTTAAAATTTGAAAGCCAGCTTGCTATTCATGATTTTTTATATTTTCATCTTTTTGGCTATTATTTTTTTTTTTTTAATAACAAATAACGTTGAAACCAATGCAATACCTGCACTCGGAAGATGCCGGTGAGACCGTCGCAAGGTCCGCCTTCGCGGTTCATGGCCCAGCTAGGGTAGGGACGCAGAGGCTGGTTGTGGGAGGCACCGTTCAGGGAAATGGTAGCCAGGGTGGCGGGGCTGCCGCGACGCCAGCGGGGCAGGGTCACGAACAGACGATCTTTCCACACTTCAATGCCCAGAGGCATCTGGTTCTCGGGGACAAAAGAGCCAGTTTGGATGGCGGCTTCGCGGGCAGCAGCACTAGGCCATTCAAAGTCCACCTAAAATTTGAATATTCAAAATTTATTACATTCAATTCTTTGGGGCTACAAATGGAATTAAAAAAAAAAAAATACTTGACGGGTAGCATAGGGAAATTTTTGAAATATAATTATTTACACTTCAAATGACAACTTAAAAGATTTTGAAGACAAAAAATATTAATTAAATTACAATTAATTTACATTTATAATTACTTATACATTTTTTAATATAATTTTTTAATATTTATTATTTTTTTTTCTAAGACAAATGCAGCGTTTTGCAGTCAGTAAAATATTCCTCTGCAATAAATAAATTATGATAATTGTTCTCTGAAACCTGTTTCAGTGATTTCTAAACATCTGCAAGTCACTTTACATGTGTGAATCACGCAGCTGATGTCTGCATACGACTCCAGACATTCAGGTCTAATAGATATGCAAGAAACAAAGGAGGCTTCAATTATGGTCTCGTCAAGTTAAGGCATTAGAAAAATAAACCAGTCTTGCGTGAAACTAGTCTGCACTTCAAGAGTCATAAGCACTTACGTTAAAGAGAGAATGCAGAGCAAAATAAATTCACACACACACACGTCGCGACCGAGCGCTCATGAATTTTTATTCTAAATCAATTATATATCGTTTTGGAACAGGCCATCAATCTTCCATAAGTCTGCAGGCGGTCAATCGAGAAAATTAAATGACTCGGAACTTTCACTATTATACTGTGCGCGAGCGAGATAAAAACGTATGCACTGAGATGCCTGATTGTGAGATTGTTTTAGTTTTTGTGTCTCCCGAGCAGGTCAGTCTATAATTGCGTTTCCTAAAACGTTTCATCACTAAATCTCGAGAGTATTGCCAAAACTCACCTGGTTCCAGGTGAAAACTTCTTGAAGGCGGGCGTTTGCCGTCAAAGCGCCGCAAAACACCACAACTATGGCGACCGCCAATCGGTTCATCTGAAAAATAAAAAGTTGCTTAATAAGTTGAATCGCCGCGGCGTTCACGAAAACGTCATCAGTATAATTTGGGTTCATTTGGCCCTTTATTGTGCCAATAAAATACACGCGTGGACTATTGCAGCGTATAATATATTTCCCAGGAAATATGTTTATTAGAGAAAGAGAAGCTAAGATTACAATTTTTGCATAAATTTAAAAAAAAATGTATAATTATGTAAATTTTTATGGCCGAATTATCAAGTCAGTGACTTGAAGTCACTAAACGTCCTGGATTCATGTTATTTGGTATAAATATGACTACAAACTTAATATTTAAATGTTTCACCATTTTAGAAATTATCCAACAACAAAAAAGAGAGTTTTTCTGCGGGAACATTTTAGTTATTATATAATCTTAATCTGAAATAGAATGTCAGGAAAATATAGATCAATGATTTATAAATTATTTCCTTACTTTCCTGCATGTGTTAATGGCGTAGAGAGGTGAGACAAATTGATTGCCTTTTAATAGCATTCGCATAGAAATTATATGCAGTTTTATTTTGCAGCGCAATTACCACCTTGCAAACTGTATATGCAATTTTGCAGCACTAACTTTTTGAAATCAATCTGCCAATTATTACGTACTTAATGATTGAATTTTGCATGGGGGAGGTACAGAGAGCTTTAAGCACTGCACGATAGCCAACGTAACGATTCCCTTTTCATTTTTATACATAATGTCGCATTCATCGCGTGATACTGCTTAATTAGTTAATGACCACTGCTGATTGTGAGATGCCATTAGGAGAAACTTGTTGTACCCATATAAAGGCAAGGAATCCGCCACTTGTAGAAAAAAGTCACTTTCATTCATTGTACGTTTGTACTACAAATTTATTAATGCAGATTCATAATGCGATCATTTATTGCGCGCTCACGCAATGGGAAAATAGTTTGCTCGAGAGTCAATCATAAAATAATAACTCGTGGTGCGTGTGCTGAAATATGCAATTGATCAAATTCCTATCACACGATTGCGGTACAATTGAGTTCAGGAGAAAATGCAGCTGCGTGTTGAAAAAGCGAAACTTTCATTTTCAGCAAATTGTGGAAACAATATTGAACAAAATGCAATAGTGGATTTGAATTGGTTTGAAGATTATCACTTTGGGACCCGCGTCAGCTGACTTGACAATTTTAGCCTTACATTTTATTCATCACATGACTTTTTTTGGCGAGAAACTATACAGATAGCCCAACTACTGGTTTCAAGTTGCTCTTTTAATTAAAACTCTCTCACAAATCTAGTTTGCAAATGTATACTCAAAGTAAGATCCTTTTATTGATTGCAGTAACGATTATTACAGAAGTTAAAACGATTGCCATGTACTTATTTGTTAATAATCTTTTTAATTGCCCTTTTCAATTAAATCTTTTTCAGCAAATTCTTAGATTTAGTATTTTACTTATTTTTTAAAGTTTCCATGATTGTAACTGATTCAATGGAAATTAATATTTTCAACCAGTGACCTGAGAAATTTGTGATGGGATAATTAATTAATGTTTAAAATTTATTACACTATTTCTGTGTATAATTGAAATTTGAAAATAATAAAATGCGACTTAGGTCTTACCTTGCTGGCAGTATCGATGCTGGGCCAAATTAAAGACACTGATTGTGGGAAACTGGCGACTTTATAGGTTTCCAGCCGACTGAAGAGGGGGTTTCCAGACGCACGCACCGCCAAAGGAAGGAAACGCGCGTAAACGGGGTCTATTTACAGCGCTGAGCATTTTAAACAAGTTGATTGGTCCAGCAGGCAGGAGGGTACCTGGAAAGGTCGGCAACGCGAGAGTGGTGAAAGCGAATTAAAATATGTCACACATTTTTATTTTTGCTTCTTTCTTAAAAAGTGCATCTAATTAAAGTTAACAATCTCCAATGCGCGACTCGAGCTGCAATTTTTAGGCGAAAAATGGGTTTCGTCGTTTTATTTTGGCAGCCCTGAAAATGAAAAGGAAAACACATGATCGCCAATATATTGTTTACTTGCAAAAATATCTCTGAGAACGTATTTTTCAAACAAATTCAATGTCCTCTTGAATTTTGAGGGCAAAATCAAAAGTCCTGCGGAGAACCTTGACTTCTCAACTGTGAGGTATGTAAGTAGCCAATTGGACGATATATTATTTTCTGTGTTCCTTTGTCCGAGAAAAGAGCCTTTCGACTCAATCAAAGTTACGCAACGATAATAAGTGCACAAAAGCGCGGGTGCTGTCTGCGGGAATTGGAATTTAGAATGCTCCCAACCGCTGGCAAAAGGCGAAACTTGAGAATCGCGGTCTCGTAAATTTGTTCGCATAGCCACTGCCGCGCTTGAAAGGATAGCCAACGAGCCACGTATGGAAAACATGCGCAGGTTTCAAAAGTAAATTTATTACTTGTTTACGCTTGGCACTGGGCTATGCTTTTTATTTTAAGCCACCTCCGGAGATCGGAAATCAAGTTTCTTTCTTGTGGTGATATATTTGCTTTATTTATTACTTAATTACGAAATGATTTTGTTGAACAATATTAAACATATTTCAGCGAATTAAAAATTAGAATTTTGTTTGTTGTTTGAACTTCAAATCATTGTAGCGACGTATAAATAATAGGAGACGAGACTCGGCCACTTTTGAATTGGCCCACAGCGTTGTTAACTGATGAATGAAAATTGCTGCGTCATTTTGAATAGACCTCCAAAGTAAATGAAACCATTAGTAAAATCAAACTGCTTTAGTTTCAAAACTTGCTTTATTTGCTTAAAAAAAAATCATCAAAAACTTTCTTTTAACAATAAGACAGGTATACAATATTTTGGTGCGCAAAAGACTGATTCGAATCTGTAGGGTGTTGGTAAAAAATATTACGTAATAACATTGAAAAATGCTCGATGTGTTTGGCACGGCGGCGAGTAACATATCATGCAGGCGTCCAAGCAGAAATACAGATTAATAAACATACATCAAAGTGTCGCCATTCGAGTAATGAGTTTTTCCTTCATAGAAAGCCCAGATACAAAAGCATAAATTACTTTAATTATCTACATGTTTATCGGCGAGAGTAAACACTGACAAGTTCCGTTCAGGAATGTATTATATATGCGTGTATGAAAACTCTTCAAAAATCATAAACGAAATGCAAATGAGAGCAAATCGTTAATTCTTCGTAATTTATTTAAATCTCAAACTGCTTCTCACTTTCATAGTTGTTTAAAAAAAAGTGCATGTAATTTGTAAACCCGCTTTAATCTCTATATAGTTGTTAAGAAGAAGATGTCGTTAGAAAGTCAAATGATTTTCAACCAATTGAATTGCTTGATTCACAATCAAAACAAAAGTGACACTCGGTGCATTTTAACTAACGATAAGCAATGACTTTATTCCTTTTCAAGCTCAAGTTCGATCGAAGAAAGCTCCGCTTTTGTTTTCAAAACAACATGTAATATAAAAAATCTTTACTCAAAACACAATGTATAAAAGCTGAATTATAATTTTTAAGACTTTGGTTGGTTTATAATTTAAACAGAGAAATGTGTCAAACGGCGGCAGGGGCATCGGTTTTGTTCGGAGACGCGTCGACGTCCTGATCCTTATCCTCGCCTTTGTCCTCGGAAGTGTCCCACTTCTGGCGTTTGCCGCTGGACGTCAGTACGTAGAAAAGTCCGCACACCAAGTAAACGCTGCACGTCGTGAAGAAAACGGTCCGCCACGCAGCTTGAGTTGGCTGGAAATAAAGATTAAATGTTAAGAATAATATTTATTTCATTTTTACTATTTTTAAACGATTTGACCGCTTTTCAGTCCAGCATTGCGAAATAATGAAAGGGTTTCAGTAAAGACTATTTTCAGTTTTAGTGACCTGATTCGCGCAATTATTGCGTCTGCGGAGAGAAAGAAACTTTTTGACGAAAATAAAACGCCGTCAAAATGAAAGCACCTTTGTAAAGGTCTTTTTCCGCAGCAAGCGCGGAGAACTGGTTTTTTCACGCATGCTTATGGGCTCGACGTCGGGCATATATGCTCAGATTTTGGGTGAGCATTAATTTTTTAAGAAAAATTTTGAAGAAGAAACTGTTTGCATTACTTTCTTTATTATATTCCATTAAAATTGCCTGCTAAGCACGTTTGTTGTTTAAAAAAGACCAAAGATCAATGAAATACAAATATAAATTTTAAAATAATATAAACAGGGCTTAAATATCAAGAGAACGATTTTCTTACAACTTAAAATTTCTTAATTGGTTGCACAATTTCAATTTTAACTGATAAATAATTGTGCCATTTTACCTTAGGGGCACGCACCGCAAACACATACACCGCACATTGATTGCTTGTAGCCCCGAAGGAAGAAAAATGTGTGAGATCAATGAAAAGGCGTGTGTGCTCGCCTCTCACCTGTCTAAATGTTTGCCCGTCAGTAAGCCAACGCAACTGAATGTCAATCTCAATCTTGCTGAATGCGTTTCTTTTCTGCACTTAAGATTAAAATAAATAATGCGTTCTCCTTGGGTGTCATAACGGGTTCATAATGATATTAATTCCAGCGCGATTGAAGCGGTAATCTAATTTTAATCAATCAAGTCGGACGTAGAGCGTGTCGCCGCCGTTGGATCCGTTCCGGCGGGGACACTTTCTCATTTGCATTGATTTAGCAGCGTATGTGTGAGAAATATTTTGCAAATCTTGGCTACTTAAAGAGCAGTGATGAAAACTCCGCGTAATTATGACTATTCTTATTGAAATCCAATCTCGCGCTCTGCTAAACTCAACTACTGCTATTACATAATCATGAACTGTATAAACAGTAAAAGATTTCTGAAATAATAAAATTTCCATAGTGTGGGTTGAACGCGGTGTGGCTGTGTCATTTTTATGTTGGGCGTTTCAGCCGACCTTTGCAATACCCTTTCTTTCCTTTTTTATAATTTTATTTGTACACAGTTTAATATTATGTGATTGAATAAATAGAATATACCGAATTAAATAATCATAAATATAAATTAAAATACAATTTTTTTTATTTAACATAAAATTTCATGGTTTTTTCACTAGTTGTGGTGCCGTTTTGTCTGGCAATTCTTTTTTTTCTCACATATAAATTGTTTTTAAAATTTGAATGCAAATGCAAAATATTGACAAGTAAACAATAATAATAGTAAGTTGAAAATTTAATATCTGTACGAGATCAAAATATTTTAGTATTTAATCCCAAAGATTTTAGGAAAATAATATATATCAAAAATTTAAATTAATTATGTGTTCCAATCCGTAGATATTGCACATATTTGTAATTGAATTAAAAATATTCAAAGCTCAATAAACTCACCCTGTTGTGTGTCACATATCCAGCAACAAGAGGCGCTAACAATCCAGCCATGTTGGCCGAGCAATTGGTAATGCTCATCAGCACGCCAGCCAGGGAGGGCGAAAGGTCCAGGTGGTTCACCTTAAAGCCCGAGTAGATTCCTCCGTTGAGTCCAACGCCCAAGGTCAAAAGGGCGACAGTCACCGCCGGGTTGCAGCCGGCGTAGGCGGCGCCCAGCATTGCCACGGCTGGTCCGAACTGACCTAGAATAGAAAGTCCGGAGTTTTCAGATTTTTTTTTGTGTAACAAAACGTTTTGTGCCTTACCAATGCAATTGAAGACCTTTCTAGTGCTGGTGAGCGTAAGGCGGCCTGAAATTATAAGCCAATCGGCCACGCAACTCGCCACTATTGAAAAGATCCACATGGCAACATAAGGAAGTGAAGACAAAATGCCATTCTGAAAGCACAAAAAAAAAGCAGAAGAAAGTTGGCTCTGCATTCGTTGCAATTAGTCTCTCACCTGGGTAATGTCAACATGCAAAACCTGTCGCATGAATGATGGCAGTTCGGTCATCAGCATTTCGTACCCGTAATTGTGGCCCATGTGCGCCAGGAGGATCGCCCAGAAGGGTAGCGAGGTCGCAATTGACTTCCAAGGAATCAAAGATGGGTCCTGAAAAATATAGTTAATACTTTAATATTATTTATTATACCTTCCCTTAAAAACATTTCACCAAGAAAAGAAAAAATTGTTAGACGGGGCAAAATAATAAATTTTCTATTTAAGAATAAGCAAGGGGATAGTAAACAAATTTGAGTGTTGAATTTTACTTTTTCTTTGGACACGTCGCCCAGAGTCCTCTTGATCAGGTTCCTCTCATAAGTGGACAATCTGTCGTCGTGCTCAGGGTCTTCCCTGACAAACCACAAGAAGAACAAGCACCACACGGTGCTGACAGCGCCAAAGACGTAAAAAACAGACGGCCATCCGAATTGTGAGGCGCACAATATTCCGCTCAATGGCAAAGATATCACAGTTCCAAATTGGGCTCCTAAAAATAAAAATAAAATTTATTTCTCTGATAAAAACAAAAGAAACTTAATTAAAAGTGGGTGAACCTTATTTAAACCTTTGAATAAAAATTGCAATATATAATATTTTCTTTTTAGCGTGCTCAATTCCTTATTATTAAAAGCAAATTATCTGATACTTCGATATCAATTTTTTCAAGTCATTTTACATTTAATTGCTCAATTTGCTACCGTACTTATCTTACAATGTTAAGTGTTGGTCTATATTTTTTAAACGTGTATCACATTTCAAGCAGGAAATCGAAAGTGGTTAAGTGAGTTCCAATTTTAATATTATTAATCAACTCCGTCGTGTTCTCCCCTCATTAAATTACCACCCTGATGTTTTAACAAAGCTCGTAAACAATTCCAACCAAATCCGGTTTCTACACCGCGCAAGATTTTAGCACACGAGTCACATCAATATATTATGAAATTTAGTTGATATTCGCAAATTTTGACCCAAAGGCGGCAGGAGGAAGTTGTCTAATAACCTGCGTAAACGGCGGCACCCATCCGACTCCTTTCACCAGGAGGAATCCACTTGGCCAGCAAAGCGTGCGTGCACGGCACAATCGGACCCTGTGGTTGACCAGAAAAAAAATTATTTAATCTCGCACGCCTGGCTGAATTAATTAAAAATTGCACCGTGGGAAAGATTAAGTTCTTAAATAAAGTCAAACGTACTTCTCCGAGTCCTTGGACGAATCTGGCGATGATGAGCCAGTTGCGGCCGCCGAGTTTGGCGGCCAACGGCACCAAAAGGCCGACCACCGAGTTGAGAAGCATCCCGTAGCCGAGGAAGCGAAGTGATCCCCAGCGTTTGGCCATCAGTCCGAACGGGATCTGCGTGAGAACGTAGCCGTAAAAGAAGGCGCTCAGGACAAAGCCCTGCTCCTTGCTGTCCCATGGGAAGCGTCCTTCAAGGTGCGGCGTTTGCAGAGGTGCTGGGGAAGACGAATCCTCGGTCACCGCCGCGATCAGACTCTAAAAAAAGGTTTTAAATACAATTTTATAGCATAAATATTCTGCTTAGAAAGGGATTGAATTTTAATAAACAAGAAAAACTTGAACAATAAAATTATTTTGCCGCTCAAGTTGGTCTCTTTTCTGTTTTAGAAACTAATAAAGATATTTACAAGATTTCCTCAAATTGGGTGATTTTAGGAAAAGAATTCCTACGCTGTTTTGCAAATCTATGATAATAAATCAGTAATTTAATTTGAAAAAACATTAAAACTAATGCAGAGCTGATGCAGAGAATAATTAATATGTTACATATCACTTTTTTTAAATAAAGTATTTATTATGTTTTTATTGAAAATAAACAAATATTAATTTAATTTTATATAATTCAATAATACAATAAAAACATAATAAAAAACAAGAGTTGAAGATTTCTAGCAAAATTCTTGCCAGTAGTGGTGCCTTTTAGTCCAAAAAATCCTCTTTAATGAAACAAATTATTTTGAACAATTTAATGTGGACAAATAAACACAATAATAATTAACATAAGCAGTATTTTTGTGGCAGCTATTTTAAAGTGTTCGTAATTGTTCTTTTTTCCAATATAGTGTGGCAGCCGCGTCTCTTTTGATGTCGGGCGTTTTAACAGACCTCTTTCTGCTCATTTTTCCAATTTCAATTTTGTTTGTATGACTTGAGTAGAACAAATAATAAAATACAGACTATAACAGATAACATGAATCAAATACTGCGCGCTTATCTATGCCTACTTCAGACACAACAAGGGTCCATAATCTATTAAAACAAAATCTTGTTCATGCCGGATGATGTTAATAGAAACAGGATAAGCTCGTTTTTTGTGTTTGAAATCAAATGAGCTTTACTTGATAAGACGGGCAAAAATTACGACCTCAAAGCTGCATCTATGAATTTGTTCGTGACAGCAAAAAAAGGATCTCAAGTATCAAGATATAATTATTATGTGATTTCAAAACTTTTGGAGCGTTTGATGGTGCTGCAGGTTCTTTCACTCACGTCTCTCATGAAAAGCACGCTCCTTACAAAGTGTGTGCGTTCTATAAAAATGAAAAGTTTAAAGTGAGGAAACAGTTCCGTCGATTTCGTGCGCGGTGTTGATTCGCACTCTAAAAATAAAAAGCGTATCAATGAATAAGTTCTTTGCTTGCCTTGCCGGCGTGTCATGGTCAAAAGGGCCACCTGTCTGCATACGTGATTATCATTGTGTTGTTGCCTTTCCCTCAAAAACTTTAAAGGCTACTTTTTTGTGAAATGATCGCCCAAAATAAATCGGTCTGGATTGCCGAGCTGCAAATTTGACCTGATTTGGCAAAGTACAAGGTTGCCTGGTTTATTTTTAACTCGCTCATGATCTGCCACATTGACCTCTACGTTATTTATATTCACTGTCAAACAAACAAAAAATCTTTTTTAAAGTAATATTATTAAATAAATTCTCCGCAATTATTTTTGCGCAGTCACTCCTTATATAATACCTAGCTATTATTTGCTTTGTATAATTATTATAATTATCCGTGCAAATTGTTCAAAATGGTCTTAATTAGTCAGGCAACTTCTGAGAATACACAAGGCTTACGTTGTTATACCTTTCGGGCAGAATTGTTTGCGTGCCAAATTTGCTCGCACTCGGACAGCTCGCCCGCCGGCAAATCGCCGTGGCTCGGCAACTTTGGGTGTTCCACCATGGCCACAATCGCCACAGACATATTGGTGCGCATTACATAAGCGTTGGCCATCCCCAGGAACAGCATCAACACCACGAAGTGCCGACATCCTAGCCTCGAACGCTCCTCAGTCTCTTTGTCTGCAAACAAAAATATCTCAATTGAAATAATCGCAATTATACACATTTTAACTTCACTTATACATTTCGCTCAATATAATTGAAAAGTGTGCGAGGGTATATTTTACGATATCAATTTTGTGTAGCGTCATGTTTGTGTCTTAAAAAAGTTTATTTCCTTTTCATATGGAATTAATAAAATTTTATTTGAAATTTGCTAAAATCTTACATAATATTTAAAATTTGCAAGTTTGAATACAATTTTTATTGATAAAAATAAAATGTGTAGCAAATATTCATCAAAATATTTTCACCTTTTTGCACCATTTTTTCGGTATTACATAATATAAGTTTCATTCAAATTCTATCCATGTGATCAGGAGGTGATCTGGTCACTCGGCAAACTTGTGGAGTGTGAATGAACAAATATTTGATTTTTTCTTTTGCCTGTCGGCTGCGCGTCTTGCTGACGCAATTCTTTAAACACATCCAGGCTCATTAAACAATTTGAAGTCCCTGAAGTGAATCCGCTCATTACGTTTCAATTGCATAATGCGAATGATGCGACCAAGTGAGTAGTCGCGCATTCAATAGCTCCATTCAATCGTCTTTTATGTGGTGCTACCCGCTGAGTCAAAATCCCAGAGGCAGCAATTGAGATTAACATCGGTCGAAGCAATGAAAAGAAATGACGTGATTAAAAAATCAGCATCATTTTTTACACTGCCTAATAATTAATAAGCATAACCGTATCGCGATTCATTAATTATATTAACGATGTTTAAAAAAAAGTTTTGTATTAAACATTTTAAATCATTGTCTCATTCCAGCAAATGTATATTTGCGGTTGGTATACATTCTGAAAATCGAGAACAGATTTAAATTACGTGAATAAGTAAATTAAAAAAAAAAGTTGGGAAATATAAAACAACGTAACGTAAAAATTAGGATAAATAAAAAACAATAACAAAAGGACAGTGACTGGATTAAAAAAAGACACACACATTTAAACAATAGCTCTGATTTAAACTTGTAAAAATATCGACTAGAACCAATAGACGAGGAAGACGTTTAAATAACCAATTTTTTAGATGGTTTTTTTGCCAATATATACCTTTCAAATAAGGACTAGTAAAGTGCAGCTCTGTTTTAAACTTGTAAAAATAAAGACTAGAACCAATAGACGAGGACGACGTTTAAATAACCAATTTTTAGATGGTTTTTTTGCCAATATATACCTTTCAAATAAGGACTAGTAAAGTGCAGCTCTGTTTTAAACTTGTAAAAATATCGACTAGAACCAATAGACGAGGTAGACGTTTAAATAACCAATATTTTAGATGGTTTTTTTGCCAATATATACCTTTCAAATAAGGACTAGTAAAGTGCAGCTCTGTTTTAAACTTGTAAAAATATCGACTAGGACCAATAGACGAGGACGACGTTTAAATAACCAATTTTTAGATAGATTTTTTGCCAATATATACCTTTCAAATAAGGACTAGTAAAGTGCAGCTCTGTTTTAAACTTGTAAAAATAAAGACTAGAACCAATAGACGAGGACGACGTTTAAATAACCAATTTTTAGATGGATTTTTTGCCAATATATACCTTTCAAATAAGGACTAGTAAAGTGCAGCTCTGTTTTAAACTTGTAAAAATAAAGACTAGAACCAATAGACGAGGACGACGTTTAAATAACCAATTTTTAGATAGATTTTTTGCCAATATATACCTTTCAAATAAGGACTAGTAAAGTGCAGCTCTGTTTTAAACTTGTAAAAATAAAGACTAGAACGAATAGACGAGGACGACGTTTAAATAACCAATTTTTAGATGGTTTTTTTGCCAATATATACCTTTCAAATAAGGACTAGTAAAGTGCAGCTCTGTTTTAAACTTGTAAAAATATCGACTAGAACCAATAGACGAGGTAGACGTTTAAATAACCAATTTTTTAGATAGATTTTTTGCCAATATATACCTTTCAAATAAGGACTAGTAAAGTGCAGCTCTGTTTTAAACTTGTAAAAATATCGACTAGAACCAATAGACGAGGTAGACGTTTAAATAACCAATTTTTTAGATGGTTTTTTTGCCAATATATACCTTTCAAATAAGGACTAGTAAAGTGCAGCTCTGTTTTAAACTTGTAAAAATATCGACTAGAACCAATAGACGAGGTAGACGTTTAAATAACCAATTTTTTAGATAGATTTTTTGCCAATATATACCTTTCAAATAAGGACTAGTAAAGTGCAGCTCTGTTTTAAACTTGTAAAAATATCGACTAGAACCAATAGACGAGGACGACGTTTAAATAACCAATTTTTTAGATGGATTTTTTGGCCAATATATACCTTTCAAATAAGGACTAGTAAAGTGCAGCTCTGTTTTAAACTTGTAAAAATAAAGACTAGAACCAATAGACGAGGACGACGTTTAAATAACCAATTTTTAGATGGATTTTTTGCCAATATATACCTTTCAAATAAGGACTAGTAAAGTGCAGCTCTGTTTTAAACTTGTAAAAATATCGACTAGAACCAATAGACGAGGTAGACGTTTAAATAACCAATTTTTTAGATAGATTTTTTGCCAATATATACCTTTCAAATAAGGACTAGTAAAGTGCAGCTCTGTTTTAAACTTGTAAAAATAAAGACTAGAACGAATAGACGAGGACGACGTTTAAATAACCAATTTTTAGATGGATTTTTTGCCAATATATACCTTTCAAATAAGGACTAGTAAAGTGCAGCTCTGTTTTAAACTTGTAAAAATATCGACTAGAACCAATAGACGAGGTAGACGTTTAAATAACCAATTTTTTAGATGGTTTTTTTGCCAATATAAACCTTTCAAATAAGGACTAGTAAAGTGCAGCTCTGTTTTAAACTTGTAAAAATAAAGACTAGAACCAATAGACGAGGACGACGTTTAAATAACCAATTTTTAGATGGATTTTTTGGCCAATATATGATTTTCAAATAAGGACTAGTAAAGTGCAGCTCTGTTTTCAAACTTGTGAAAATAATGACTGAAACCATAAGACGAGGAAGGCGTTTAAATAACTAATTTTTTAGATGTTTTTTTTTATTTTTAATTGTAAGCTAAAAGTCAAGCTAGATTTCATTGAATGTTTGTTTGGAACAAGATTTTCCTCATGTTTATTTATTTCAGCTGGGTAATTTATTATCCTTATTTCTTTTGCAGAACGAAAACTAAATAAACATTCAAATTCTTTTTTGCTTCTACGACGTAGTACTACAAAATTGTACCACACACCGTGACCTTTTGTTTGCCATGGAGTTGAAGAAACAAAGAGATATATATTTTATTATTATTATTTAATAATTTTATCTTCAATTTGAGTTACATGGTTGTATAATATTGTTGCCCTCTACTTATAATATTTGTTTGAAAAAAAAATTAATTATTCTTGTTAAAGTAGTTGCATGTGCGGGAAAAAAACATTTTTTTAATGAGATGCTGATCGTGACGTCTGTCTTGCATTTTGGAATATGCAGCACGTTCCTTTCCTGCCGCGTTTTTCAATGTCTATTTAAAATTACACAAGATGTTATTTGTTGTTTATTCATTAGCACCCAAATACTTTCCCTGATGCATATGCATGAGCATAGAAAAAAATTGCTTGCTATATAAAGCACTGATATCGTCTGCAGCGTTAATTGGCACTGATGCGCAAATTAATGGTCGCTCTGTGGCCCATTTGGCGAAGAAAGCTGCACACATAAACAAAATAGTAAACAAACAGAGACGGGCAAACATGCGCACTTGACAGACTCGGTAATGAAAAGCAATTAACAGTTGCTGCGAGACAAGGTCAGCGCCTAAGGATTGCATTCTTTATAATCCCGTCATCGTCATAATCCCCGTTTTCGCTAAGCCGACGACCGCCATTCAGAGAAAATGAAGAGACACACTCTCCGTTAACGTCATGCAACAATAAATCCTGTTTGCCCCAATGGCTTTAATTGCAATACGATGTCCAACTGAGCGAGGGAATCAGAATTATAGTGCAAGGTCTCCGCGTGTAAATATCGTTTTTTTTTTCATATATATATTATTTTTAATACTAGCTATAATACTCAAGTATGAACAAAAGCAGCATTAATTAAAGGAGAACTTTTAATTATTATTGTTATCAAATTTAACTTGAATAAAAAGGCATTTCATTATAGTTTTTAACAGTTTGCTTCACTGATGCTATACAAGTGATTGTTTCTACTTGTTGACAGATAAATAAAATGAAACTATTTAATGAAAATCTAGTCATGTGAAAGACAGAATTATGATTAGGCAACATTAATAATTTAAATCAATAAATTACTTTTGAACTGAAATGTAATAAACTTTCGTCTAGAAATAAATTTAAAACTGGCATCAAAATCATAAGTTCGCCTTGAAAATCATATTTTTTTTTTTAAATAATATGTTACTTGACAAAATTTTAATAAATTTTAGCTATATTTTCTAAGAATCAATCTATCGTATTTAAATTTTTTTTTTATCTTATTAATTTATCAAGTTTTGAAAGTATCCCAAACGTTTGTCCCTAAAGTGTATGACTAACAACGAATGCAATTATTATAAATATAAAAATAAAATTTTCATTTGAATAATAAATGTACCTATATAGATATAGATATTTAAAATTTAAAAAATATGCTTCCAATCTTGCAATTTAATAATATGTGTCTCTAAAAATTAATTGTGTGATATTTTCTGATATCCATATGGCTATTCCTATTCCCCAAAGAATGCTGGCCAAATGTATTATTAGGAGTTTGGAGCATGTAAATAGAAAATAAAAATTGTCACATACGACATTAGATCCGTCAAGAAATGTAAGTTTAAAGTAAATTTTAACCACAATTTAGTGGTGACGTTGGGTAGTCGCTTCTAAAAATGTGATTTTTTTTATTTATAAAATAGCAAATAACGGAAAATAACTTACTTGAAATAGTATTGATTTTTTTGTGCAATAGGAAAAACAAGGTAAACAGAACGCTTATAACTGTTTACAATCAGTAAAATTTTAGACGCTGCAATAAAAATATTTACCAAAAAATCTTTTAACCAAACAATACATCCTCTTGGAGGAAAGGTAAACAGATTTTGAGCTTATCGTCTGGTCAGAAAACTCACTTTGTTCCACTGCGAGTGTTTTGTCCATGGCTGCAGCGGTGGTGATTCCTTTTCTTGTTAGCCTTTTTAACACGCAGAGCAGCTCATGAATGCAAAGAATTGGATCTAAGGCCGAAGAGCGACGGGCAGTGTCATCGGGAGGAGCGGCTGGACGCTTCTGCCTCGGCCCACCGGAGACTGCTCGTCCATGCTCAGCTGGTCAGATGGGTGCAGCGGCGGTGGCTTTGCTATAGTATTATGGCTGTCGAAGCTGCGATGCACCCAGCTGAGGCCGTTGCGCCGCTGCGACCGACGCACTCGGAACAGATGCAGTTGTGACGTAGGCACGGCAACGTCGGCGCTCTAGATTTTTTGGGCAGGTGCTAGAGAAATATATTATTCCATTATAAAGCGTGATAATGCTCGTCGGCGGTTATATAGGCGCGACAAACCCACACCAAAGTGAACCAAGGGCCCCTTTGTTTGCCACTGACACAAATTTGGGATTGACAGCTTAAGGAGAGATCGACATTCAAAGATTTGGTTTTAGAAACTTCTAGACAGTGTTCATTGACAAAGGAAAATTTAATTTACAATTTGTTTCAAATAAAGCATAAAAAAAAAGAAATTTGCTAGCATAAAAATTAAATTTTAAATCAATTATAAAATAAGAATTATTAACACAGTCAAAATTAAATTATCAATCTAGTGAGAGCTGCAGAGCCTTCTTTGATGTGTCAAAATGCACAAGAGAGAGGCCGATGAACCAACATAAAGCACAAATAACCCGAAAGTGTCTATTTCCGTCCTCTTCAACTCGGTCCACCCTACCCTTTGAGCATCAACGCTCTGGTCTATTGTGCCAAAATTTTCAACTTAACTTTTTCTATCTGTAAAATTTTATGAAAATGCAAGTGCGTGTTAAGCACAAGGCTGGGCGCCCCTGTTATATTTTGTTGCAATTAGGGAAATTATTCCCAAGCAATTTTTTTCAGCAGGCGGAAAGGAAATGAGTCAAATCGGTGTGATTATGACGGTGCAAGATTCATGGTTCCGCTGTAATCTTTGTGGCTGTAAATAAATTTAAAAAAAAAATTCACGTCACTGGTGATTGTAAGTATTTTATCTTAATAGAAATTAAAAATAAATAAACATGAAAAAGGAAATAAAATTTTGAAATACATACAGATATCAATCTTCTATAATGCAGACATATTGCGATAAGTCATAATAGAAACAAAACGAACATTTCTTGAATAAAAATTTTCAAAAACATAACATAAAAATGCCTAATTTAAAAAAAAAAATTGTTAGAACATTTGAACTTTCAAACTGGTTGCAATGGTATAATTATTTTTCTTAGTGTGAGATTAAAATTGTAATTTTTTTATCCTCGAAATTGCAAAATTCCCAAGTTTTTGTTTGTTATAGGTTAATTAATATTAGCTGCGCAAAAAAGTTTTGCACGCCGTCTTCCCGCTATTTCGCTTTCCTGGACTTGCGTCGACCAATCAGAGGCCGCCCCGAACCCATCAGATGGTCGCGTAAACATCAGCACGCTTTTTTGCTTGCTGGTTTGTGTCTTTTTGTAATGCTGAGCAGGCGGCTTTTCTCGTCGATTTTCGCCGCAGCAAAGAACAGTGAAGTGAGTTTTAATAATCAATTCATTCTTCAACCTCTCATAATACATTTTGCACATTTAGGCTGCATTTTGGTCGTTCAGCGCCGTTCACGCGAAGCCGAACATGGAGTACAAACGCATTGAGCCGATCACCATGCAAATCGACCAACGCCAACTTGAGCCGATTCGCACCCCTGAGCTCGAAACGCTCTTGGACGTGTTCAGGAAGTACGGGTTCGAGATAAGAGTGGCTGGAGGCGCTGTCAGGTATTTTCAAATTTTTTAATTAATTTCTCATAATAAAGTTTTTGCCGAGTAGAGATCTGTTGATGGGAATCACTCCGCACGACCTGGATTTTGCAACGACAGCCACCCCTGAGCAGATGAAGGAAATGTTTGAAAAGGAGAACATCAGGATGATCAATGTCAGAGGCGAGAGTCATGGAACCATCACACCAAGAATTAACGACAAAGAGAATTTTGAAGTGGGTCGTGCGTGAACAAAAATGAATTTCCGTGGCTGACAAGAAGTTTTATTTCTAGGTCACTACTTTGAGGATAGACGTGACCACTGATGGAAGGCACGCAGAAGTCCAATTCACCACAGATTGGCAGCTGGATGCCAACCGAAGAGACTTGACTATTAATTGTCTCTTCATGGGCATGGACGGCACTGTTTATGACTACTTCAATGGCATTCAGCACATCAAGGAGAGCAAAGTTACCTTTGTTGGTGACGCAGTCACCAGAATTCAGGAAGACTACCTTAGAATATTGAGATACTTTAGGTACACTGGATTTTATCAAATGAAAGGTAGCAACATTGATGTGACTTTTTTAGATTTTACGGAAGAATTGCAAAAGATGCAAATAGCCATGATAAAGATACTTTAGCTGCGATCCAGGAAAATGCATCTGGATTAGCACGAATTTCGGGAGAGAGGATCTGGACGGAATTGAAGAGAATTTTGGAGGGCAACTTTGCATGTGATCTCATGAAAGTCATGATTGAAGTCGGAGTACCAGAGTTTATTGGTAAAAGAATCCTTGTTAATGTTATCGAATAACGGAAATAATATTTTTCTATTGAAGGTTTACCTAAAAATCCAGACGTCAAGAGGCTAAATTTGGTTTGGAATAATTTGAAAGACCAAAAGTACAACGCAATTACTCTCCTCTCGGCATTGATCAGCAATCAGGAAGAGGTACTGTCATTAATTTCAAGGTATTTTAAAATGATCGAAGTTTGATAATAGGCATGGGAGCTGCACAAAAGGTTGAAATTTTCCGCCTACGAGAGAGATCTTCTCCTTTTCATCACACAGCACCATGAGAGGAAGTGGGACATGAAGCCTCTAAAGTTAGATTGTTTTATTTATTTTTGCCCATTTATGATAATTGCCTAATTTAATCTAACAATGCATTTTTATTAATAGATAGAGTATTTATTGAACACAACTAGGTGTACAACGGGTGTCTAAAGCTAATTTGTCTTCCTAAAATTAATTTTACAATTAAGCTTGTTTCGATAATTATTACAAAGTACAAAATTAGTTAATTTTGATTTTTGCAGCCTCTCTTAGGCTTAGTTTTCGTTCATTACATTCAAGAATATGATATTGTGAACATTTCTTACCGCAGTGCTTGCATTCACAATCTATTGTCGCTTGAGAATGAAAATTTTTATTCTTACAAAATAAATAGTGGTACCCGTGACAGGCAAATCTCGTAAACACTTGGCGATCACTGAACATTGCACATTGCCAATTTTTATTCTTCATAGTTTCTGTCTCGTAGAACTCATCACATATCTCAAGTTTGTTTAAATATTTAGACACACAAAATTTCTGGAATGCTTCAGTTTCAGTTAGAGAATATTTTACCTGTAAGTCCTTTAATTTTATTAACCCTTAATTTTACTGTGGCTTGATTGGCTTTAGTGACGATGGAACTGTTTCCCTCAGGCCATACCAAGCTATTGTTGCCATGAGCAAGGACAAGACTAAGGACACCAAAGAATGGACTGTTCAGCTTTTGCTGCACATAGGACAGTCGCACATGGCTAAAGAAATAGCAGATTGGGAAGTACCTAGGTTTCCAGTCAATGGACACATGATTAAGGATAAAGTGTCCGATATAAGTAATACAAATTATTTGTAGAGTATTATTTATTCAACAATTATTTTTGCAGATGGTAAGCAGCTGGGTTTAATTAGTCAAGAGCTGAGAAAAGTCTGGGTTGACAGTGATTTTAAAATGGATTCCGATGAACTGGTTAAGCTCATTCCTACAATAGCTGATGAAATTAAAGAAAAATTTCCTGGAAAGGTCAAGTCAAAGAAATAAAATTAAGTTTTGAAACAGATTATACATTAAGTTATTATTAAATTTCAACATAATTCAATATAAAGACATTCTATTTAGTTTATTTACAAATAAACTGAAAACAATTAAGAAGCCAGTCCCTTTAATGTATTTGCTAATCTCTGAGACTTGTAATCACTGCGCAGCTGAACAAAGTTCAGCAAAATTGACCGGTCCAGCCCAGCCTAAAAAGATAATATTTTAAACTGGGATTAAATTAAGAAGATTATGGAACTTACAAGTTGCTCTCCATTGCACACTTGCTGCAAATTTTCTGGCTTTACAAGGAGCAAATTGCAAAGTGCATGCAGAGAGTCAAACAGGGTATCCACCAGTGGCTGCTTATAGGCCTTGACACATTTCCTGTACTCGTTCACATCACAAATTGCGCACATTGCACCTGAAAGACAGATTTCCTAGATTTGCAAAGAAAACAATGTTTGTAAAGTTACCAGCAGAGTTGTACTGAAACTGCTGAAGATGCTCGAAAATCACTCTGTGGAAGCGAACACCAAGTTCCATGAGGAAATTGTCCACATTTTTCCCATCTAAGCTGTCTCTGAACCGTTTGGTCATTCCATTCATAAACTGAACCACATTCAAGGAGGGCTGTAAATATAATTAAAAATAAATTATATCCTCATTATTTTTCAATTGATTAACAAGCCTGTGAAGACAAGGTGTCAACATCAGTCTCTGGTTTGAAGTCTGTCTTCTTCTGCTCACTCTGCAAGTATATTTTTACCCAGCCGACAATGGCGTTGATTGTCCGGTCCAGGCCTATGTCCAGTTTGGTTTCAATTTGTTCCAACAACTGCTTTTTCTTTTGAAGGCACTCGGAATGCTTCGGAGTGGAGCTAAAGCGTCATATTAGGAATTCAAGGCACCAGAAAAAATAGGCTTAATTTACGCAATTAGGGGAACAACACTGTCTGTGAACTGTTTTTCCAGCAGGTGGATTATAGCATTGCATTGTCTGACCACATCAAAAAAGTAGATCTGTGGTTTGTTTTTGCTCTCAGGAATTGGAACAGCCTGCAGACCCAAGTCAACAGCATAATCGATGTGCTCCACCACAAGGTATTGCAGCAGAATCTCCAAAATTAGGGAAGCGCAGTTTGCAGTGTCTTTAGAATTTGAGAGCTAACCATAAAAATTGTTTAATTTGCTTCTCTACATGAAAAGTTGACATACCAGTTGGCATCTGTGAAAGGCAAATTTGCTTTCCTGCAAGATTGTGATGGCCATCTCCTCTGATAAAAATGTTTCGCCTCCGTAATTTTCAATTTGGGCAATGTTGATGTTGGCCCTGGTTCCAATTACTGCTTGCAAGTCTCTCCTCAGATCTTGGAAGCTGCAAAATTTAAACATAAAAACGTGGACTCCAGTTTTAAAATAATGTTACGGATTGAAATAATCAATACATGAGAAAACCGCTGGTTTTGAGTGATTTGTATGCCTTTTATCAACGTTTCAATTAGCTTTTAGATTTATTTAAAATTGGAGAGTCTACTTACCCTCCACTCTGGATTGCTTTCTTTTGGTGCTTTTTAGAATTGTAGTAGTTCAGCAAAAGGTTTGAGCATTTTTCTCTCAACAATCGAGTCTCGTCACTAAAAATTTGGACAACAACATTAAAATAAATTTAATATAATTATCATAATTATTTTATTTATGAAATGAAAGAAAGCACTTGCCTTACATAAGTATCGAGATACTTTTGGAATGTTTTTGTGGTGAGCATATTCAGATATGAGTTATCACTGCCCATGTCAAATCGAGACAGGTCCGCCGTCAGTTTCACAGTTCTTAAAAAGCAAGTTGTGTTTAAGCATGAAATTGGATTCTTTTAAATAGCTTACTTAGAATAAGCATCAGCCAAGTTTTTCAAGTAATTTTCTGAACCAGGTTTGCCGGACAAAGTGCTTACGACATATGTCTAAAAAAAGGTTAAATTCACACAGATCCAAACTGCATATTGATTTTGCTTGTACCTGTAGCTGCTCAAATATGTTAAGCACAAACTTGGCCATAACTTGTTCTGGATTACTGAAAACCTCTTTCATTACAGAAAAATTCTTCTCGCAGAGCGGAATGACCAAAACAAAAATATCTTTTCCAGTAAAGGCACCCATGAGGCTCTGCTCGATGAATGCGTCAATGCACTGCGAGTAGCTCTTGAAGTGGTACAGAATGGCAGCAATTTCTTTCATCCGAGCCTTGTTGTTAGACCTCTGAGCCTTCACAAAGTCCTCGATCAGCTGCTCTTCGATAACTTTGTAGTGCTTCCCAATCTTCTTCTTTGCCGAGTCAAACCTGAATTAAAAAATATTTTCACTCATTTATAAAACTAACGGAATGGATGTTAAAACGTTAACAATTGTTTAAAATTTAGAAGTTAAAAAGTTGTTTGTTTCCCTGAAGTATTTATGTTAAAAATGTTACTTGTCGGGTAGCTCTTGAGATATTAAATGTAGCTTTTGGATAATATCTGCGGCTTCGTTAATTTTTCTGGGATCAGTGAACACATCTGATATGGGTGGGCCGGGTCCGAGAAATTCAGCAAAGTGGTTCATTAGCTTCTGAGCCTCAACAGCCCTTGAGCGAGGCGTGTTGACGCTTTCGAGTTGGTCACCAAGGTGCAGCACTTTGGTTGCCACCGAGTTGATCCGCTCATCCAACTTTTGAAAAGAGGAGACTGCAGACTAAATAGGACATGATGAGAAAATCAAATGAACGATTTGTTTAATAGTCCGGGTTAATATTTTTACTCTGTTCTTTTCAAGCAGGGAGCTAACTGCCTGGTAGTGTCTCCCTTCATCATCTCTGCATTCGTTCTCAAGTTTTTCACACTTTTTCTGTTGACGCTCATGGAGAAGTTGCAAATCTCTGAAAGTTAAAAGGAGATTATACATAAATATTATTATATACTGCCACTAGTTCTACATTCTGGTTTTCAAAAATGTTGCTCTAAATTTTTATTCAATAAAATTAGCTCGATTTTCTGTCACCTCAACCAAAAAATGACCTCCAAAAGAGGAGCAAAACAGCCTCTAGTCATACATATGTAATTATTAATTTGATATGTATTTTATTAAATTTCTCAGAATTGAGGCTGTCTCGGAATGCAGTCTGCGCTTGACCGATATTTGAATTATGTTCTTCAATTTCATTTAATCAGTCATCAGTCTTTTATAATAAAAGGTTATGATATATCTCACTTGATGGCCTGAACAAATGTGTCGTTCAGCAGGATAGGATCAAACTGTTGTTGATCGCCTTCGTCTTTAGTCAAGGATACCGTTCTCCATGCGAGTCTCTCAACAAATTCATCTGCGTCAAACGGCTCCTGCAGTTATCGAAAATGGATTGTTTATTTAGAAATGCTAAATTTTAAAATGCAATCAGAATGTTTACCTGCTCGAGCTCTTTCATATACTGCATAAACATTATTACTAATCGTATTCGAAATTTATTACTTAAAACCAGTGAATAAGCTTTACTAGCTTGCTGAAAAGCATCCGCATTGATAAATCCAGGACATAAAAATCAAGGAAAGAGGACAAAAAAATCAGAAATCAGACAATTTTTGTTTTGACAGGAAGAAAGGTGGGCGTATCGATATCGTTTTCTCAAACCCACCCGCCTACTCAACCCCCCACAAACCCCCCACTTGCCCCACCCCAAGCCTGAGTAGTTTGAAGTTTGAAAGATGGGGAGCTAAGAAATAAAATTGAAAACCTAGCAAGAATGCAGTGCGTAAAACGTAAAATTAGAGAAAGAAGCTTTTGTACTTTTTTAATAAATAAAAAATTTTTAATTTAGCAAAAAATATTCCGAATTAAAAAAAATCAAAATTTTTTTAATTTTTTTAATGCTCCTCATGAATACTTCACTTGAGCCAGTGCCAGTAAACACAAACAGAGAAAAATATTTGTTGATCATATTTTTCATGAAAGTTCAAGCCAACAAGAGTTCAAGCTACAGGTATGAATTTAATATGTATTAATAATTCGTTTATTCTGGTGATTTTACCAAGGTTGCGCCTATGCAGGTATGTAATATATTTTTTGCGTATTTTTTGAAAACGTGGTAAAAAATCACCAAAATCTGAACAATAGAACGGCATTTAAAATATGTAAAACCGACATAAATTTCAAAAAATTCTCGTCGGTTTTTCGCGAATGGAATTCACGATTTTTAAATCTTATTTACATATTTCTGTACAAATGGTTGTAAAAGTAAATAATTTTTGTGGCCAAAATTGCTCTATATTAAGCCAGCGTATGAAAGGAGCATAAAATTAATCCGCTTTTTCAAACGTGTTATTTTATCCACTTTATTTTTTATCGTCAAGTGATCGTCAGTTTATAATAACATTTCCGAGGAATTCAAATCATTTCCTTTGCTCTTAACACATCGTTCGATGAGGAATGTAAAGATTTTCTAGACGATTGTTTATCCAAAAGCCGAAATAATTATGTATGTAGCCCAACTCAAACTTCGACTCTGTAATCGACTGATTGAGCATTCAGAGAATTCCCGGCAGAACACGTGAATCAGCGGCTGCCGTTTGTATATAATGTCTTTCCACGATTGGCATAGAGTAGAGAAACATTTTTTATGGTGGCCTTGGCCTTATTTTGATAAAATATGTACTTTGTAGAATTTCTTTAAATTATGGAGCATGATTCACTCCAGGAATTAAATTTCAATCTGGTTTTCAATCCACAACGTTTTTAATAAGCAAATTAATTGCTCTTTTTTGCGGGAAAGGTTATTCGCTTCAAGTAAACAAAACGTTTTCTCGCTTTTCTTAAAATCTAACGAAATTATTTGCTATTAATTTTTTTTCCTTAAAAATGTTTTAAGAAACTTCATAGGACTGGTTGGGATCAAAAAACCAGCAGTGTGTCGATGTTCAGAACATGGAAGACATCGGCCTCGACGGACTTCTTACCTTAAGCGAGATGCAACTGACTGACATACTCAGAACAAACAACTTGAAGTGCTCGTCTTCTTGGGGTAAGCTGATTGACACTCTATTTCGATTAAGGAGTTTTTTATTTATTAATGTGCATTGTTAATTTGTAGCCAAACCTCGACTTGCCGAGGAAATCATGGAGCAGTTGGCCGAGTTCGATGTGAGGCCCGAACCAGAGCTGAAAATGGCACGTCTCCGTTGCTTGATAAGGCAAGCTATTTGTTGGACGAAGTGCTACGCCACATTGGCTTATTGTGAAACTTGCAAGGATGCCTGCATTGAAGACAACTCGCTGCGCGGAGATCCCATCGCCTGTTCCGCTTGCAAGACAGTCATGGGTAACGTCAGGGACACCATAGTCAGAGCCTTTGTAGTGGACGTACGTGCCGATGACCAAACAGAGGCAGGAAATGACAATGTGAGTAATATAGGTTTTACTTTTGAACTTAAGTAACTTTAAAATGTTATATTGCTAGGTGTTTGATTTACGTGGGCTTGATCAGGAGACTCGCCTGATTTTGTAGGGGAAAAAGCAGTTTCGACTCCAAAGACTGCGCCATTTGAGTGTTTACCAGCTCCAGAAAATCCTGAAAAACCACGGACAAAAGCCCAAAAGCAACGACGGTAAATATTACCTTATTAATATTAAAAAAATATAATATAATTATTATATCATTTGTAGGTGTTCCGATTTTGGCCCAAGCAGTTGAAGAACTCCTCAAGACATTGAACCCATCAAAGTCTATCCCAGAGACAACGCTTGGATGTTTTGTTTGCCAGTCTGCACCAGTTGAGAGTATCCTCAGTCGCTGCTCTCATATTGGGCTATTGGAAAAAAATCGTTCTGCTGGCTATTTCCAAACTTTTCTGGACTGAGGGCAAGTACAAGAGGTGTCCAACTTGATATAAGCAACCTCAAGAAGTACAGCAAGCGTTCAAGAGTTGAAGAACACGAGACAAATCAACCAAAATATGACCGCCCATCATGATTATAACTTTGATCCAAAACTTAAGAATAGGTGCGGTCTGAGAATGCGATCTGTTTGACTTGATATTTAAATAAAAGTCTTTTGTACTTTCGATGAATCAGTTTTTTTATAATAAAAATTTATATGGACAAATGAACATATCGCTCAGCAGAATAGGATCAATCTGTTGTTGATCGCCTTCGTCTTTAGTCAAGGATACCCTGTTCTCCATGCGAGTCTTTTAACAAATTCATCTGCGTCAAACGGCTCTTACAGCTATCGAAAATAGACGATTATTTATTTAGAAATGATAAATTTTAAAATACAAATTGTATTTATAATTTTACCTGCTCGAGCTCTTTCATATTAATGCATAAACATTACTTTTATAATCATATTCACAATTTATTACTTAAAACCAGTGAATAAGCTTTACTAGCTTGCTGAAACGCATCCGCGTTGATAAATCCAAGACATACAAAATCAAGGAAAGAGGACAAAAAAATCAGAAATCAGAAAATTTTTGTTTTGACAGGTAGAAAGGTGGGCGTTTCCTTGCCTCAAACCAATGACCTCAAACCCACCCGCCCCAAGCCTGAGTAGTTTGAAAGATGGGGAGCTAAGAAATACAATTGAAAGCCTAGCGAAAATGCAGTGCGTAAAACGTAAAATTAGTGAGAGAAGCTTTTATAGTTTTTTAATAAATAAAAAATTTTAATTTAGCAAAAAAATTTCCGATCTTAAAAAAAATCAAAATTATTTTAATTTTTTAGTGCTCCTCATGAATACTTCACTTGAGCCAGTAAATACAAACACAAAGTCAACACAAAGTTCAAGTTCACACGCTGGACTGGACCTTGTTGGACTGGACAGTTCTGTCGGACATCTCAGGTCCTTCTCTTCGTCTAGTTTTCTCTTGAATTAAGAAATTATACAGGTATGCATTTAATATGTGTTAATAATTAGTTTATTCTGGTGATATATGTAACACACACTCGGAAATATGTATTTTTTCTCTTAAATACAATAATTATACACATACTTTTGATTTGAAGTTATACTTTACATTGTGGCTCATTGCTATTTTTCTCTAATAGGACATTATAATGGCCAACGTGCCAGGAGCAATCGCCAACAAAAACAAAAAGCACTTTCTTGGTGTGCCGGCGCCGCTGGGCTATGTGGCTGGCGTAGGCCGTGGTGCCACTGGGTTCACAACCCGTTCTGACATTGGTCCTGCCAGAGATGCGAACGACGTCTCGGACGACAGACATGCGCCACCAAGTAAGCGGAAGAAGGGAAAAGATGAAGATGAGGAGGACGAGGAAGACTTGAACGACTCCAACTACGACGAGTTCTCTGGCTACGGAGGCTCGCTCTTCAGTAAGGACCCTTACGACAAGGACGATGAAGAAGCCGACGCTATTTACGAAGCCGTCGACAAGAGGATGGATGAAAAAAGAAAGGACTACAGGGAAAAGAGGCTCAGGGAGGAACTGGAACGGTACCGCCAGGAGCGACCCAAAATCCAGCAGCAGTTCAGCGACCTGAAACGGAATTTGGTTGAAGTGTCCGAGGACGAATGGAGAAGCATTCCCGAAGTGGGCGACGCGCGCAACAAGAAGATACGCAATCCCAGGGCTGAAAGGTTCACCCCGCTGCCTGATTCTGTCTTGTCCCGGAACCTCGGCGGTGAAAACACAAGTTCCATCGACCCCACAAGCGGCCTAGCATCGGCCATTCCAGGGACGGCCACTGGAATGCTCACACCTACTGGGGACCTTGACCTGCGGAAGATTGGTCAAGCCAGGAATTCGCTCATGAACGTCAAACTGAGCCAAGTGTCCGACTCGGTGTCCGGTCAGACGGTGGTTGATCCCAAAGGGTACTTGACAGATTTACAGTCAATGATCCCTACCTACGGAGGAGACATCAATGACATCAAGAAGGCACGGCTGCTCTTAAAGTCTGTGCGAGAGACCAACCCAAACCATCCACCAGCCTGGATTGCTTCAGCCAGGCTTGAAGAAGTCACCGGCAAAGTCCAGGCTGCTAGAAATCTTATTATGAAGGTGAGAAATTTCTTACAATTTATATCAAGTTCAGATGTTTCAAGATTTAACTAAATTATCACATGCAAATATAAAGCAAACAATTTCATCAATTTATTAGTTAATTTAAAAAATAATTTTATTTTATTGCCTCATAACAAGTTATTGATGATTTTTTTCCATTTTTTATTCTTAATTAATGATAATTATTTGGATCTTAAAACAAACTTTATATTTCTTTGGCTGGTACAATAAATTATATTTGAATTTATTCACAGGGCTGCGAAGTGAATCAGAATTCAGAAGACCTTTGGTTGGAAGCCGCCCGCTTGCAACCACCAGACACAGCAAGGGCAGTTATTGCCCAGGCAGCCAGGCAAATCCCAACTTCAGTCAGGGTTTGGATCAAGGCGGCCGAACTTGAGACAGAGCTCAAGGCCAAGAAGAAAGTCTTCAGGAAGGCCCTCGAGCACATCCCCAACTCTGTCCGTCTCTGGAAGGCGGCTGTTGAGTTAGAGGAACCGGATGATGCGCGAATTCTGCTTAGCAGAGCTGTTGAGTGCTGCCCGACAAGCGTAGACCTTTGGCTAGCCCTGGCCAGGCTTGAGACGTACGAGAACGCCAGGAAGGTACTGAACAAGGCGCGAGAGAACATCCCGACAGACCGGCAAATCTGGACAACAGCTGCCAAGCTGGAGGAGGCAAACAACAACAGTCACATGGTGGATAAGATCATAGAGAGGGCGGTCATGTCATTGACCTCAAACGGGGTTGAAATCAGCAGGGACCAGTGGTTCAAAGAAGCCATTGAGGCTGAGAAGGGTGGTTCAGTGCTTACATGCCAAGCCCTGATCAAGAGTGTCATTGGCCATGGCGTGGACGACGAGGACCGCAAGCACACTTGGTTGGAGGACGCCGAGTCCTGTGCTAACCAGGGCGCCATCGAGTGTGCAAGGGCTGTGTACGCCCACGCCCTGGCCGCTTTCCCCAGCAAGAAGAGCATCTGGTTGAGGGCAGCTTATTTCGAAAAGGCGCATGGCACCAGAGAAACCCTCGAAACCCTTCTGCAGAAGGCCGTTGGTCACTGTCCTCAGTCGGAGGTGCTGTGGCTGATGGGCGCCAAGTCTAAGTGGTTGGCAGGAGATGTGCCTGCCGCCCGAGGAATTTTGTCACTGGCCTTCAGGGCCAACCCCAACTCTGAAGAAATTTGGTTGGCGGCCGTGAAACTCGAGTCGGAGAACAACGAGTACGAGAGGGCCCGAAGGTTGTTGGCTAAGGCTAGGGCCTCTGCGCCAACGCCAAGGGTCATGATGAAGTCGGCCAGGTTGGAGTGGGCCCTGCAGGACCTAAAGTCGGCCATGAACTTGCTCGAGGAAGGCATCGCCAAATTTGCAGACTACCCAAAGCTGTGGATGATGAAGGGCCAAATCGAGGAGCAACAGAGCCGCTTGGATGACGCCGTTGCTACTTACAATCAAGGTCTGAAAAAATGTCCACACTCAACCGTGTTGTGGATTCTGTTAGCCAATCTGGAGGAGAAGAGGGGTCATCTTACAAAGGCAAGGTCTGTGCTCGAGAAGGGCCGACTGAGGAATCCAGGCAACGGATCGCTTTGGGTCGAGGCCATCAGGGTAGAGATCAGGGCCGGCATGATGGCCATTGCCAACTCAATGATGGCCAAGGCTCTGCAGGAGTGTCCGACAGCCGGCGTGCTCTGGGCCGAGGCCATCTTCATGGAGCCGAAGCCTTCTAGAAAGACAAAGAGCGTGGACGCGCTGAAAAAATGCGAGCACGACCCCATTGTTTTGCTGGCCGTTTCCAAACTCTTCTGGACTGAGGGCAAGTACCAGAAGTGCCGCGAATGGCTAAACCGCGTCCTTAAGCTGGACTCTGACCTCGGAGACGCCTGGGCCTACTATTACAGACTGGAAGTGCTGCAGGGCACTGAGGATTCGAGGTCTGAGGTCATGAAGAGGTGTCTTGCCGCTGAGCCGCATCATGGAGAGCATTGGTGTAAAGTGTCCAAGGATATACAAAATTGGAAAATGCCTATGGACGAAATTCTACTCGCAGTGGCCCAGATGGTACCTTTGCCCATGTAATTGTAGATTTTTTTTATCGTGAATTAAATAAATTTAGTGATTATAATAATAATATTTGTAAAATTATTCTACTACAAAGAGCTAAACAATATTTCTTTTGACATAATTATAATTATTGAATAATTAGTGATAGGTAGCAATAAAACACTAAATATTTTAAGAAGAAGCATAGATAAAAATAAAATTAAAATGCTTTATTGGAAATTTACAAAAGATTCACATTCTCCCTATCTCGCTGTGTGCAGTACCAAACAATATTTAGTTCTTCATCAATGTGATAAACAAGGAATCGGAATTACGACTGAAGATATCCTCTGAAAATATAATCAGTGATCATCGTAAATATTATGACAACTGTAACTTTGTTGAAAAAAAATGGAACTTTAATATTCAAAAAAATTAAACTGAACATCTCACCGAATTTATGAATTTTGAAGATAATACCTGAGAGTTTAAAGAATGTTTAAAATAAAACCTATGCAAACATGGAATAGAAAGTAGTGAACTTACGGCAACTTCATCCTCATGAAAATCCAGCAAGTAAAGAATGAGACAAGAATGCAGATGAAACCAACAAAGATGAGCAGGAGCCTGTTTAGCTTAGGGGTTGCTGGAGAGTGTGTTTGCTCAAGGACGACAAAACCGAGTCCACCCATGGTGAAAAGGAAACTGGCGGCCAGACCTTCCATAATGTACTGTCCATTCACACGGTAAGGCATGAAAGCAACCTGGTTTTAAAATAAAAATTACCACGTAAGTACGCAAAATTATATTTGGAAAATATTACAGGTCTTGAATGTCCATTTTCATCAGTCGTGGATCCAACACTTGGCGGCTCCACAATTACGTCGTAAATTATGCCTAAATTAAGATTATGTTACATAAGTTCTGACTTAAAAATATTCCAGTGAAATTCTAACCTCCAGTGACCAGAAAATATGAAAGAACAACAAGGGCGAAAACTGTCATTGCAGAGGGCATGTGGATCCATGACGGCTTTTTGATCCGAAGGTTGGGAACTTCAAGGACCTTGAAAGGTATGCTGAAGATCGCTTCCATGTCTTCTTTATCTGCAGAAGAAATGGGTGAAATTTCTCTAGATTAATAAGTTTTTGCTTGTTAAAAATTTCTTATTTACCGGCCGGCTGACGTTTATGGTTTTATTATTTTTGTTTTTTGTTTCGCTGGCCAACTCGCTTCCTCGCTTGCTTTCTTTTGTTGGCTGCACTGAAATTGCGCTTGTTTGCCAACATCACAGAGGACGAAAATTACCAATTTCATGCGGAAAAAGTCAACACGGGTCAACAGTCAGTTGTTTTGTGATTCGTGTTTCGTGTCTGTACTCTGGATCTTGTGACCAAGCAGGAAGAAGGTTCAAAAGTCCGACCGCAACTCAATTTCTGCTGCGGTTAGAGCTTAAGACTGTCCGAAAATTGACGCCAGCCTCTCACCACCATGGCCTTCTTGAAGTTTGCAATGGCCTGCTGCGTGGCCGCCGCTATCTGCGCCCTTGCCGAGGCCCAAACTCCTCCTCAGCCTACTCCCACAGGTGAAACAAATCTGAATGATTCGTTTAATGTTTTGCAATTAAGGGGCGTCCATTAAATCACAATATTCTTAACGTTTGACATTGTAAGCTGATCAGCATATGATAAAAAATGCGTCATGCATCACTAGAAACGAAAACAATTACATAAAAGGGTTCATGCATGCACCTCATATTACAAAAAATATAATTATATAAGCTGCTTAAGTTCCTTGTTCACATTATGAATTTTTTTCCAAATACAAATCTTTCGAGTGTTTATTTTTTGAAGATTGTTTTTAGTTTTGCAATTCTTGCGACGTGCAATAATTTTTTTTCGCAAACCCTTAAAAATTAATAAATTTAAATTAAGCGTATGAATCAAATTAAAAATTCAACCTCACTATAATCAAATCATATAATTTCAGATGAATGCCCAAAGCAGAAGGACTGCGCGTCTTGTGTGTCCTTAAAGTGCACCTGGACTGTAGATGAAGGGAAAAAGCAGGCCTGCGTATTGAAGGTGATGAACTTAAATGAGATAGCCTCGCAGTTGACTAAAGCAGAGGAGTGTCCGTGGCTGGACACATGCATGAAGATCAAGGACTGCAAGTCGTGCACTGGCACCACCTACAAGAGCAACTCGACTTGCCTTTTCGACACTTCTGTTACTCTCTGCTCATTCAGCATTACTCATAGCAAGGACATGCAAAAAGTTGTCACCAATCCAGTTGATTGTATTGAAATTAAGGTTTCCAAAACAAAATTTTGTAACAACTCGTAATTTATTTCAGGCGAGGCGATCACAACCACACCTGGTATTGATTTTTAATTATGTAATAATTATGCATAATGCTTTAATGTGTCTTTGCCAGCTCCCACAACTACAAGCACTACCAGCACCTCGACAACAACCTCCACCACATCGACAACTCCCTCTACCACTAGCACGTCCACCACAACCACCACACCTACCCCAAGCACCACGACCACCACTGCTGCTCCGTCAACTACGGCTAGTCCTCCAGTGGTGCCTGGACGCAAGTTTGATGCCCCTAGCTTCATTGGTACTTAAATACATCTCATGTGAACTTGAAAAATTGATTTTTTTTATTCCACAGGAGGCATAGTGCTGGCCCTAGGGTGCATGGCCATTTCGTTTGTTGCCTGGAAGTTCTACAAGGCGCGCACCGAGCGCAACTACCACACTCTGTGATAGCATTAGGAAGGGAAGAGTCAATGAGCTGTTAATCGTTTGCCATTTCAGCGCACCGTCCAGTGGCATTCCTTTGGATCAATATGTAAAGTAATTAAAGAAAGAAATCTCTATTATTTTGATCTGTAACTCTACTTCGTGTCTGTCTGTGCCGCTTTTATTGAAATGCAATATACAATAATTATATTCGTACACTTGAACTATAGCATAATAGATTGTTTAGAGTGGCTTTTCAATCACTAACTTCTCAGTCTTGAACATCTGGCTGATCAGCGCCTGCGAAACAAGAAATTTGAAAATTGTAAACAAAAACTTGCTGCATTCTTGTTATTAAAATTAAGTAAGGAATTATCGTTTGGGTTTTAATTAGAAAAATTTAAATTAACCTTTAAATGAAATTTAGGCTTTTTTGTAAGGATAAAAAGAAATCGAGGCAATAAAATTTGACATTATATAACAAAAGCATGTACATACATAACTTGAAATTTAATTTCTTATTAATTAACGCTAAATATGTAGTGAGTCAATCACTCTTATTTTATCATGGACTTCTATTAAGATTTTACCTGTCTTTTAATTAATTCTAATTGCTGGAATCCAAATTTAAGTTCCTTCTCTATTGACGCTCCATCGGCGAGGGTCTTGTTTTCTTTAAATGCATCCCTCATTCTTCTGACAGCGTAATTTCTATTGGAAGGAAAATTAATTTTTAAAAAGTATTAAATATATATTTTAAGACCAGCACCTGAAGTTGTAGTCAGCAAATTTCTGTCCTTCTCGCAGTAAATTTTTATAGAGTTCCAAAACTTTGACTCTGCTGGCAGCCATAGTGAGCGTAAATTGGAGAGAAAAGGGGCTGGGCCCGGCTGGAAAACCAAAAACAAACACGATCAACAAAAATTTTCAAATATGATTTGGCGCGAGAACAAAATTTTTTGTATAAAATGTGCCGTCTTTTCCCTTATAGACCTATATTACTAAGTTTAGTTTTTAATTCTTGAAATTTTGTCATTTTTTTCTGTTCATACAAAATAAAATAAAAAATATCCAATCTCCGTTTATTAATATAAACTTTCCATGGGACTACGTATAGCCATTATTTTATTTTCACCACTGGCTGTAAACGTTTACTGATATTCTCATCTCACTTAAAATTTGGGGAAGATAAGATGATGCGGTTTGTAGTTTTCAACTTTTTATTAATGTCAACGTTCATAGCATTTTAATTTTTAATACATTTCAGTTTTTTATATAGTATTTACATAATATATTATTTTAATTGAAATAATTAACAGCAATTAACGGTTTCATAAATATTTTCTATGTAAAATTTTATTTACAAAACAATAAAAAATGATTTAATTAAATTTAATTAGTTCTACCGTAACAACTTGTGTTGGGTTCACTTTCAGATATTTAACAGGAAAATACACGAAAATACAATGGAACTCAGCAAACAATAAAAAAATTGACAACAGCTACAAATATGTTCATCAAAATGTCTCTTTGGGGTCAATTAATTAGATGTTGCCCAAATTTATCACTATTAAGCATATTTTTTTTTCTTGTATTTGTATAGTACGTCCAGCTACTATTTAAGTCGTTTAGAGTCACGAGAATACATACATAGAGTAACACCAGGGATAATGATGCACGCATAACGACAGAGATAGAGCGCATAACAGACATTAATTTGTTTTCAACAATATTCCATTATTTATAAAATGGAATTGGAATGTAAATTCTCAATAAGCAATTTATTTGTGATTAAATTTGCGTCCATTATTTTGCTTATTTCTTTTCTATTTTGGCTACTTTGACAGAAGGCTTGAATTGACCCTTTTATTGCTACAGATCCTCTGAATGAACTTGCTAGACAAGACACACTTTAACGCTTTCAATCATACTAATAATTTACAAACCCCTTGTCCTGACTTCATAGCTACACCCTCGCTCGCAATTTATTAATATGAGGCAGAAGAATTTCCATAGCATCGATATGAGCCAGAGGATTGAACACGCCTACAGCTTCTTATGTACAATTTTTGTTGTGCACCTTCTTGGACTCATTAGGTTAAACTACTAATTTTTCATTATTTTCATCACTCATCGGATGGCTCAAGGAGTCGATTCAAAGCCCACAGAACACAACTTATCAAGCTAAAAGCTTTTAGAATTTGAAAGCAATCATTATGAGCTGGTCATATATGGGGTCATAAAATCTCACTTCGTCATTGATACGATTGATATTGTGGGCAGTACTGCCTAGAGTTCCGAACGTATTCTTTAATAATCTTTAGATGATATATACCCCATTTAGATTGGAATAGGGCAATAGTACTATTATAACTTTCAAAATCAAGACTATGGGCATAGTTTGAGATCATATAGGACTCAATCTAAAATAAGTCAAGGTTTTGGTTTTTCGAGATGGCCAAGGCCATCTGGGGCTGTGGTGCTCACTGCATTGAGGACGGTGTGATCAGACCTCCCTCCTCCTCCAGTTTTGTCAGGAATTTTACGACCCGCATGTTTTCTGGTGTTTGCTTGGCCATGTCGATGAGAGCCAGCAGCTTCTTTACTCCGATGAACACCCTGAAAAAATTGAAACATATTTTAAATGCTGGATTTAAAACTAGCGTAGATTATTTATTTTTTTAACAATTGAATTGACGTAGAATCATTAACATATTTAAACAGAACTGTAAAATTAATGTTTTAAACATTTCCGCTGAAAAAAATCTATGTCTGTGCATTTTTCTACTATCAGTTTAAAATAATTATTTGACCCACTTGTGGCCCTTGACATTCTTTGCAATGTTTGCCAAGTCATGTGGTGAAAAGGCGTTGGAATCCTTCAGAACAGCCATCAGGTGTTCAGAGGTAGACAAGTTAGGCACATGCATAACGGCGGTGAATGCCGAAAGCATTTCCATGTCCTCGAGTACTTGGCGCCGGCTGCTGGTGCAGATGATGAGCAGCTTGCGGCCCTTGGGTGGTTCCTTCTTCAAGAGCACCAAAAGAGCTTGCAGCGTCAGGTTAGAGTACCTGGGCCCAATGGGGCCATAGTCGAGAAGACGCTCAATGTTGTCAACCAAGATACAGCTCAACACTGAACGATAGGCATCATCAAAGATCTGAACAAATTACATAACGATTAGAAATGATTGGAGAGAATTTTTGTGACTTTCTTACCTTCCGGATGGACAAGCATTTTGCTGACTCGGTGAATCCAACCATCTCTTCCGGAGTGCACACCTTGACAAAGGGGAAGTCTGAGATTTTGGCCAGCTGGGCTGCAATTGCCGTTTTTCCTGAGTTTGGAGGTCCCTCAATCAGGACTGAGACAAGGCCAGACCCCTCTGTGTGTTTTGCTTGCTGAATGAGGAGTTGTCCATCCTCCATCAAGGATGAAACGGGTTTGCCCCAGTTAATGACGCCGCGACCCAACAAGTGCTCCAAAGCCTCAGCACTTGTTCCAAAGGCCTAATAACATATTATGTTGTATATTGATAAAATTCTAATCAAATAATTAAAAAAAATATAATCAAAGTTATGCTAGGAATGGGATTGAAATGACCCACATATTATGGCCTGTTTTCCCCAAAGAGTAATTTTACATAATCGGGCCATAACCATGGCTGTATTAAAAATTGGAAATATTTTTACCGGTTTGATATCATGCTCTAAGGCATGCAAGAAGTCTTCCCTGTTGACTAAGAGTTTTTCCATGGCAGATGGGTCAACCTCAACTTTGGAGGCAGCCTTGATAAGCCTGTTCATGGCTGTTGATTGCGCCGCCCTGACTAGACCTTCCAACTCTGCCCCACTGAAGTTCTTTGTTTTTGTTGCCAGTTCCTTGAAAAATTAAAAAAAAGTCAGTAAAGATTACATTTTTTCAAAATATATCCTTACTTTGCAGTCAACATCCTGATTGAGCTTTTTGAATTCGCGCATACGAGCAGTATGAATGTTGAGGATCTGGTGGCGACCATGTTCGTCCGGCAGACTGATCTCCATCTGCACCTCCAGACGACCTGGTCTCATCAGGGCATCGTCAATCATGTCTTTGCGGTTGGTCATGCCGATGACCAGGATATTATTAAGCTGCTCAACACCATCAATTTTAGCCAGCAGCTGGTTGACCACCGTGTCGTGGACGCCAGTCGCACCAGCCACTGAACCTCTTGCTTTGCAAATTGCATCAATTTCGTCAAAGATAATGATGTGCAGACCACTGTTAGGACCAAGGCGTTTTTCCTAGAAAAGAAATTAAATGAAACCAAATTAATTTTTGTGTTATTAGAGCAAATTTACCTCCTCTTCGGCATCTGCAAACAAGCGTCGGATGTTTGCTTCCGACTCTCCCACGTACTTGTCGAGAATCTGGGGACCGTTCACAATTTTAGGCTCTCTTGCGTTCAGCATATTGCCAATCTGACGAGCCATCAAGGTCTTGCCAGTTCCGGGAGGACCGTACAGCAGAATGCCCTTCACGTGCTTAAGACCAAGTTGCTCAACAACCTCTGGAGGAAATACACGAGAGGCAAAGGCTCGGCGGAAGATGGCATTGAACTCCTTGTCCAGACCACCAATGCCCATCTTCTGGAAGTCCCAATCAGGGTTAATGATTGACTGACGGGGTTGAACTCTTCAAATTATTAACAATTATGTTGCAGCACAAAATTTTATCAACAAAAAAATACCCTTTGGCTTTGCCCGTGAGATTAATCCCAGACAGTTCTGCCTTCTCAAACTGGACAGCGGTGTTGCCGCGACACAATCCCATTTTTGTCTTCTGGGGTTTCACCGTAGATCCTGACATCATTGCATTGGGGTCAACGGCTTCAAGACCTTTGACCAATACTGACAGCAGAGGTTTGTCTGGATGGAACGCAAAAACTAGTTGCTGTCCAGCAGTAAGGGCGAGTCCAGCAAACTGAAGTATGAACTCCTTTGCCATCTCATCAGAGTCGAATGGCATTTGCGAAGTTCTAAATTACAAACAGATACTCTTTTAGTAGTTATTATATAACTTTAAAAGAAATTTTTAAACAAGTCGAAGCGTAACTTAAAAAGGAATTCTGTCAATAATTTTTGCACGCAGTTCTAGAACCATTTTCATCTAATGGTAATTGAAAGGAAATAATTATTCTTACTGCTTCTTCTGCAGAAAATCAACTTCAAGAATGACTCCAGACAGAAACTCATTGGGTGATTTGGGGTCAAAGTAGTGCGGCCTAACATCAATATCCTGGTTGAGCGAAAGGGTGGCCCATTTTCTCTGGGGCAAATTAAAACCAATGGTACCTCTTGCAACTTTGTCAAATTTGAGTGAAAATATAAACGATTGTCCCGGTCCTGTAGTGATGACCACATGTCTAAAAGGACGTGGCGTTAATTTTACAATATATAATATAAATTAAATTTTTTAGAACTCACTGGACATCTTTAGGGAAGTCCTCTCTGTTTGCAATTGCATAGTTTGACAGGGACAGCTCATCAGATGGGCACTTGGCCGCCTTCATTCGCTGCAGATACCAATTTCAGACAGTGAATTTCGTGCATTAAAGGGAATAAAAGCAATTTTTACCTGTGTGGCCATTGCGAAACACGACTGTAGTTCTGGAGAGCACGATGGGCACGATCAATATAGGGCTAACCAGCCAGCTATCGCAGTCGCAGAAAATTTATTGATCACTTTTCATCCAGCAAACAACATTGGAAAAGCAGAGCAGAAACTTGGCAGAAACGCCCCCATCATTGTCGCCACCTTTGCAGAGTAAAGGCTGGACGAGTAAAAATTTTCGTCACCTTTTGTGGCGCCAAAATATTATCTTGGAAATTATTTCCATATTTTATTACAATTTTTTCTGTACATACAACCAGCTCTTATAACCAGGAGATTAAATATATAAAACGAATATAAATAATAGAATTTCTGCTAGTTGTTATTATAATAATGCAAAAAAACTGAAAATTAATTATCACGAAACTATAATTTATTATAATAATAAATATCATAAATATAATGCACAACAAATGGAGGATTTAAATATTATCAACTTATTTCAATATTGTCTAAATCAACATTGATAATTTGATAGACAAAATTTTCACTGATAAAAATAAGAATTTAACAGTAAAAAAACTTCAGATGAATATTGCAATATATGATTATTTATTAATTATGCATTTATCAATTAGTAAAATATTTGAAACAACTTAATTCATTCGGAGATATTCTTCGGGTAGGGTAGCAATGATTAAAATAAAATGTAAGCTGATGTAGACAAGGATAGCGTTAAACACTTTTCATATTAATTTTTATACATTCCTAAAAAGGAGTATCCCTACATTAAAAAATTCGGAGACATGGACGGGACTTGGCGGTGAACCAAAATTAGTGTTTAAGTAAAGCAATAAGTCCTTATGAAGAAGAACAGTGAAAATTAATTACATCAGCTTAAAAGTGCTTATATTCTTGAGCTGTGGAAAAATGTTATTTTATAAAAGAGAGAAACATACAAGAACTTTGGGAAAATTGGACAAGACAACAAATTAAAATATAATTGGTAAAGGTTTGATTTTCGTAACACCAGACCTGGTGGAGACTCGAGTGTTGGACTGGGGTCTAGTAGAAGAAGTGGGCCTCAAATTCCGGAAAGATTTGGCAGGCGCGGACTGAGGCATCTGGGGTTTAGCAAATAGGTGCTTCACTTCTGGGGTTCTGATGTGGAGGGTTGAGTTAGCAGGTGTAAGCGGGGTGCGAACCGTATTAAGTCGCTTTGGCTCAGAGGGAACTGCACTACTTCTGGTAGCTCTTGATTCCAAATGTTTCTGCAAAATACAAAACGATCTAATTGCTTGAATTTTTTGTATCCAGTAATAAGTAAATATATTACAAACAAAGCATTGCCACCAAAAACCCAAATACCATTGTATAAATTAAATACTGACCCATCAATGGAAGCATGGCACTGGGCGTTTGTAGTTGAATTGTGCATTAGTTTGTTCTGCATGCATTTTAGTTAATAAGCAGCTTTCATGCAAAAGAAATGTAATTTAATTACCGTGAAGTCTGTGTAAGAAATTGAGGAAGCTATGGAGTCGTCGACAGGGTTACGCTGGCTTATCTCAACCTTCAGGGTCGCTTTGACTGTGCTGCCTGTGTTTGAATTTCCAGCCATCTGCAGTTTCCTTTGGGTAGGACGAGTCACTGGCTTAGCGAATTTGCCAACCTGTTCACAAATTATATCTAGTTAAGAAGCAGATGTGCAGAGCTTTAATTCTTTCAGCCAAAAAGCGAGTGGTGTGCAAAGACAAAAACAAGTGTTTACTTTTCCTCTTTTATTTATTAAATTTTGTTTTTAAATAATTGGGCCTTGATTTTTGCCGTATCATAGAAATCTAAAGAGATACTAGATATAGTGGGGTTAACACTTGCTTTTGTTGCACTCATATGTGATAAAATTCATTTATGTACAATCTTTCGAAAGTTAAGATGAGATCAGAAGATAATATTCACCTCCACCTCTAAGCATGCACTACAAAATAATATAATTTTTTTCTTTACAATATGATGGCCCACAGTTAGTTACAAAAGCACAAAAACACAATTGTTTATTTATTGACACGTTTGAGCACCTTTCCGGCTGTGGTGGCTGCTCTCACAGGTAGAGGTGCCTTGGCCGGAGTGATGCGGGGCTGCTTTCTGACAACTTCAGGTGTATTTGGCACCATTTTCCTCTTCATCGCTGAGCTCATCATAGTAGTTCCCATCATTGCTTCACGTTCCAACTGCTTTTGCTGAGCCATTTTCTACAAGTTGCAACAATTCATATCTCAAATTCTTTTTTAAATTCTTTTCAAATTACCTTGCTGTGCTTTTCGGCCTCTTTGAGCTGCCTCTTAGACTCCCACTGCTCGCTAAGCACGAGAGAAGCGCGTCGGCCATTCAGCAAAAATGGCTCGCCGTGGACCTCCTCCCTGGCATGAATCAACCTTTTCACTCGCTCTTCAACCTTAGGGAGTTCCTAAACAAGAAAAAAAATAGTCAAAATAGTTACTAACTATCAACATATTGTCATCAGGAATAACAAACCTTCTGGATTTGCTTTCTCTCTTTCTCTTCCTTCAGCAGCTGACCACCTCGGTTGTTCAACCTATTCGAGTCAGTGGCAGCAATTTCCAGTTGACACATTCTCTCCCAGAGCTCAGCTCTGCGTGAAAGAAGGTTGAACACCTCTTTGTTTTCCTCCAGAAAAGCTTCGTAACGCTTTACTTCAACTTCATGTTGTTCTAGCAGTTCCTCAGTAAAGTCCAAGCTCTTAAAAGGAGCAAATGCTTCTCGCTCCTCATCAGAAACGTGGCATTGGTCCCATAAGTTGATCAGCTCGTCTCTCATCCTCAGCGTGAATTTCTCCATATTCTGCTTCTTGAGTTCTTCGCAGCGAATGATTTCACTACGCAACTAAAAATTTTAACATAATTTTATATTATAATTTGCACTTTTCACAAACATGAATAATAGTAATAATTTAAAAGAGGGCAGTTTAAAAAAATATGAATATGCCATATGAATCTTGAAAGACCTACCTCTTGTCTAGTGTTTTTCCTAATGCCAGGGTTATTTTCCATGAATATAGCTCGATCATCAACGTCAACCTCTAGTCTATCCCACAAGTGCGCCAATTTCATCCTGAGTTGTTCTGTTTCTTCAGTGACCTGCTTGACGCGGTCATCAAGGTCTGCATGCAGTACCTATCGAATAAAACGAAACCGGAAATGAGTTTTTAAATGGCAGAGGAAAATTAAAACTCACGGCAACATTAGCCAAAGTGTCAGGGTCCAGTGGGAAAGTGTCCGTATTTGGGTCAGTGACTCGGAATTGAAATTCGGTGGAAGGCTGCTCCTCCAACTCTGAATATAAATCAATGATTTCACTTCTGGTCTTCAGGAATTCCAGAAGAAGTGTGTCCTATGCAAATTAATCACAAAACTATTAGTGCAAATATTTATTTTTTTATTGAAGCAGCATAAATTTAAAATAGAAAATAGTTAAAAAATTACGATTGGGGTGAAATATTATTTACCTTGTCTTGCTTGAGCTTGGTAACCCTTTCCCTGAAGTCTCTCATGACTGGATCTGAAAGAGCTTTGGCTGCAGGTTTCTCCTCAACAGCTCGGCCCAATTGCTCGCAATATTTCAATTCCTACAAAGTAAAAATTTACGGTAAAATTATTTTGGTTCAAAACATTTTTTCCCACCTGCATCTCCAGTTTGGTTCGCTCATCAAGTCGAAGCTGATGCATCAGCTTGAGGTCTTTGAGCGAATTGTCCAGCTTGTCTCTGGCAGCGATGAGGGTGAGGCCATCAATTTCTATGCTCTCATTTTTGTCTAGGTCAAGGTTGAAGACAGCCAACTGGCTCAGCAAGACCTCAACTTTGCTCTTCAGTTTGGCCTTGAGCCCTTCATCTTCATTCTCCATCTCTTGAAACAGGGTCTGGAATTTCACAAGTTAAAACGATGCAGTCATTAGAAAATTTTGTGTTTCCTTACATTGACGTGCGCCTGGCACGCGGCAAATCTAGAGTTGATGGCTTCATCGCTGAGACCAATTTGTTCCCAGAGCTGCAGGAGCTTGGCCAAATGCTGCCGCACCGAGCTGTCAATTTTCTGTAGCGACAGGTCTATTTGAGCCTGTCGACGTCTGCAATAATACACCAAGCATTATAGGCACGTGAATGAATGATAAGAATTCAATAATTTCAATAAATCGCTCGCCAGCTCATGAATGAATTTCGGCAATGTCCATATTGTTTGTTGTTGTGAAAAAATTTCAAAAATTAACTTTCAAGTGTGTGATATGTGCATAATTTTTGTTAAAATACATAAGTTAATTGAAACTTAGAAAATTAGAGGAAATTTTGCTGTTGATATTGTGGGTGCGCCCATCAACTATAACTGCCATATTATTCAACGGCTGGCAGTGAGAAAGCATGAAGATAAAGCGGCTCAAATTTTGAATCAATTTTTGTCCAAAAAATGAATCGACCGAAGCGAAATTTTCAAAGATACTTACGACATGGTTGCTTGCGAGGTGTTTCAGACGCTCAATCCGACTTTTCAGCACTTTAAAATAGGCGAAATCTGAGAAATACCGTTCCGCTGCTTCGGTCTCGCTGCACTTTTGCCTCTTTTTCCAACGGTTTTCGTTTTTCGCTCGTAAATTTGAAGTTTGAACGAAGAAGGATGCGCTGGCGCTAGTAGCGCTGCGCTGGTGAGCGAGGAGCGTGCGCAGTCAACTCTTTCTGCAGGATTTGAATTCGTCCACCACGAATTGCGAGGGGAAACTGCAACACACGTCACACACCTCACGTGGCCCACAATATAATTATCATTCCGTACAGAGATTCCGTATCAATCGTCTGTCTCGTTTACACTTAATTAATTTTGCTAATTTTGAATTCATGGTTTTTTTTAATTCATGCAAGTCATATAATTTTTTTAAATTGAAAGCTAATTTTGATTAATTAAAACTACTTTTGATGAAAATATGAAAATTAAAGAAACAATTAAAATATTCGACTCAATGCTATTAAACATGGTGTTAAATATACTTACTTAATTAATTTTATTTGAATGTTACGATTGATACGTTATACGTAAAATATCCTAATCCTTTAAACGCTGGAAAATTAAGTTTAATGGAAAATAAAATAAGGAAAATATTAATTATGTAAGATCAGTGTGTGTACTGTACTGAGTGTACTGTGTATTTACTGTTTATTTAGTTTTAGTATTTGACAATAAAACATTTTGATTTTCTGTTATATTAAAAAATGTATTTAATCAAAGGTTCTAATTATTGGTACTTTGATAAACGCTATTTATTTATTTATGCATAATATGAATATTTTTCTTCTATGATTTGTCGTGATTTGTCCTATGCAGTCTTGCGCAATTTTAAATTATGCATTTAATTGTAATTTTTTAAATTTATTATTGCACATTTATTTGCTGACAATAAACTGTAAAAATTCAAAATTAAAAAAAAAGAAGGGAAAACATTTTGAATTTGCATAACTTGATCTGTATTCTCTGCGGTTTAATAATGATAAAAATATAAACCACTTCCTTTAGGTTTTGGGTTGTCCTTATTCCTTATGTGACTCAATATACAAAAATATTAATAAAGCAAGCGCGTTTGTTTATAATTTAAAGTATTCATCGCATTATTCATGCAAATTTTAACCACCACTAATAGTCATGATGTCATGGCATGTTTGCGTGGTACTGAAATGTTAATTGATACCACAGAGCTGCCACAGAATGATGCAATATAAGAGGCAGGACATAAATATACATGACTATCATGAGATGAATATAAAAGCATGATTATACTAGTAACAGACAGAACTGTATAACGAACCCTGCTGACAGCTTTACTTCAATTTTTTTTTTAATATTTAAACACATATTTCAGAGAAAGGCGCTCTTTTGTATTATTTGTTATTTTTAACCATGCTTTTCTCCAAAGGGAATTATTTTATTCTTTGCCTGCTTTATGCCAGCTCTTCTCTAAGCGTAAGTTTTTTTTTCAAATACTCAACAATATTATACAGTTTTTCAGAATATGCAATTATTAAGTTACAATTGTGTTTATTGTTTAATTGAATACTTTGGCAGCAATACCTTCAAAATGTGTGCACGTCAACCCAATACAGCTACAATTGCATCAAGGATGCAGTGCGGCGCAGTGAACAACAGTAAGCACATTATTTAATAATTCCATGAAAATCTTGGAGAGCTAATTAATCGTAATCATTCAGGTTGGTGGAAGTAAAAGATGTATTGAATGAAAAGGAGTTGGAAAACCAGAAAATCCGTCAGCAAATTATAACCGCCACCAATGATTCAACAAAGGTATTATAATAGAGCTCTTAATTTGAAAAACCAATCTTAAAAGCTTTAAGATATTTTTCTCACATTATTGATTTAATTTTCAACAAAGGCACTGCGAGATTTGTCACGAAAAATAGAAGGCGAGACGAGTGCTACTGAAGCTGTTGAAAAAAAGATAAATGACATATCAGGACTATTGATTGGTAGATTTCAGGTGAGAGTTTTGACAGTTAAATTATAATAAAATGCACATAGAGTAAGAAATTTCTTTGCATTATTCTTTTCAATATTGCAAAAATTGTTCAATCGCGTTAGAGAATTTAAGAAACAATTTTTCACTGAATATTATACTGCAACTAAAAACGGTATAATATTTTATTTTAGGATAGCAAAACTGCTATTGAGAACCTCTCTGAGAAAGTCACTGAATTGACCGCTAATAATGCAAAAGGTGCTGATTTGAGCCAGATAATTCAAAAACTGGAGGCGCTGCAGTTGCAGGTAAATTATATGATTTCATTAATGAAAACATTGTTTTTTAATTTTACAGAATACTTAAAAAAAATTTGTTTTTAGATTAATAATATCACTTCAAATTGTGCTTCTAATGTTGTAACAAGACTCAGGAGCAGTAAGTGAAAGATAATTAATTAATTTTATTTGCTGAGTATTTAAGGAAAATAAATTTATGATATAGCGCGCTATGCAACGAATTTGAGTTTAAATTGTAATCTACCTTAAATTTAAATTTGCTATATTTTATATAAAAAAAAATGTCCCATAAACCCTCAATTTTGGTAGGACGCTCCACAATTCCACAATATATCGAAAGTCGGCTGGTCACACTTCCATCAGGGAGATATCTCATAAGCGAACAACTGGTACGTCACTGAATTTTGACATGTATTTTTGCATTAAAACTGTTAACAAAGGGGCTAAAATTTACTATTTTTGAAAGGTTACGTGGTATGAGGCTTTAGGAATGTGCGAGTTGATCGGCATGCAATTGGCTACTCCTAACACAGCGCAGAAAGACACGGACCTCCTCAATCTGATGGGTTGGATTTTTTTTGGACATTTTTATTAAAAAAATCGTATATATATGAATTTTTTTTAATTAAATTTGTGTTTCTCAAAAAGGCAATCGGGGTAACGTGTGGATGGGAGCTACCGACTTAGGCACCGAGGGCTTTTTCTACTGGGCCACAAACGGAGATCCCATCGGTCCATACACAAACTATGGCAGAGTCGGACCGCCTAACAATTACGCTCGCAACGAACACTGCATGCACTATTGGCACAACAAGGTATGGAATGACTTCCACTGTGATGCGAAACAAAGATTCATCTGCGAAGAAGTTATTCCCTGAATATATGGATCTTGTTCTAGCAAAACTTATAAAACTGTAAGCTGTAACCAAAAATTGTATTGAATAACCATATTATTGTTATTCTATGATAATTATACTTTGTTGAAAAAATCGGAACATTTTAATCTAGCCCCATCCAAAATAAATTAACAAAGACAAAGTTTGCAAAGTTTTATTAGTTTTATTATTAAAAAATATCCTTCCAACCATCTAAAATCCTGTATATTTCGATTTATATATAAATATTATTTATAACAAATAAAATAAAGTGAAAAATTATATGCAAAATACAGAAAAATAATTTGAATGTTGATAGTTAGTTTTTTATCGCACAATAATAAAACAATAAAAGTATAACCAGAATGATAAATTATAAGCAAGGAAATATTTTATCATATTTTATCACAGTAAATTATGGCTGTGATCGTGCTGAACGTTGATGAATAATTTTATTAATGAACTCAATTAAAACTAAAATTTATAATTATCACTGGGCATTGCACGTGCTGCAACTCTCGCGCCCTTCACCGGCCTGACGTAAATTTGGTACCATTGCGGCCGCGAGATGCCGTTTGTGGCAGGAATTCGAGAGCAGGAAGGACGAGGAGCGGAGGAGGGCAGGCCGAAAATCGAGAGAAACAAACTCCGTCAGTCCAACACGGTGCCGATTTGCCGAAAGTGATGGCTTCGTTCGCAGCTCGGGGTTTCCTCAAAGTCCCCGCCGGGATCAAACTGCCCCTCAGTAACCACGGTACGTGTCCGCAAAACCTTTCGACCCTTGCACTTGTTGTTCTAGTGTTTTTCGCACCTGAGATGACAAACTCCAAAGTCCATCGCTGGCATGCTCATGATTGATCTTTACTCGTTTCTTATCGAAAAATCCACTTTCCAAAGTCTATTTAATCGGAGAATTTCCGTGATTTGCCAACCCTTTCGCCTGTCAAAGTCCACCGCGAAAAAGTTTCTGCAAAAATAACTTTGCTACACCACCTGACCTTTTCTGAATGAGGTCACTTTATTAACCATTTTATTTTCCAGGCGTGAGATGTCTCAGCACGACGGCTCCTCAGCTGGCGCAGACCAAAAAGACTGTCCAAGACAAGACTGGCAAGAATGTGGTTCTGGTGGACGCAGTTCGGACACCCTTCCTGCTGTCCGGCACTTCTTATTCCAAGCTGATGCCCCACGACCTTGCCAGAGCTTCTCTGCTGTGAGTTTATATCATTTAATTATGTAACTTCACATTTAAATTTTGCTTTGTATAATCGTCGAGAGTCAGAATTTGGGTTTTGGCACACTTAATTTTTTTAATAGCAACAAATGGTGGCCACTTAAGCAATGAATGGTCTGCTTCACTTTTGTTTGGCTCTTGATCAACTTGGTTTATTAATGTCATGGTTCAACAAAATAATCATCCAATCATTAAATTTTAATCAATGAAGCCAATATTTTATTAGGATATTTTCTCTGTTAAAACTATTTTTATGGTTACATATTTATAAATAAAAATTATACCTTTGCTGAACCTGAGAAAGTTAACCAACACAATTAGGTCAATCAAGAGGCAACGCAAAATTAGCCAACTCATCTAAAGACCTCTTTTAAGAGATATGATTTGATTCATATTGAAGCAAGCTAAACTTCTGAAAATTCTAGAAAATATATTACGGATATTCATTTATCTTTCAATTAAAATAATTGTATGTAAATCTTTGCGAGTTAAAAGCAATAGAAATTGAATTAATTAACTCAAATTTGATGTTTGCAGTGGTCTGCTGCGAAAAACTGGAATTCCAAAGGAGGAGATCGACTATGTAATTTACGGAACTGTGATCCAGGAAGTGAAGACGAGCAACATTGCGCGTGAGGCTGCTCTGAGCGCAGGATTTTCCGACAAAACTCCTGCCCACACAGTCACCATGGCCTGCATCAGTTCAAACCAAGCCATCACTACTGGTTTGTGCTAAGCTAAGAGATATATATTTTTTTATATCTAATATTTTCATTCAGGTATCGGCATGATTGCTGCTGGCGCCTACGACGTCATTGTGGCTGGCGGAGTCGAGTTCATGTCCGACGTGCCCATCCGCCACTCGAGAAAAATGCGCAGCCTTTTGTTGAGAGTCAGCAAGGCCAAAACCATTGGCCAGCGACTCTCCCTGCTCGCCTCCATCAGACCAGACTTCTTTGCCCCCGAAGTATGAATTCTTAATTTTATGACATCAATTGGCTGAGTACAAAAATTTGATCGAAGGCAGTTTAAAGGGATTGGTTTCAAATTTGTTGTTTTTTTTATCTTGCACCACGTCCTATAGAGTTTCAGATTTTAAGAAGTAGAAAACTGAAATTTTTGCAGTTGCCAGCCGTTGCTGAGTTTTCGACAAACGAATCGATGGGTCACTCGGCAGATCGTCTGGCCGCCACCTTCAACGTCAGCCGACAGGAGCAAGACGAGTATGCCATGCGCTCTCACCAAATGGCGCACCGGGCTCAGGAAAGCGGCCACCTGACCGACTTGATTCCATTCCAAGTGCCTGGAGTGGCCGAAACTGTGACCAAGGACAATGGCATCCGTGTCTCCACTCCGGAACAGATGGCCAAGCTGAAGCCTGCCTTCATCAAGCCCCACGGCACCATCACAGCCGCCAACGCCTCTTTCTTGGTAAGAACTTCAATTTCTTCAGCTGTCCTGTTTCAAATATTTAACTCATCATTTATTTTGAAAAGCTAATTTCTTTTTCTTTTTAAAGATTTAGTTGATTGATTTTAATTCAAAATGCCAGATTTTTAAACCCTTAATTGATTTTGTTTTTTAGACTGACGGAGCGTCTGCTTGCCTGCTTATGACTGAAGCTAAGGCCAAAGCTTTGGGACTGAAACCAAAAGCCTACCTCAGAGACTTTGTTTACGTCTCGCAGGATCCCAAAGACCAGCTCTTGCTTGGGTTTGTTTTTACTTTATAAATCTAAATGCATCTCATCTTTTTTTTTAAACAGACCCACTTATGCTACTCCGAAAGTTTTGGCAAAAGCCGGACTAACTGTGAAGGATATTGACGTTTGGGAAGTGCACGAAGCTTTTGCTGTAAGATTTCTAAACATATTGTGTGAAATTGCGTTATGAATTTGTTTTAATGATAAGGGTCAAATTTGTGCTAACTTGAAAGCCATGGATTCCGATTGGTTTGCTAAGACCTACATGGGACGTAAAGAAAAGGTTGGACTTCCGGAGTTGAGCAAGTGGAATTTGTGGGGTGGATCTTTGAGCATTGGACATCCGTTTGCTGCCACTGGTTAGTTTTATCTGTGCAAATCAGTTCAGAAAATTTAAATTCCAATTTATAGGTGTTCGTCTTGCTATCCACACTGCCCATCGATTAATCAAGGAGGACGGCCAGTTTGGACTTGTTACTGCCTGTGCTGCTGGAGGACAGGTAAGATTTGAGTACAAAATTTATCATTTTCGGCACCTTAGTTTACAAAATTTAAACGGCAATTTTCTTATTGGAAATATAAGCCACAAATTTGGTGCCAAAGCAAAGTTACTGAGATAACAGGACCTTCAGCTGTAGAGTTTGCGCTGAATGGTAGTATAAGTCTCAAACAAACCAAACTTCACTGCGCTTTAAATTAAATTGTTACTTAAATTACATTTATTTTAGGGTGTGGGCATGATCATTGAGAGGTACCCAGGAGCAACAGTTTAAGGAGATTTTTCTTTCTGAATGTAAATAGCTATTTTCATAATATGAACAAGACTTGAAGCACAGTGGAACATTGCCAACTGTTTTAATGCAAATGAAAAGAAATGTTAATCTTCTGTTGATTATTATTATATTATGAGAGTTGTAATTCAAATTTCCTTTTTGTGTAGGTTGGTCATAATGCAACATCAGATTTTTTTTGTTAATAAAAACATGTTTCATTTAAAATAACATTGAATAAGCCCATTCTTTTTTAAAAACACCAGAGTTAGAATAAAAAATAATAAAACCAAAGCTAATCTAAATTGTGAAATAAATATTGCAAGGAATGAAGGTAATAAAGAATTTTAGAAGAGTTTTTGAAAATATGGCATTTAATTTCAATACTTATAAAATTGTTTTCGTTATCAATTTATGTCAAACACAAATTAAATTAAGTGTCAGCACCGAGTCCTGACGCTTCTCTTGCCATCAGCGACTGTGCAACGTGACCTCGGACGGCTTTGTCTAGAATGGCCTGAATGTCCGCACACCCAGTTGTTGCTTTAGAAGCAACAGGGTCAATGTGCGAAAGGTGCAGTCTGGTACCGCTGAGCTCGAGGTGCACTACAGAGTCAAGTCTGGTCATCGTGCTGACACTGAGACCTGGCCCGCCGAGAGTCTCCTCCAGGTGATTGACGTCCACCATTGGGGTGGGAGGCGCTCCACCCTGAGAGGGTGCTAAGGTTGACGTGCAGCTGCAGACGTAGTCCTTCAAGGGAATGCCAGCATCAATCAGGGCCAGGGTACCTGCATTCACGCACGCACTCAGGTTGCCCCCGTCTGCTTGAAGAACCTTTTTGAACAAATTCCGTTATAATTTAAAAAAAAAAAAAATGGAATCAGCTTTGTTCTCACTTCAAGATAGATATCAATTTGAGATCTTGGGTACAGCTCACTCCTGATTGCAGTTTCAAAAATTTGCTGCAAATTCATATCCATTTCCTGTGACTTTTTGTCTCCTCTCGGTCTCCGTTTCCTCTCTGCAGTGCTGAAGACGGCCATGCTGTACTGACAATTGACGTAGGCTCTGTCGTGCAAGGTTTTTGATTTGTTTCCTCGAATCTGTGAAAAAATGTAGTTGTTAACAAAAGGCTCGTTAATTAGGATGAGGTTTTTCTAGACACAGACCTCGTGAGGGCCGTAGACAGCGGCCAGGACTTTGGTGTTGCCCTGCTCGAGGTAGGCGCTTCCGTCGGGTTGGTCGAAGACACCGAGTTTGCACCGAATCTGCCTGAGCTCATTGGGGCGCCTTCCGTCCACCCGAAGACCATACTCCGACAAAAGTTGAAGTCCAGCCATTCGAAAAAACTGTACGCAAACATTGAAAATTAGCAATAGACAATTAGATTAAGAAAAAATGGAAATTAATTTTAAATTTCAGAACAAAATATTACAATACCTGTCCTACTTATGTCTCCCTTGTTGCATAAGATGAAAAGCAATTTAAATGTTTGAAAAGCACTTAAAATTATTATCGTGAATTATTTATTTTGGTTTTCTCTCTTTTTTTTAGCCGGCACGACTGGCACGGGAGGGAGGGGGTAAAAAGCACGTGGAAATAGTTTTTGATTCGATCTAAAGGGGCCTCTGGTGCAGCTCGCATGCTCCGGCGAGCTCAAAGTTCTCGACCTGCCCGCTTGGAGAAGGTAAAGGCGCGTAATTTTATTGTTGTGAACGAGAGAGAGAGAGACGAAAGATAATTTTTATTTGCCTTGAAGGCTTGTTATCTCGCGACTGAATAATAAGGCAGGGACACACAAAGTGTGGCGGGCACATGTCCTACATAATCGATGCGCCTCTCGAGCTGGACTGAGATCTCGCGACGGCAGTGAGCAGCAAGATTAGTCAGTTTTGTTTCGACTGTGCCAAAAGACAGATGGAAATCTTCTGGACACCACGATGAGCAGTGCCGCGGACACGACGCCGCAGGACGACGTCTCCGTCCTGTCCACCCCGAGCCGAGTCTCCTCTTCGATTTTCGAGGATGACGACCTCGAGGACCTGCCGGACACCAACTACTTTCAGAGAGTTAGAGTGAGTGTTATTTTTTTTTTCAATAACAAAAATGGGTGAAAAAATATTCAAAATATTTATAAAATTATAAGAAATTGAAGTTTTTTAAATGAATTTTCAGGAATTTTTATGACTCTCTTGTTAGAAAAACGTGACTTTTTGAATGGAATTAACGGAGTCCCGCAATAGGGCCGAAAAGAACAAGGCCGAAAACGGCTGAGCGGAACAAGGCCGAAAAGGAATAGGGCCGAAAAGGAACAAGGCCGAAAGCTGAAAAATAACCGATAACCGCGAGCGCGTCTCAGCGAGAATCCTTTGCACGCCAATACCAAAATATCCTTCATGCGGCCGTTCGCATTGGAAAATAGTTGAAAATTTAAAAAATGATTTTGCAGAAGACAATATAACAAAAAATCTTCATTTTAGACGAGACACATAATCACAAAATCACAGAAATTTGGGGGACAACACAACACAAGATAAAGATAATATATTGATCTCTTTAAAAAAACCATTCTGCATCGGAACTCGGAAAACATGAGCTTATAAGAAATTATTTGTCCTGGAAACTTATCACTTATATGTATGGCAAATTTGGCGAGGTATCATTGTTTTTTTTATTTTTCACTTAAAATTTTCCTATAAATGAGAAGCATATGATAATAATTACTCTGTATATAAAACTGCTCAACCTTTTCCCATAAGATCAATATGTAAATTTTTTATGTCGGCTGACCTATTGGTTTTATTTTTCCATTTAAAATCTTAATTGGGGGTGATATGAACGTGATTTTGTGAAACTTTTATCAATTTTGGTCGTGCCAGTTTTGCGAAAAAATACATTCTTGTAGGGATGGCGGGTTGACATAACACGGTAATCGCGGTAATTTCCTAAAAAAACCGGTTCTTCCTATTTTGTCTGCACCGGTATTTCGGCCTTGTTCCTTTTCGGCCCTATTCCTTTTCGGCCCTGTTCCGCTCAGCCATTTTCGGCCTTGTTCTTTTCGGCCCTATTCCGGCACTCCGAATTAACAGACCCAGAGCGGTTATTCTCCCCTTTATTCGAAACTTCTATTATCTGTCCTGTTCACCCCCTCGTGCGAGCGGCGCACCTGACACTCACAAAAAAAATGCACCTTTCCTTTCCTGTCTTCCTGTCACGGATAGGAAAAGCCACGCGCTGTAGCTCCGTTTATTTGCCATGTTGCGAGTTTTATTGAAGCTCGCGACCCCTACGCGTGTTTCATCTAATTTTGCTCGCGATAAAATGAATGACGCATAAAATAAATTGCGCGAGTGTTTTTTTCTTTCTTTTGATGACTACATTGAATTAAGTCTGTTATTTAATTTTATGGCAAGAAAATTAATATTATAATTTGTTCTAAGTTTCTCCCTCTTTCTCCAAAGTTGGTTTATTATAAAAGATTTCAGATTTGTTAATTTATTTGCAGAAGCAAATAAAAGTTTACAGGTAATTTTGACCACGGCAATTAAAACAGTTTACTGCTCAAAATTTAACAGCGAGTGAAAATTAAGTCCCTAATTATTCTGTCCGGCGAGTGTTTTTTTGGAGTTTTTGAATCCACTTTGTTGTTTTCCTCGGACGTTCGTGCGCGCCTTGGCCGTAAATATGGATTTTTGCTCACAGGAATTTATTGATCCGGCATGTGGCGTGCAATGTGAGCGCAAAAGCTAATGGGATTTTTCGCCTTCCAAGGCTCTTTCCATTAGGGCATAATTCTCCTTAACGCAATAAACGAACTAATTACTGCGCGGTGGCAAACTCTGCACAATTAAAGCGCACCACCAGACGAAGAGATGCCAAGAGGCTGATATTATGCTCATTGTCAGGCACACACTGCTTTAATTTGACCTTTGCTATTTTGCTATTGGACTTTAAATTGCTATGTTATAATGATGATGCTTTATGCACGTTAATAAACGTTGGTTGAAAATTATTATATCTAAATAACATAAGAACAAAGAACAAGTTAAAAGGGATGAAGTGGATTTGATCAGTTTTTATCATTAAATTCACAATATTATTATAAATAAAAAATATTAATACAACTTATTTAATAGCTATTAACAAAATATTCAAAACAATGATAACAGATTAAAATACTTTATGTGAATAAACAACAAAAAATAATTAAAATATCATTAAATTTTTTTTTAAAATTACAATATACTGATATTGAAGTTGATTTTTAAAATAATTATTAAATTATATAGGTGAAATAAATTACAACTTTTAATTATAAATTTTATTTTTGTAAAATTTTCAAGAGATATTTGATTTCTTAAAACTGTTGCTTCCATTTCCTTCAGCAGCCTCTCACGAAACAACATTAAAGTTAATCTCTTTCCAGAAGTCTCTGTGTCGTGTTAACAGCAGACAGAAACTATTAATTAATTACTTCTCTTATTTAATGCCATGATTATTTTAACATTTAACTAAGTTTTGGCAATATTGAATTTTGAAATAATGAAAAAATCAAATGTATAATTGTTCGGTTGTTGTTCATATTTATACTTATATAAATAGGAGAAAAGAAGTTAAGAGATTTATTTTAGCATTTATTGATCTATAAAATAAATCCCTTGCACGTGTTTAAAGTTTAAAAAGACTGAAATAGAATGGTATAAATTCCTGCTTATATAAAAATTGAACAAAAATTTAAATCTCCCTTATGATAATTTAGTAAACAAATCAAAATTTTGTAAATTACATAATATGCATAACTTAATTAATGAACATTACCAAGAATGCCAGCTTAATCAGCTTAAAAATAATATTAAGACACCAAATACGTGGTAAATTATCCTGAAAAGACCTCAGCGTTCTCCCTGTTGTTTTTTCAGGCAATATCCAATTTACGGATGCATATAAGGGCTGTGGTTGGGGTGATTGCGCACTTGCGGGGCTTCACGAGCACCGCAAAGGGCCCGTCGTATCCCGTGAGAGCCGAGGCGAAAATATATTTATCCTCAAATATCGACGCGGCCGGCGACCATTCATGTTTGCGCGACCGCGCGAATTATCGAATTACCTTTGGCAAGGCGCGACACAAATTCCTCCACTCTCTGCGCAATGAACAGTGAAATTGCCGCGAGAACATAATATTTTATCATTATTTTTAACCTAAATCGTCGCCGTGTGAAGTGCGACTCAATTTCAAGTGGGTAAATTTGTTCTTGATCGGCAATTGTTATAAAGAAAGAATGCTTTTGATTGATAAGAGAAATTCGGCCTTTGGATTCAAGTCTTCTGTCGAATTTTTTGATAAGCCTCCTAATCGAACAATATCATAATTGAAAGTGAAAGATAGCAGAGAGACCTGCGCTATTGATAACAATTTAATAGGCGCCTCTTGTTTTTTAACCTTCTTTCGTAATTCTCTAAAATTAATTTTATGAGGGAATTATGTAAAATAAATGAAAGAAACTGATTCAAAATTAAATTATTAATCTTACTATAGTATCGATTTTGTTTAATCTAAAATATTATCTGAGATTTTCTCGGTCAGAGGGAATTATTATTGCGACTAGAGCGAGAAAAGGGCTGACAGAAAACTTGCAAGTTGCATGTTTTTTTCTACATTATGAGTTTAGGTCGAAAATAAGCGGAGAACGTGAGCTTTGTTGGAATTGTTTCTGTTCGTTTTGTTGATTTTGCTTTCGCGATCGTCGGTGCGCGAAGCAGAAGAAGAAAAGCGCGCAGGAAAAGAAGACGCGGTCTGTGTCATCTCACGGTTCTTGCATCGCACGCTCCTTTGAACCTGCGGTGCTCACACGAGAGATTGCATTGCTCGTCTGCAGCTTGAAAAGCGCATAATTAGGCGAAGCAAACGCACCAGCCGGAAATCGCATGCCTTGTTCGGGAAAAAAAGCCATTTTGGGGAAACAAGTTACAGGTGTTTAAACACTGCAAAAAAATTACAAAATAAAAAAAATTAAAAGTTAAATTATTAAACAAGATTAAAAAATACTGACGCAACGTTTTTTCTATTTGTTTCCTTACATTATTAATTTTTTTGCTTAAGATCATAAAAAATTGTTAAGATGATCAAATTCACCATGACATGAGATGTGAGTAAAAATTTGCACATACAGAGGTGCTTATTTGCCAGTTTAATTATACACAACGTTAATAATGTACGAAAAATATCACGCTTGGACTGGCTTTCAGTTAATTAATATTTCCTATATAATTTGTAAGCCATTCCGACAACCTTTGGGCGTTACACAGGGAAGAGAGTTTGCATTTGTCTCCCAGAAAATTGATTAATCATAATATAATTAATTTTCATTTGCTATATACATATTTATAGTAAATTAAGCATAATTACAATGCAATTAAAAATAATATTGATGGAATTTAAATAACTTTTATTGTGCTTAGCAGTTTTTACTTACAAAAAAGTAATTATCCGGTTATGGTCTCTGTTCATTTCCTTTTAACCGAACAAATTATTGTAATTTTAGGCAAATTTTCCATACAAATCGTTCACAACCTCTTGGTCACCACCATTGACAGCTCCATTCGCTCCATTCATGTCATTTACAATTATCACATCGCCAGAGGGCTTTGTCTGTGGCGCAAATTCTGTGTACATGTCGTTCTCAACCATTTCGATCTCGTCCTTTGAATTATTAGGTTGAATTATTTGACTGCTCCGTCTTCTTCGCATCCACCAAGTAATGAAACCTATAAGAGCAACTAAAATAAGCACCAAAGTGACAATGCAGATGATAATAGTTGCTGTGTTGTCACTACTAGAATAGCTGGGCGTCTCACTGGAAAAGCAAAATGATGGTGGTATGAAAATAATTTTCTCTGTTTCATTTTGAAATACCTAGAAATTATTTCGTTTTCCGTTTTGTCAATTTTTAAACTTGTAGTGGTTGTTGTAGGCGATGGGTTAAAAGTTTTTAGGTAATCAGTGCACCAAGTTTCTTTGCTGTATTTCAAATCGGCACATTCAAATGAAAGTGGCAAGCTTGGACAGTGAGGTAGTCCAGCTATATATGATGGATTAATTTTTTAAGTAGAGATTTGGTGGTTGCAAAATAGACTCACGTACTGGTTGGGTTAAACAAGCTTACAAATCCACCAATGCTACAGGGTAGTTGAATATCTCTATTTAAAGCTGGGCAAAAGCAGGAAAATTCCTTTTTAGTTCCATCGCAATAGTGGCAGCGATTCAAATCAGAATGGCACAATGTGAAGTTTGATGCTGGAAAATTGTCTATTTTGGAAAGGCAAAAAGTGTCAAGCTTAATTATTAGATTAGCTGTATTTTTATACATACTTGAGATAGGTTCCTCCTTCTCCAGCTGAAAAATAGGATTTTTGTCCAAAACTGATCTGCAAGTTTTCTTTCTAATTGCGGATAAACATTTTCGGCCATTGTCACAAGCGCACGGTCCAGTTGCCTGATTACCACAATTATAAACGCACGCCTGTGATTCAGATTCAGCAGGGCAATGAAGTCCTCCAGCTAAAATTAAAATAAATTATATTCATGGTTTACGCATTTTTACAACTAAATTTAAAATATACTTCTTCCGTTGAAAAGGTGCAACTGCCCCAGCTCTGCGTCACAAATCAAATCAATGGTCTTGTTTTTTGATTTGCAAAAGCAATTCAATTTTTCATTCGTGTCTTTATTGCATGGAAAGCATTTCGTCACATCTACAGGGCACTCTTCTGCAACTTTTTCTTCAGCTATATTTAATTAAAATAAAAATATGTTCAACATGCATCATGAATTATAATATAATTCAATACACGTGGCGAAAATAAATAATTAAAAAATACTTTCCTGGAGGATGCAGTCTGCCTGTAGGTGGACATGAAATGACAAGGGACGTTGCCAAAAACAATACAAGGGTGATATAGAAGAACTCGTTGGTGCGGCAGGTCATTTTGCAATTAAGCGTCATTTGAAATTATTTATCTGATAAGAACTCACGAATTGTTCATATTTCCCTGAATGATGTGCTGGAGGAGTGTAATTTTTTAAACTGCCAGAAGGAAACAGGAAGCGTTACCACAGAGATAAATATAAAATAGACTTCAGAATCTTATTAAAAATTATTTCTTATAACTTTCCTTATCGTTAGCAAAATATTCATTCCATTTTCTTTAATAATTAAGCGTCGCAATAATCAAACAATATTTCAGGGAAATTATGTATTTCATAAAATATATGCATGCTTTAACCTTAAAATTTGATCACTGCTGGAGTTGCCCATCCATGGGAGGCTGCTATAGTCAGTCGCAATGCATTTTTTTCCATATCAGCAAAACTGACAGCACAGGATCCTCAGCAGCTCGCAATTTCCAAAGTCGTGACTTGAACAAATTCATTTTGGGCTCTCGCGGAGATCGAGAGGAATATGGAATCAGGCTTGTGTGAATTACGTCACGACATCCGCGGCAATTACCGCGGCGTCGCGCATTTCAATTACATACGCGGCACACTCCTTATGACGCGAGACAGAGTCAATTATGCGCGCGCCAAAATTGCAGGAGTCCAATCTTGCGGCTTCAAAAATAATGTAAAAATGGTCAGGAGAGCCTTCGGTGTCAGAAAGAGAAGAGTTTATATATAGCAGATTTTTATTAAATTTGCTTTTGCCGCATTTGAATGAAAAAATAATTGAAAGATACATTTTTTTTTTAAAAATACAAATTGAAATTTAGAGTTTATCCACTTCTATCTTCCAAGTTTAAATTTAGATTAATAGGCTCACCAAACGTATCTTAAACAGCCCATTTTATCATTCACGTCACTTGAAATCCATCAGTGTAAAGCTAGTGCTAAAAATAGGTATTAAAAAGGTATTTATCTTTTTTATTTTCATTTATAAAGTTAATCAATCCCAGGTGTATTTGAAACATTCATTTCTGTTCATTTGTACAATTTGTTAGGAAAAAGTTTTTTGATGAAATAAAATCCGGCTTCCTTGTTGAAAATGAGCAACTTTATTGTTTCTTCATGATACAGAAAATCCCTGCTGTATCATGTAGAAACAATTAAGTTATTCATCTTCACCGAGGAAGTCGGATTTTATTTCATCAAAAAATGAACACCTTGAGTGCCAAAAGGTTCCACAACAACAACTAAAAGAATCTTTATAGAAACCTATAAAAAAAAAAAAATAATCACGCAGACAAAGTTGCATCCGGCATTGATTAATTATTTATCAAAACATGGCTCACGATGAATAACTTCGTCTCAACAGCAGCAATATAAAGTGCTCGTATTCAGCAGGCTATTAAGTAGCTGGATTTAATGGAAATCATAAATATTATTATCCAAGCATGGAGGAATGCAGCGTACAGGACACACACACACACACTTATTTTTTTTTTGCGAATGGTCCGCCGAGAGAGAAATTGCCGCGTGTGAATTTTCAGGTCGAACCGGATGCTGGGCGAAAAGGACCACCTCCGTCTCTTTCTCTCCAAATTCGAACTCGCATACGCCGAACCATTAATTCGTGTGGCGGGCTAATTAAAAGCGCCTTTTTTTAATCAGATTGCGCGCGCGGCGGCGATGCTAATTACGAACGCGAGTGGTCCAGCGAGCGATCCCGTTACGGCCGCCGCTGTCTGCCTCTCTTGCCGGTCAGCTGCACGGGAAACGCACTTTTGCGTCTTTTGCTCGTGTGTGCGTGTGCCTGCCGTCCACTTACTTACGCTTTATTGTCATTTTCCTTAATTATGCTCGGAGCAAGAAAGCAATTATGGTTTAACGGCCGCTCCTTTCCCTGCGCGCTGATTGAGACCTCAAACAAATTTATTTTCCTTTTCATAAAGTGTTTTTATTCACATGGAACGTCAACAGAGCTATTAGGCTCTTCATTTAACATAATTGGAATTGTGTACGAGTGCGTAAAAAAAAATACCAAAATAAAGTTCGAAAGTTTTAACTATTTATAATGATTTTTTTAACATTAAATAAATTCATTTTTTTAAGGACTCGTAAAGAAGATCAGCCAATTCCGGCAATTCTGAAAACAATAAGAAATTTAACAATCATTGTAGATATGACGCGATTTGAAATGATGTAAAAAAAATTACAAAAATTATGTAGTAATGCTAAACAAATTATTTAATTAGGGAATTTTTGATTTTTTAATCAAAATAAATTTTTAAATGAAAAAGTTAGTACAAAATTAAAATAATAAATTGCTTTTGCTTTTTCACACTTATTTTAAATTTACGATGAAAATCAGCTCTCGGTGAGTTGCAAAAAACTTCTGAATTGCTGGATCAAATCATCTTATTTCGTCATCAGCTGAGCAGGATCATAATTTCTGTAGCTCTTCTATATCTGGAGTGACATGAGATAAAAGTACCTAATTGCATTTGGCATGCCCACGCAGAAACTGCGCGCACGCAATCGACTGTTTTCATGCAGCAAATTTACTGTTTTACAACTGGAAAGATGATTTGCGGTACATTAGCCACGGGTTTTGCGCTCATTCAGTTTTGCGTGTGCCCTTATCATGCGCAGAGGATCTCGCTTGGCGACTCGCTAAAATTTCCCCAGTTTCTGGCTGAGGTGGACGCCTCAGTTTTCGCCAAGCCAAACCATAGGTTGACCTTGTTTGTGACACCTGATGGCGAATAAATTTCAGGACCCACCAAGCCGCAAACTTTAGCCAGTTGCCCCATAAAACAATATTTTTTTTTTAATTTAAAAAAAAATCAAGTTTTATTTTCATCGATTTATAAACGATAGGTAATCAGTTCGTTTTTTTCTGTAATGTTTACGACTTTTATTGTTTTCCACACGCAAACGTTAGAATAGTATTTCATTAACCGCAAACCCTTGGAAATCCGCGACACCTTCAGCAAAGCGATTGAGCAAAAGCGTCTCTTTAGACCGCAGTTAGCAGCTTTCATACACACACATATGTATAAAATACGCGTGGAAACTAGGATCTGTCTGCTTTGTTGGTACAGGAGGCGACGAATGAAGTGTCTTCTTTGCCAGATCAAAAATCCACTTACTAGAGAGAAAATTGTAGATTCTAGGCGGATGTTATTTAAAATCTGGATCGTTCATAACTGCCTTTATGTAATCTATAAATATCAACTGCCTATTATAAATATTGAAAAAAGCTGAAGATTAACCACAAATTCACAGATTAGAGACTATGTATTTATTCGATAAGATAGTTACCTCAAATTTAGTTTAGTCAACTTTGAATTTGTTTTCTAATAATTTACCACAACTTAAATTAGTATACAATATTTCTAATTGATTTTACGAATTTGGTAATTTGAAAATCAAATCCTAATTCAGTCAGTATAATATTATGCAACCCCCCTTACGTGCAATTTTCTTTAGTTTGATTTACAATAACCAAATAAGTGAATCAAATTTATTTATTGATTTTACAAATTTGGAAATTGTAAATCAAACAAAAGAAAACTGCAAGTAAGAGGGGTTGTATTATATATATTATACTGACTGAATTATTTTCAAGAAAATATTTATTGGGTTCAAATTTAGGGCAACTATACCCCATTCATGAATTATGATTATTCAATTGTTTTAATTTTAATTATTTCTATTGTTTAGGTGTGATTGGATTTTTTGTAATATTGACCGGGAAATGTAAATGAAAAAATATTTTGTGATTTTTTTATGTTAAAAACTTTTATTAGTTATAACTGAATATGGAATTGCGTCATGTATGAAATATTTCCACTCTGTAAAGTAACAAATAGGCTAATTTGAACATGTGTAAAAACGTTATTTGGAGAAGAGGTGGATTGAATTCCACCACCCGAGCAGAGCAGAGGCAGACTGGTCGTCGTCCACCAAGTGTCATAAAGCGGACTGCCGAGTGGAGGAGTATTTTATCAAAGGCGATCGCAGAGCCGGTGCTCGAGATGCTCGCACTCAACCGAGTGTAACATAACTGCGATTCACGTGTGTGTCTGGTCCGAAGGAGGAGGAGGAGGACCATTGTGCAGTCGTTTGCTCGCGTGGTCCATCAGGAAGCGGCTCGACAGTCTGCTCTCGGCGATCGGTGTTCGCGCCCCGTGCACCTCGGCCCGAGACTTTGAATAATAAGCGACTCGCACTTTCTCTCTCTCTCACTCGGCAACAACAATAAAACGATCGACCTCACCCACCGTGGGAATCGACGTCGCCTTTCGATTCGGACACACGACTCGCCGTCGGCCTCTCAACAAACACACTCAAGAGGAATCGTCCGTCCTTCTTCTTCTTCAAGGAGTGCGTGCATCTTCGAATTGTCCCGCTGCAGGAGAATTATGCAAGCCGAGAGGGACGTGCTGGCCTAGAAATCAGAGCGAACTCTACCATTTGGCGTGATTAGAGTTTATTTTATTGGTTCAGTTAGAAAGCAACGGCCTGGCGAGATCAGCGTGCGCTCTCGGTGCAGCGCCTTTTGTGTTGTGTCAGTGTGTGCTGCGCGAATGATTGGTTCGGTGCGAGATCGTTCTGCGGTTATCTGCCACTTTTGATGGTGCGAAAATAATGCTCAAGTGGGTGCAATTACTCAACCAGCACCACCAGCACCACGAGCAGCAGGATGTGAAGCAGATTAAGATATCGGTGAGCAAAAATATTTAAGTGATTTAATAGTTTCTATTTCAATTAAATTTCACACTTTTACTTCAATATTTAGTGTTCAATTGCAAGATCAGCATTATTTCATCGCTGATTGACCGTTAAATTTTAATAGGGGATTTACAACAGTATAAATTCAAAAGTCTTATAAGATAAGGGAAAGCTTTTAATTGCTGATTATTTAATGTGTGCAAACGTTATCTGTACGTAGACTTTTTAGTCTTTTTTTTTTAATTGTAATTCATTTTGGAGATCAAATCATATTGAAGTAAATAGGGAAATACCCTTGAAGAAAAGTGAGGTTTTTGTTTATTTGGATTTATTACAAAACTTTAGACTTTATTGTACCATCGGCATAATTATTAAGAATTCCAAGTTATGTGTTATCTCTTTCAAAACATATTTATGAAAAATGTTAAAGGAAAATATTTTTGACGTCCAACAACTCTAATAATTTGTCAACTAAAGAATTTATAATTAATTTCCTTGGGTAATTTTTTTCTCTCTGTTTTGTGTGCCAACATTTGATTCTAAAATATTATTTAATATAAAACTTTTATTTCAATCAACCATAAATAAAAATGAATTCTTAAACTTTTTACACTTTAAACATTACCAAGATTTATAATACTTTTTTGTCATTTTTTTTAAGTTTAATTTACTCGTCACCGAGACTTTTGCAACACATCCAATCGTAGGTCAATGTGCAGAAAATGATATCATTCCAGACTTGATTTTGAAGCGAGACCCGGAAAGCTGATTCGTTCGATAAAGGCGTGGGAACTCGAGTGCGCCACGCGAACGAGAACTTTTTATATTTGCAGCAACACGAGACCGCCGAGCATTGCACTATATTATATTCGTCGATCTTGAAAATCCTTCAATCCAAACACACCGTTTGCTTTTCGTTACAGTTATCCTCTTAAAAATCAGCAAACTCGCGCGTATAATAAATTAATAACTTATATTTATAGAAGTGGGAAATTATGGCTCCTGTATATGATCTGCAAGTACGTTCGCTCAATTGCATAATGACTCTGTAATAAGTCTGCACGGTGTGTAAACGGCCGGTGGCAGTACTGTTACAGGGAAATGCAATTTTGCTAACGCGTTCGTTCACTGAAAACCAGTATGCGACGGCGGAATCGAACGGTGGAATAGAAACCTTGCAGCTTTTGTCAGGTAACACGTCAACTTCTGTAAAAACGTGTAATTCACGCGAGTGGAATATTGATTCGGCCGCGACAACACATTGTTTTATTTCTCTTGATTCAATGAAATTCAATAAAGGCCAATCACGATGAGTGCGGACGGCAAAAAGCATAAATTGGCGGAAAATCGTCTCGACGTCTGCCGAAGGTGGCAAAAAATGGAAGATATTACGGTTTAGTTCGTATATATACGGATCGCAGTTTCAGTTGAGCTGCTCTGCTAATATTTTACCTCTGCAAGTCACTGTCCATTATTGAAGTAGGAAGTCACTGCTGGCGAATCTATCAAATGCTGCGAGTGCAGACGCAAAAAAGAGGCTGCGAGTTCATTTGCTCTTACTTTTCATCGCACGCTGACTCTTTGTTTCCAGTTACTGAGATGAGCAATGGGCGAGCCGAGATAATAAACACAGCAGCTGGTGGTGCTTCTAGCTCTTATTCATTGATTTTCCAACCAATCTCACAAAAATAAAGGCGCGATCGGCAACAGTTACGCAAGCACTGCACGGTTAGTGCACAATTCCATTATGGGATCTGTTTCTCTCTCTCGGCGTTTAAAAATTTCAATTGCTTCATACGCTATAAATTACATTTTACATTAGTCAGCAGCACACCGGCGTCGGTTTGATTCAGAGTTCCTATATCTCGCGTGCAAAAAATCATCCGTTCCTTTGGCATTACATTTTGGTAGAAGCTTTATTACTTCATTTGTATAGGATTAAAATTGATTTTTTCACAGTGGCGTGAATTTTTTGGAGGAAAAAGCTTTTGCAGATTCCTTTTTGCTAATCAAAGAATTGCATTTCACAAAACTAATTTTGTGGCATGAAGTGTTGTGATGAATAACCTTTCTTTAAAAAAAATGTCAAGTGTTATAAAATTTTCAAGTAGCTATATAATTCATATATTAATTATGTGATTACAGTTCTAAAATGTTTAAACTTAAATAATAATTTAAATAAATTTAATAATTTTTTTTATCTATTTATTAATAGATTTTTAAATTTCAAAATTGTTTTTTTAGCATGATTTATAGTTTTTTTTTATAAATTTTTTTTAACTCACTACAACTGGTGTAAATTTGTATTGTAAAAACTTCTATTGTAAAAAACATAAATTTTTTGTTTAATAATTTAATTATTGATATAAACTTCATGTCTCCATTGTTTTAAGATGTTTATTGATGTATATAACTATAAATGAATTCATCTCCCCTGTTGAGAAAATCCTACCATTTAAGCTTGAATTTTTAACACCAATAGAAATGCTTGTGTGTGATCATTTTTATAAATTTATTATAAATTGTTGCATATTTTTACTCAATTGGAATTTTCCCATTTGTCTCAAAAAAATATTAAAAAATGTTATTTTCCTTTTGCGTCACTTGGCTCTCAGAATGTGATGTTTCCTTCTGTCGCTCTATTTGAGCTGCTGCGGTGAATCAGATTGTGTTCGTCGTAGCGGGCAAACAGTTGAAGATAAGAGAATTATTGCTCGCGTTTACTCAATTACGCATACCTGAGCGCACGAATAATGAGTTGGCACCTCTGTTTTTTATTATCTCGTTATAATTTATTGATTTGCCGCTTGCACCACTTACAGGCCGCCAGCTGGGCTGGCTCGTTTTATTAAATTTGCCAGTGAGTGAACGTTCAAATTTCGCTTAAAGTGGCGGCGAAATCGGTCAGTTGTGTACTTTACTGGCTGCTCTCGCGGCGCCCAGTAGGTCACTTATTGCGAGTGAAACTGAGAACCTTTCAAAAATGATAAACTTCAACGTGCATGCATCATTGAAATTGTGTGCGAAAACGAGTTTCGCTTTAATTACGCTCTCAACTGAAAATTAATTAATTCTCACTTGATAAATTAATTTGCATGCCATGAGGAGAAAATATTTATCAGTTTTTTTGCACACAGCAATTCGCACTTTGTGTGTTAATTATCTCTTTCTCGCGTGTGTGTCATTCAATATATTTTTTGCGCCGCGCTCGGTCGTGGCGGTGCAATTATTGCTATCTTCTTTTCTTGTTGCCTGTTAGTCAACCATTAGCATTACGACGATGATGATGAAAAAGATACGTGCTTAGCAATTTCCTTGCAAACAATGCGAGATTTTTGTTGCATTATAACTGCGCAGTTTGTAGCATAGAGCATAAATGCCTGAATAATTGGTCTACTTGTGTTTTCTAATATTTTGCAATAATAAAATTAATAAAGTAACAGCCAATAAATCTGTAGTATTCCAAGGTAAACTCGCAAATTTTTACATTCTCTAGTTTATCATTTTTTTACAGTACTCAATAAAAAAGTAAGCAGGGGTGTTTTTTTCGTTTTGCACAATGTTTGAAAATCATTCATTGTTGCGTCAGTTAACACGCAATTTATCGTGATAATTTTCAAAGTCATAAAGTCATCTATAATTTGCTCAGCATCAGCAATATCAGTTTTCAATTTGCTACACAAAATTTTAAATAATTGTGCATTTTCAAATGAAACTGCGAAAATTCTTAAAATATTAAAAATGGTTTTTAAGCCAGAAAAATTTTTTCTGTAAAATTTCTGTGATAAATAAAATGGTTGCACTGAAATTGGTTGATGCATAAAAAGAGCAATAATTTGATATAAATAAGTATCTTTTTTATTTTAACAAGACAAAATTTAAAATCAGTCTTTTTACGATATGCACGGAGAAAATTTTCTTCCGACTGCTCGGAAGGTTTTTCTGAGTTGCTCTTTTAAAACGGAACATAGTACAAATTTGGGAAGAGGCTTCTGAGTGCAATCTCGGCGTGTATTTCTGAGCTAGCTCGGAAAACCTTTCCAAACTGGCCAAGAAGGGGTTTACGATCTAGCTAGTATGCTCAGGTACTTGAAACCTTCCGAGTTGATCAGAAAGGCTTTCCTATCTCCTCTCCTCTGCTGCTGGAGAGCTATTTTGTACATTGCTTTCCACTTTAGTTTGCTACATTTTCTTTGCATAAATATATCTTGTAGGTATATTAGGGGCGATATACATTGAAAAACAGAAAAATATATAAGTGTAAAATAACAATTTTTATTTTTAAAACTTCGTATAATATATTACAACGAGAGCACAAAATTAATTAATACAGGCAAAATTTCACATAAAATAGACAAAGTCCAACTAAAACATGATTATTATCAATATTTCCATATTGTGGTGTTGTGATAGATTTGGAAACAATTCTCAGCGTGCATTAGAATACAAGAAAAATAGAAATAATAAAAAATTTAATAAATCAAAATGTACTCAACACACATCTTCAGCGCCTTTGTTTGTTCACTATATGCTGCTTCCTCTTGATGTGTAACATTTTTCACGCGTCTTCACCGTTGACTTCTGAATAGCTTCTTGATCTGCTGAATTCCCGCAGTTCCATTTGGTTTTATATGTTTCCGCAAATAATCTAAAACAATACGAAATAATCATCAAACCGTTAGTTTCAATTTTAAAACAAAATTTTGCACTAAGAAGATAAAAAAATAGGAAATGAATACACACCTTAAAAAGAATTCAGCGGCCGAAAGTCCAGCAAAATCTGTCAAGCGCGATTCCGATTCTCAACTTCTTTGTTAACTGCTGTACCCCTGATGCTGCGTTTGGAAAATGTGTGTTAAAATCAATTTTAGATCCAATTTAAATTTAAAATTACCTTTTTAAATTTGAGCAAACCACGACGAGAGCGTCCTTTCTAACTCACAGTCGGAGAACAACTGCCACTGTTGGACTGTTGCTGCCCAAAAGTTCGTTGA